CGAGCCTCACGGCGCCCAACGGCGCCGCCCAGCGGCGCCTCCTCGCCGCCGTCGCCGGGGACGCCGCGGCGGCGCTCGAGGCCCACGGCACGGGCACCGCGCTCGGCGACCCCATCGAGGCCGCCGCGGCCGCCGCCGCGTTGGCGGACGGCGCGAGTGCCGCGTCCATGAAAGCTGGCGCGGGGCACCTCGAGGCCTGCGCCGCCGCCCTCGGTCTGCTCGCGCTCCGCGCGGGCGGCGGGGCGAACGCGCAGCTCCGACGATCGAACGCGCACCTCGCGGCCCTCGGCGCCCGCTTTCGGCGCCCCGTCGAACGCGCCGCCAGCGGCTTCGCGGCGCGGCGCCTCAATTCTTTCGGCTACAGCGGCACCATCGCCCACGCCGCCTTCGACGACGAGAGCCGCTTTCGCGTTTCGAGCCGGCTCGCGGCGGCGTCGCTCTTTCGCGCCGCGCGCGAATTATTCCCGGTCGGCGACGGCTCCTCGGCAGCTATCTGCGAGCTCGTCGGACGCGACCCCACCCCCTTGTCCGAAGGCACGCATCTCTCCTACGAGCGGCGCTCATTCGGCGCGCGGATCGAGGGGCGCGTCGTCGTCGGCGACCTCGACGTCGCGTCTCTGCTCTTCGACCGCTCCGGTGCCTTGCTGGGCCGTCTACAAAGGTCAATTCCGCTCGAAGCCGCCTTCACCGTTGCCCTGTGCACAGCGGCGGCCCTCGAGACGGGCGTCCTGGACAGAAGCGCGGCCGACGTCCTGGCGATCGACGCGATCGAGTCGCGCCCCGCGAACGCGGTCTGGATCGACGTTTGACGGGTTCTGGACTAGTCGCGCTTCCATACTACGAACGTGACGCTACTCGATGCCCAAGGCGCCGTCGCGCTCCGCGCACTCGGCGTACACGCGCGACGCGCCGGCGCCTCGTCGCTCCCGCCGGTCGCCCGAGACGCCCGGAGACGCCGCCGCGCGGACGAGGCGGGCATCGTCGCCCTGGACTACCACGCGCCGAGTCTCTGCGTCCGCGCGACGGACGTGGAGCACTTCCACGGCAGCCCCGGGCGCTACACTGTGGGCCGAGGCCAGGAGCTCGTCACTTTCGCGAGCGACGACGAGGACGCAGTTTCGATGGCGCTGTCGGCGCTTTGTCGGCTGCTCGCTCGAAGCGAACTTGCTTTCGAGGACATCGGCCGACTCGAGTGTGGTACGGAGAGCGGCGTCGACCGTGGCAAGTCCACAAAGTCCTTCCTCATGTCTTTGTTCGAGGCGACCGGCGACCTCGACGTCCAGGGCGCGGACGCCGTGAACGCCTGTTACGGCGGTACGAACGCGCTCTTGAGCACCAGGAACTGGATTCACGGCCCTGAATGGACCGGGAGGTACGGCGCCGTCGTCTGCTCTGACCCGGCCGTGCACCCGGACCCGGCTCAATTGGCCGGCGTCGGCGCGTCGGCGGTGTCCTTGCTCGCGGGACCGCGCGCTTCTCTGGCCATGGAGACCCGGTGCACGACCTTCGTCAAGCATGCCTGGGACTTTTACCGGCCCATCGGATGGTCGTCCAACGACGCCCTCGTAGACGTCGCCGTGGCTACCAGTCAGTACGAAGAGGCCATGCTCTGGTGCCAGGGCCGCTTCGATCGTCGCGACCTTCTCCTCGTCTACGTTCGCGTCGCCTACCACTGCAACGCTCCGTACCATGCCAAGCGGAACTTCCGAGTCATGTGCGAGGCCATGCACGCCCTATCGAAAGGCGATCACGAGCGGCTCTACGACAGGCACGTCCTGCCCGGCACGGCGATCAGCGCTCAGAACGCGACGACGTACACGTGCCCTCTGTACGCGTGTCTTCTTTCGCTCGTTATCTGAGGAACTGACGGACGAGTCTTGTGCTTTTCCTACGGCTCGGGGTGCGCCGCGAGCATGTTCGCCTTTGAGTCTGACGGCCTCCCCGTCCATCCTTCGGACGCGCTCGAACGTTTGGCGCGTCGAAAGCCGAAGACGATTCCCGATGCGCTGGCTCTGATTACCGCTTTTGAAAGCACACACGGCCGCTTCGGCTTCGAGCCATCGTGGTCCTCGGATCGTCAGGATGGCGCGTTTTACCTCGGCGAAGTGACCGCGGTCGGCGTGCGGGAATACGCGCGGCACGAGTCTCGAGGCGCTTCGCTTCGCGTGCGCCGGGACGACGCCGCCACACGCATCGAGATGGTGCGACCGCACGTGGATGACGATTTACTGGCCGATTTCATGCGCGCGCTGGACGCGAACCGCCTTCACATATTTGTGCCTTGCGAGTCGTCGGACGCGGAGCCGGAATCGTCGCTCGAGCTCGATCTCATCCGGAAGGTGCTCGTCAATGATGTGCGGATCGCGACGATCTGCGCCGGCGCTACGCTGGGTAGGGTCATGCTATTTCTGGCGCTTTCGGACGTGGTTCTTGGGACGGTGGAGTCGCGATTCGGGTTTCCCGGGGCTCTTCCCGGAGCCGCGTCCGCCGCGCTCGGTCGGCGCGTCTCCTCGCAGCTCGTGCGGCGTTGGGTGCTGATGCGCGAGATCTTGGACGCCCGCACAGCCATGCTGAGCTCGCTCATTGACGGCATCGCCATGCAAAGGAGCGACGCCGAGCTCGAGCTGAGCTTGCAGCTGGGACGCTCGAGCCCCCGAACTGAACTCTTGCCAGCGAGCCCTCCTCGCGCTCGCGACGAGCCGACTGCCTCGTGGGCGCGCGCTGGAGTCCTTCAGCTCGCATTAGGGCCGCTTCCATAGACGCTCGTGGCGCGAAGCGACCTGCACGTGGCCATCGTTTACAATTTTTCCCCTTCGCCGCGACTAGACGTGCTACGCAACCTGGACGCTCCTCTCCTCGAGGTCGCGTCGCGCGCGGTCACGAAGCTCGCGGACTGGACCGCGTGCGTCCTCGGCGCCGAGGCTTTCGGTCTCGCGGCTTCGACGCACGACACGGCGGCGACGGCGCAGCAGCACGCGCTTACGCTGGCTTTCACCATCGCGTCGGCTCCGCAGACCGGGACGCGGAACACGACGCGCCTGCTTCGATTGGACTCGCCCCCCGCGAAGGAATGCCTTCGCCAGCCGGTGTTGGTCGACAAATTGAGCGTCACGTTCGAAACCATGCTGAATAAAGCAGCCCAACCCTGAAACATGACGATCACAACGCCCGAGCCTGGCGTCGTCAGCTTCCGCTGCAGCAGGCTGTCCGAAACGGAGCTCCGCGGCGCTATCGCTCAAATGCGACCGACGTCCTGCGTCCACGTATTCTGCATTGGACCGCACGGCGTCGACCGGCAGTGCATCTCGCAGCTGTGAGAAGTCGCCTCGCGCTGCGAGCGACCCACGTTCGCGATAGTCTCGGGATGCCAGCCCCGCGAATTGCTGTCCGCGGTCGACGTCGTGCTCGCCCACAGTCACCAAGCGACCCAGGACGTGATCCTATCTCTCATTGCTCGTCTCGGTGATCTGGACGGTGTACGCGCTTACCTGCGGGCTACGACGCCGGAGGAAGCATTCCTGAGAGCGGCGACGCGGACCGTCCGTCGCGCGGCGCACGCGGGTCGGAGGCGAGTGCGCCTGGACTTTGAAGACAAAGGCCTGATCCGCACGGAACTCAACGATCCCACGACGTTCAATGCGCAGACGCCACCTTTCATGGAGAGCCTGCTGTCCTGCGCGCGCGAGGTACGTCGGCTCTGCGCGTTCGCCGACTCGCCGGCTCACGTTCTCGAGGGTGTAGGCGCCCACTTCTGCACCGGAGGCCGACATGACGAGCATCAGCAAACACAATCATTCTCCGCGGCGCTGGCGGACCTGAGCGCGCAGAGCTCCATCACCGCGGAGATTCGAGCGTCGCTCTTCGCGACCTCGGCCGCCGTCCACGGGAAACTGATCGGAGGCGGCGTCGCCCTCGCTCTGGCCGCGGACTGGCGCGTGTGCCCCGAAGCGACGACGTTCACCTTCGGGAATCTCCCGCGGGGCGTCAATCCGATCTTGATGTTCAGCCGGGCGCTGCCGCTGATGGTCGGACGGAGCCCGGCGTTCCAGATCTACGTCGAAGACGCCGCGCTCTCGAGCTGGGAGCTCCGTTCGCTCGGACTCGTGAACGAGGTCGTCGCAGACACCGAGGAGGCGAGGCGATGTGCAAAATACGTCGCCGTGGACCGTCCCCTCGCACGAAGCAGCTCCGCGCGGATCTGTTCGACCGACGCAGCCCACGCCGCGCGAGAGGTGATCTACTTCGCCGAGTCCTCCGCGGCTCGTCCTCGACACGTCGAGACGCATCATGTGACACGTGCACGAGAACCTCCAAGACCCCGCGTGCAGATGGCTATGCCAGCCGGCCTCGAAGACGCCGCCGTGATCGCGCGGGTCTTCGAAGTCCTGGGGACCCTCGCCTCTCGCGATGCTCCACTCATGGCCGCTGGCGTCGACTCCTTGGGCGCCACCGAGCTTCAGAAGGCGCTGAGCGCGGACCTGAGTGTCGAATTGCCGGCGACGCTTCTGTTCGATCACCCGTCGGTGTCCGCGATAGTCGAGTTCGTGGCCAGCGCCAGCGAAACAGTCGAGGCGGCGATGAGCCTCGCCCGTGTACAAGCGCCGACGGACACCTCCAGCGCTCTGGGAGTGTCGAAGGTGACGATGAAAATTGCCGGAGACGTCGCGACGGCGCCTCGACTTCGCGAGCTCGCTTCGGGAGCGAGCACGACGCCCTCGAGCATACCCGCGACGCGGTGGAACGTCGTCGAGCCTGCGTCTGCGACGTATGGATCGCTCATCGTCGACGGGCTGCGGGTCGACAGTCGGAGCTTCGGCATCCAACCGTTCGCGGCCGAGCAGCTCGATCCATAGTTCCTCGTGTTGTTGGAGGCCGCCGCTACGTCGTTGCACGAGCGTGCGTCCGCCGACGTCGGAGTCTACGTTGCGCTGCTTGGATAGCCCGTCGAACGAGCGGCGGCAAGCGAGCTCGCTCCCAAGGGAGCGCAGCAGATATCGGGCGCGTCGGGGCAATTATCCTTTTCGCTCGGCCTCACGGGCCCTTGCGTGACACTGGACACAGCCTGTTCGTCCTGGCTCGTCGCAGCGCACCTGGCCCGTGCCGCTGTGTTTCGAAGCGAGTGCTCTCTGGCGACGGCCGCCGGCGCCGGCATCCTCGGAGCCGCGTGCGGTCGCTCGTTTTCCCTCCAGGGCATGCTCTCGGAACGCGGTCGTTGCCACACCTACGACAGCCGGGCGGATGGATACTGCCGGGGCGAGGGGTGCGTTGTGGTCGTACTATGATCGACTGGCGAGGCTCGAATCATCGCGCTGGCGGTGCAAAGCGACGGACCGAGCGCGAGCCTCGCGGCTCCGAACGGATCCGCGCAACGCCGACTCCTCGCGGGCGTGCGCTCTGATTCCTATTCATGCGTAGCAGCTCTCGAAGCACACGGAACGGGAACCGCTCTCGGAGATCCGATCGAGGTCGGCGCCGCGGCGCTCGCGCTGGAAGACGAGGTCGCGTCAGCGTCGCTCAAGGCCAACGTTGGGCATCTCGAAGCGGTCGCGGGTGGAGCTGGGACGGTGTCGCTACTGCTGATTCCATTGTTGGCGGCCCAGGTCTCGCCGAATGCGCAGCTACGGCGGCTCAATCCGCATCTCGACTCTCTCATCAGGGAGGGTGGTTTCTTGATGCCGGTACAGGACGCGCTCCTTCGAGCCACTCACGACACCGACGGTCGAGTGAGCTCTTTTGGCGCTACTGGGACCATCGCGCACGGGTTATTTGTGGCACGACGGCAATCATGGAGCTTTGCTCCTCGAAGACAACCTGCGTCGATGTTTCGTTGTGAAAGTGCTGCTCCGTCCAAGGCTGTTGCCTCTTGGATCGCAATTCCCTGTGAAGAGATTATCAACGAGACGCTCGCTTCTTCGATTCGCGAGCAGAGGCAATCGCTTGGCCCATTCTCAATTCTCGCGATCTTGGTTCGAGCGTGCCGCGGCGACGTGTGCAGACCGCTCTCCGCCGTGGACCGCAGACTCGTGGAGATTCAACAGCGTCTCATGATGCTCGACGTTGCGCTCCTGCATCCTCTGCGGCGCATCCCATCAGCGCGCGCCCCAACGACGCGACGCGAGAGGACGGCGCCTCGCGTTTTGTTCCTCCACGGCATGGACACCTACGGCGAGTTCCAAGCGCGCTTGCTGGACTGCCAGGGGTGGTCGAAGGCCGCCGAGTGGGTCACGACGAGCGCTCCGCACCGAGGCGCTGACTTCTCCGGAGGAGCCGGCGGCGTCTCGCTGCGAGCTCGATTCGGATACGAGCCGGGACGGTCGCGGTCCTGGCGGCTCATCTCCGAGTACTCGGTGACGAGCAAGAGCCAGGCGGAGATGTTCGCCCGGATCCGTCGCGCGACGGACGCGAGCGCCGACGAGTACGGGCTGCTGGGCGACTGGGCCGCGTCAGTCGACCTCGTCGTTCGCGCCGCGACCGAGCAAGCTCCCCTGGACGGCATCGCCGGCATCAGCGAGGGCGGTACGGTGGGCGCGATCCTCTTCTCGCAGCATCTCCGCGGCGAGGTCTACCTCGGCAGCGGCTACCGGGGACGGCTGGTCTTGACGTTCTGCGCGCTGACGTCGCCCGCGCATTCTCGCATGTACGCGGACCCGATGCCGTGCCTCGCGAGCCTCCATCTGACGGGAGACACGGACACCGCGGACGTATGGCACATGGGTGGACAGACGGCGGCGCTGTTTGGCCCGTGGTCGGGCTTGGGCCACTTTCGCGGCGGGCACAAGCTCCCGAGGCTGAGCGACGCGTTGAGTCGCACCGTGAACGAGCTGCGCGAGCAGAGCTTCGGGCTGAGCGTTCTTCGACGATGGGATCGCTCCGTGCCGTCTCGTTCGAGCGGCGGAACGAGCATCCCGACACGCCGGGCTCGACCGTTGGTCGAGGCCGCGGCGCCTGTCCGCGTCTCGATTCGGGCGACGGCGACGACGTTGCGTGCTCATTGGCGAGGCAAGGGCGTGCTTCATGTGGAGGTCTCAGCACAGCTTGATGCCTTGGATGTTGTCCAGAAGCACGCTACGTGTCACGCAGTCGTCTTGGCAAGCAGTTCGCGAGTTGTCGAGAATATGGGCGCGATACGAGACTTCTCCGAGCCAGTCGTGTCCGTGCTAGCCGGGCGTGCGGCTTCCATGGACGTCGCACGAGCAGCCGACTGGCTGGTCGCGACGCGGACTCACATTGGTCGTTGGTCGCTCGCGGAACGCGGCCCGAGCTCCGTCGGCTTCGACTCGGCAGACGCGGCTCGGCTGCTTGGCGAGTGCACGACGATGCTGGCCTCCGTCGGTGTCATCGGCGCTCGCAACACGCTCGTGTCGATGCGCGCTGAATGTCAGGAGAGCTTTCATCCGAACGACGTGGTCGCGCGACTAAAAGAGACGGTGACCGTTTGCGCGATGCGCGGCGCTCGCTTCTGCGCGAGCGGCGTCGTCTTCGGGCGCAGCAGTGCCGTTCTGCTGACAGCACGTGCGGGTCCCGCTCTCACCTGGCGTCGCGGCGGCATCGTCTGCGTCGAAAGCTCGCGACCGCTCGTCCAGGGCCGCGCGACGTGGTCTCGCGCCGTCGCCGTCGTCGTCGAGCTCGATGGCAGCGACGACATCTCGGCACGGCCATATGTTCCTATGCTCGCGGTAGTCGAATTCGCTGCTCTTTGGCGTTGCGACTGCGTCGTCGGGGTCGGAAGAATTCACGGTGCCGACCGCAGGGCCATTTCTCAGTCCGCTGCGACTAGGGCAATTCATGCTTACGCGGATGCGCTTCTCACGACTCGTGACTCGACAGCGCTGGCCGCACCCCTTCGTCGTCTCGTGGAGCATACCAGCAAGCGATCCATTTCCAAGCCGGCCTTAAGCATGATCCTCCAAGACCACACGCTGCGCGTCAAAGCCGACGGAGACTCGGCCGCCTTGAGCGTCATCCTGATGATGAGCGACCGAGCTGGAATCAGGGCGTCTCTCGACAACCGCGATGCTCCACGCCCCCGCTACCAGCAGCCGGGCTCGTCGCCTTCTTTGACGTGTCGATACAGCACGCTCGCGTCGTCCCACGCGGGTCGCGCGGCTTGGGTCGCGCTGCTGCTGCGGCCGACGAGCGACTTAGGCATGCCCCGGCTCGTCGTGCACATGTCGTGCGATGAGCCTGGAATCGTGACGCTGGAGCTGAACGACCCTTCGACTTTGAACGCGATGACGCCGGAGCTGCTGCTGGGTCTGTCGTTCTCGGTTCGCGCGGCGCTCCTACACGAGAGCGCGCGCGGCCTCGTGCTCCAGGCCGCGGGTCCCCACTTCTGTACGGGCGGGCGGTACGATGCGGCGTCCCAGGGCAAGGTCCCGCAGTGGGTCCACGGGAGCGGGCTCGTGCTCGACCGGATTCGGACCGCGCCGCTGCGGTCGACGTCCGTGCTGCACGGAGCGTCCATCGGCGGGGGCCTCCTGCTCGGCCTCGCCGCGGACCGTCGCGTGTGTACTCCGAGAGCAGTGCTCCGGCTCGGCGTCGCTCCTCACGGCCTGAGCCCCATCGTCCGGGCGACGGACGCGGTCCCGCGGACGGTCGGCTACGGAGTCGCGGCCCAGATGTACCTCGCGGACCACGAGCTGGATGCACAGCAGGCGCTCGCGTCCGGCTGCGTCCACCGCATCTCGTCGGACGCGGGGACGGCGAGGCGCTTCGCGCGTCGGGGCGCGTCGGCGAGCGGTCGGACCGTCGAAGCGACGGACACCCGTCTCATCCAGGAGACGCTGCTCAACGGCGAGGCGAGCGGCGCCGTGAGCGAAGCGCTGTTCGTCATGCTGCTGCGCCGGGCGGCGCCGCGGAGGAGTTTGACAGCCGTGGCGTCCCCCGAGGCGAGCGCGCCCGGCTCGCCGCCGTCGTCGCCCATCGTCTCGCCGCTGCTCTCCCCGCCGACGTCGCCGGTGACTCGACAAAGCCGGGCCCTCGAGACGGTCGCGTCCATCTGCGCGGCCGTGGCCGGCGCCCACGTCGACGCCCAGGGCCCGTTGATGGAGGCCGGCGTCGATTCCCTCGGCGCGGCGGAGATCGTCGGCCGGCTCACCGCGGAGTTCGAGCGAGAGCTGCCCGCGACGCTCCTCTTCGACCATCCGACCGCGGCGGCCATCGCCGCCTTTCTGCAGCCCGGCTGCGTCCTGGAACCGCTGGACCTCGGCCCACCGCTCCTGCCGCTCGACCCGGCGTCGCCCGACGAGGGCCTGTCGCTCCGCCGGCGGGGCGACGGCGTCGTCGTCGTGACGTACGACCGGCCCGATCGCTCGAACGCGGTCGACCGCGCGTCCGCGGCGCGCCTCGCGAGCCTCCTGGCGGCCCTCTGCGACGACGACGCCGCCGGCGCGATCGTCGTGACGGGCGCGGGCCCCGCCTTTTGCACGGGCGCGCAGTTCGACTCGTTCCTGCGGCGGGACCCCGCGCCGCGGCTCCGCGACGACGTCCGCGACCTGTCCCGCGCGCTCTTCGACGCGTTCCTCGACGCGTCCAAGCCCGTCGTCGCGGCCGTCAACGGCGCGGCCATCGGCGGCGGGGCCACGCAGGCCGCCCTCTGCGACGAGACGCTGGCGTCGACGGCCGCGGCCTTTTCCTGGCCCTTCCGGCGGTGGCGCGCGGCGCCCGAGGGCTGCGCGAGCGCCCACCTCGCCCGCGCCGTCGGCGCCGGAGCCGCGCGGGCCGCGCTCGTCGGGGGCGTCGCGATGACGGCGCGCGAGGCTCTGGGTCGCGGCCTCGCGCGCGCGGTCGTCGCGCCCGCGCGGCTCCTGGCCCGCGCGGAGGCCGCGGCCGCCGCGCGCGTCGACGGGAGGCGCCGCGCGCTCCCCGTCGCCGGCCGCGCGCCGGAGGTCTTCCGGGAGTACGGCGTCGCGAACCTCTGCGAGAGCCACGCGCTCGCCGACGCCGTCTGCCGCGCCGCGTTCTTCGAAGCGTCGCGCGGACTCTTCGAAGACGCGAGCCTCGCGGACGCGGCCGTCGCGCGCGGGCCGCTCGACGCGCTCCGCCTCCTCGAGTCCCACGGCGACGCCGTGGAGTCGAGCGCGCCCGACGACGCCGTCGCCTTCCCGCCCGCGCTCCGGCGCCGCCCGCGCGCGCCCGCGCGGCTCCCGGAGCACGCGACGATATCGCGCGCGGTCCTCCGCCTCCCCGGGCGCACGCGCGACCTCGGCGACCTGCGGAGCCTCGCGGCGCGCGGCCTCGCGGGCACGGCGACGGTGCCGCGCCGGAGGTGGCGGCCGAGCGCGGCGCCGGGCGTCGCCTACGGCGCGTTCCTCGGGCCGCTCGCGACCGACGCGCGGGCCTGGCGCCTCCCGGCGGCGGAGGCGGCGGCCGTGCATCCCCAGCAGCTCTTCCTCCTCGAGCTCTGCCACGGCGCGCTCGCGGGCGCGCTCGCGAGCCGCGACGCGGGCGTCTACGTCGGCATCTCGGGGTCGCTCGGCGGCGCGCTCGGCGCGGACACCGCGCCGGGCGCCTACGCGGGCACGGGCTGCTCCCTCGCCGTGGCCGCGGGCCGCGTGTCCTTCGTCTTCGGCCTCGTCGGGCCGAGCCTGCCCGTCGACACGGCCTGCTCGGCGTCGCTCGTGGCGCTCCACGTCGGCGCCGCGGCGCTCGGCGCGCGCGAATGCGCGCGCTGCGTCGTCGCGGGCGAGGGGCTCCTCGAGGCCGCCGTCTTCGAGGCCTTCGCCGCCGCGGGCATGCTGTCGCCCCTCGGCCGCTGCCACGCCTTCGACGCGCGGGCCGACGGCTACTGCCGCGGCGAGGGCGGCGTCGCGGCGCGCCTCGCGTTCGGGCCGGGAACGGTCGACGCGCGCGCCGCGGCGGTCCGGCAGGACGGCGCGAGCGCGAGCCTCACGGCGCCGAACGGCACGTCGCAGCGCCGCCTGCTGCGCGTCGTCCTCGACCGCGCCGCCGTCGCGCCCGCGTCCCTCGAGGCCCACGGCACGGGCACCGCGCTCGGCGACCCCGTCGAGGTCGGCGCCGCGGCCGCCGCGCTCGCGGGGGGGTCGGGTCGCCGCCTCGTCTCGTCCGTCAAGGCGAACTTGGGCCACGCGGAACCCGCCGCCGCCGCCTCGGGCTTCGCGCTGCTCGTCGCGACGTCCCTTTTGAGCGCGCGCGCGGCGCCGAACGCGCGCCTCCGGCGGCTGAACACGCACCTCGTGCCCATCGCGGCGCCCGAGCGGGCCGCGCTGGTCCTCGGGTCGGAGGAAGCGCCGCCGTCGGGCATCGCGCGAGCCACGTCCGGCAACCTGAGCTCCTTCGGATTTAGCGGCACGATCGCGCACGCGAATTTCGGCGTCGACGGCGACGCGAGCCGCGGCCGCGGACGCGACTCGTTCGGAGCGTCGCTGTTCCGCGCGCAGCTGCCGCTGCAATCGCTCCAGTTCCAGGGTGCGGTGCTGTCTTCGTGTGCGAGCACGCCCAACAGTCGTACGCTTCTGTCTCCTGACGATGACCGCGTTCGAACGCCGCTGTCCTGGCGGAGCATCGGCTCATGGCCGCTGTACGTGGGTACCGTCCTCGTTGAGTTGCAACAGCGTCTCATGACGCTCGACGTCGCGCTCCTGCATCCTCTGCGGCGCATCCCATCAGCGCGCGCCCCGACGACGCGACGCGAGAGGACGGCGCCTCGCGTCTTGTTCCTCCACGGCATGGACACCTACGGCGAGTTCCAGGCTCGTTTGCTGGACTGCCAGGGATGGTCGAGAGCCGCCGAGTGGGTCACGACGAGCGCTCCTCACCGAGGCGCTGACTTCTCCGGAGGAGCCGGCGGCGTCTCGCTGCGAGCTCGATTCGGATACGAGCCGGGACGGTCGCGGTCCTGGCGGCTCATCTCCGAGTACTCGGTGACAAGCAAGAGCTAGGCGGAGATGTTCGCCCGAATTCGCCGCGCGACGGACGCGAGCGCCGACGAGTACGGGCTACTGGGCGACTGGGCCGCTTCAGTCGATCTCGTCGTTCGCGCCGCGACCGAGCAAGCTCCCCTGGACGGCATCGCCGGCATCAGCGAGGGCGGTACGGTGGGCGCGATCCTCTTCTCGCAGCATCTCCGCGGCGAGGTCTACCTCGGCAGCGGCTACCGGGGACGGCTGGTCCTGACGTTCTGCGCGCTGACGTCGCCCGCGCATTCTCGCATGTACGCGGACCCGATGCCGTGCCTCGCGAGCCTCCATCTGACGGGAGACACGGACACCGCGGACGTCTGGCACATGGGTGGACAGACGGCGGCGCTGTTTGGCCCGTGGTCGGGCGTGGGCCACTTTCGCGGCGGGCACAAGCTCCCGAGGCTGAGCGACGCGTTGAGTCGCACCGTGGACGAGCTGCGCGAGCAGAGCTTCGGGCTGAGCGTTCTTCGACGACGGCATCGCTTCGTTCCGTCTCGTTCGAGCAATGGAACGAGCATCCCGACATGTCGGGCTCGACCGTTGATCGAGGTTGCGGCGCCTGTCCGCGTCTCCGTGCGGGCGACGGCGACGACGGTGCGTGCGCATTGGCGAGGCAAGGGCGTGCTTCATGTGGAGGTCTCAGCACAGCTTGATGCCTTGGATGTTGTCCAGAAGCACGCTACGTGTCACGCAGTCGTCTTGGCATGCAGTTCGCGAGTCGCCGAGAATCCGGGCGCGATACGAGACTTCTCCGAGCCAGTCGTGTCCGTGCTCACGGGGCGCGCGGCTTCCATGGACGTCGCACGAGCAGCCGACTGGCTGGTCGCGACGCGGGCTCACATTGGTCGTTGGTCGCTCGCGGAACGCGGCCCGAGCTCCGTCGGCTTCGACTCGGCAGACGCGGCTCGGCTGCTTGGCGAGTGCACGACGATGCTGGCCTCCGTCGGCGTCATCGGCGCTCGCAACACGCTCGTGTCGATGCGCGCTGAATGTCAGGAGAGCTTTCATCCGAACGACGTGGTCGCGCGACTAAAAGAGACGGTGACCGTTTGCGCGATGCGCGGCGCTCGCTTCTGCGCGAGCGGCGTCGTCTTCGGGCGCGGCAGTGCCGTGCTGCCAATCGCATGGGCGTTTTCCGCTGTGACATGGCGTCGCGGCGGCATCGTCCGCGTTCAAAGCTCGCAACAACTCGTCCAAGGTCTCGCAACGTGGTCTCGCGCCGCGGCGATCGTCGTCGAGCTCGATGGGAGCGAAGAGATCTCAGCACGGCCATCTGTTCCTATGCTCGCCGTAGTCGGATTCGCTGCTCTTTGGCGTTGCGACTGCGTCGTCGGGGTCGGAAGAATTCACGGTGCCGACCGCAGGGCCATTTCTCAGTCCGCTGCGACTAGGGCAATTCATGCCTACACGGAAGCACTTCTCACGACTCGTGACTCGACAGCGCTGGCCGCATCCGTTCGTCGTCTCGTGGAGCATACCAGCAAGCGATTCATTTCCAAGCCGGCCTTGAGCATGACCCTCCAAGACCACACGTTGCGCGTCAAAGCCGACGGAGACTCGGCCGCCTTGAGCGTCATCCTGATGATGAGCGATCGAGCTGGAATCAGGGCGTCTCTCGACAACCGCGATGCTCCACGCCCCCGCTACCAGCAGCCGGGCTCGTCGCTTTCTCTGACGTGTCGATACAGCACGCTCGCGTCGTCCCACGCGGGTCGCGCGGCTTGGGTCGCGCTGCTGCTTCGGCCGACGAGCGACTTGGGCATGCCCCGGCTCGTCGTGCACATGTCGTGCGACGAGCCTGGAATCGTGACGCTGGAGCTGAACGACCCTTCGACTTTGAACGCGATGACGCCGGAGCTGCTGCTGGGTCTGTCGTTCTCGGTTCGCGCGGCGCTCCTACACGAGAGCGCGCGCGGCCTCGTGCTCCAGGCCGCGGGTCCCCACTTCTGTACGGGCGGGCGGTACGATGCGGCGTCCCAGGGCAAGGTCCCGCAGTGGGTCCACGGGAGCGGGCTCGTGCTCGACCGGATTCGGACCGCGCCGCTGCGGTCGACGTCCGTGCTGCACGGAGCGTCCATCGGCGGGGGCCTCCTGCTCGGCCTCGCCGCGGACCGTCGCGTGTGTACTCCGAGAGCAGTGCTCCGGCTCGGCGTCGCTCCTCACGGCCTGAGCCCCATCGTCCGGGCGACGGACGCGGTCCCGCGGACGGTCGGCTACGGAGTCGCGGCCCAGATGTACCTCGCGGACCACGAGCTGGATGCACAGCAGGCGCTCGCGTCCGGCTGCGTCCACCGCATCTCGTCGGACGCGGGGACGGCGAGGCGCTTCGCGCGTCGGGGCGCGTCGGCGAGCGGTCGGACCGTCGAAGCGACGGACACCCGTCTCATCCAGGAGACGCTGCTCAACGGCGAGGCGAGCGGCGCCGTGAGCGAAGCGCTGTTCGTCATGCTGCTGCGCCGGGCGGCGCCGCGGAGGAGTTTGACGACTGTCACATCCCCCGAGGCGAGCGCGCCCGGCTCGCCGCCGTCGTCGCCCATCGTCGCGCCCCTCCTGTCGCCCGTCGTCCCCGCCCTGGGTCCGGCCGCGGACGAGCGCATCGCCATGCTCGTCGAGAAGGTCGTCGGGTCGGCGGTGCACCGCGGGACGCCGCTCCTCGACGCCGGCGTCGATTCCCTCGCGGCCGCGGACCTCGCCCGGGCCCTGGGCGCGGAGTTCGGCGCGGCGCTCCCCGCGACGCTCCTCTTCGACCACCCGACCGTCGCGGCGTTGGCCGACGCCGTCGCCCCGCCCGCCGCCGACGCCGCGCCCCCGCGCGCGCGGACCGCGGCGCTCGCGCCGCGCGGCCGCCCGCTCGTCGCCGTCGCCGTCGGCCGCGGCGGCGTCCGGACGCTCGCCATGGACCGGCCCGAGGCGCTCAACGGCGCCCGGGGCATGGAGGCCGCGCTGGCGGCGGCGCTGCGCGAGGCCTTCGCGGACCGGGGCTGCCGGAGCGCCGTCGTCACGGGCGCGGGCGACGTCTACTTCGTCGCGGACCATCGGAACAACGACGACTTCGGCCCGTCGACGCGGCGCCGCCACGCGACCCGCGGCTGCCTCGCGCCCTTCTTCGACGCCTTCCTCACGGCGCCGAAGCCCCTCGTCGCCGCGCTCAACGGGCGCGCCTACGGCGCCGGGGCCACGGCCGCGACGCTCTGCGACGTCGTGCTCGGCGCGCCGCGCGCCGCGCTCGCGTTCCCCTTCCGCCGCTGGCGCGTCGTCCCCGAGGGCGCCGCGTCGGTCCACGTGGCGCGCCTCGTCGGCGCGGCGCGCGCGAGCGCGCTCCTCCGGGACGGCGGTGCCGCGCGCGACGGCCTCGTCGACGCGCGGCGCGTCGACGCCGCGGCCGCCGTCGCGCGCGGCCTCGCCGCGCGGCGCCTGCCCGTCGTCGGGGCCGCGCCCGAGGGGCTCGCGGACTACGGCGCGACCTGCGCCTGCGAGCTCGAGGCCCTGGGCCTCGCCTTCGCCGGCGGGCCCCACGCGGCCGCGTGCGTCGACTTCTTCGGAAATCGGCTCGCGACGAGCGACTGGCGGCTCCTCGCGCTCCGCGGGCCGCTCCAGGCGACGCTCCTGGACGTCCCGGGCGAGCCGGCGCTCGACGCCGAGGTGCGCCGCTGGGGCGTCGCGGCGTCGGCGCTGATATCTCCGCGGGACGCGCGCCGCGTCGCCGGCGCGCTCCGGGCGCCGCGGAGCGCCGAGCCCCGCCGCGCGCTCGGCGCGACGGGCGCGCCGCGGAGGGCGGCGGGCCACGCCGTCGCCGCGTCCTGCGTCGTGCTGCCCGGGGGCCTGGCGTCGCCGGCCTTCGTGGTCTCGCGCCTCTCGGCGCCCGCGGCGGTGCCGGCGGCGCGCTGGGCCGCGGCGCCGGGCGCCGCGGCCTACGGGAGCTTCGTCGTCCATCACGAGCTCGGCGCGGACGACGGCGCCATGCGCGTCGCCGAGGCGCGGGCCGCCGACGCCCACCAGCGGCTCCTCGGCGCCGTCGGCGCCGCCGCGCTGCGGCGCGCGGCGCCCTTCCGCGGCGACGTCGCCGTCTACGTCGCCGCGTCGTCGCGGACCGCGGGGTCGCCGGGGGCGCGCCGCCCGGTCGACGCCTTCGCCGCGACGTCCGACTCGGCGGCCGTGCTCTGCGGCCGCCTCTCCTTCGCGCTGGGCCTCCGGGGCGCCTGCGCGGCCCTCGACACCGCGTGCTCGGGCTTCCTCGTCGCGCTCCACGTCGCGCTGGGCCTCCTCGGCGGCGCCGGCCGCGCCGCCGCCTGCGGCGTCTCCGTCCTCGAGGCGTCGGCGGGCGCCGCGACGGCGGCGGCGGGCATGCTCTCGCGGACGGGCCGGTGCCGGACCTTCGACGGCGCCGCGGACGGCTTCGCGAGGGCCGAGGGCGCCGCGGCGCACGTCCTCGACGGCGGCGGCGACGTTCCCACCTTCGCGACGGCCGTGCGCCAGGACGGCCGCAGCGCGAGCCTCACGGCGCCCAACGGGGCCGCGCAGCGCGACCTCCTCGCGGCGGTCTCCGCGGAGGCTTCGACCGCGCTCGAGGCCCACGGCACGGGCACGGCCCTCGGCGACCCCGTCGAGGTCGGCGCGGCGACGCGCGCCCTCGGCGGCGCGCGCTTCTCCGCCGTCAAGGCCACGCTCGGCCACCTCGAGGCCGCCGCCGCCGCCGCGGGCGTCGCCGCGGCGACGCGCGCGCTCCGAGCCACGCTCGACCAGGGGAACCGCGCGCTCCGCGCGGCCAACGCGCACCTGTCGTCCTTCGAGGCGGCGGCCTTCGCCGTCGACGCCGCGCCGAACGGCGGCGACCGCGGCCGCCTGAGCTCCTTCGGCTTCAGCGGCACCATCGCGCACGCGGTCCTTCGCCGGCGAAGCGCGCCGACCGCGGCGGCGGCGCCCGGGTCGCTCGTCCGCCGGCGCGTCGGCGCGGTCCTGGCGCCGCCCGCGGCCCCGACGGCGCTCGTCGCGGCGCGGCGCGCCCACGCCGCCCACGTCGTCGCCGGGACCGCGCTCTGGCCGGCCGTCGCCTACGTGGAATTGGCGCTCCGCGGCGCCGCGGCGCTCGTCTCCGTCGCGTTCCTCCGGCCGCTCGCGGCGTCGAAGCGCCTCGAGTGGCGCGGCGACGGCGCGTCCTTCGCGCTGGCCGAGGGCGACGCCATCGTCGCCGCGGGAATGTTTTCCGGGACCCGTCGTGCGCGAGGCCGGGCCCGCGCGCCGCGGCGGACCTTCGGCGCGCCCGTTTGGCCCGCCGCCGCGACGCGGCGGCCCTTCGTCGCCGCGCGACTCGCAGCTCCCACGCACCGCCGATCTCCGAAGCCGCCGTCGCTGGCCCGGCGGGTCGCCGCGGCGTCGAAATTTTTCGAGGCCGCGCGGCGCGTCCGACCAACCGGCGCGTCCCCGCGAGACCTCGCCGACGCCGCGGCCCGGGCCAGCGGTCGACGGCTCCCGTCGCGCAAGATCGACGCCCTCGCGCCGCTGCCGCGCGCGCGGCTCGCCGCGGCCGCGCGGCCGAAGCCCGTCGTTCGCGCCTCGAAGAAGAAACTGCCGATTTCAACCCCGAAGACTCGGCGAAACGCCCAGCGCCCAGACGCCGCCGTCCGGGCGGCCGCGGTGGACGTGCTCGGGACGAGCGTCTCCTGGGACGCGCCCATCTTCCAGCAGGGCCTCGACAGCGTGTCCGCGGCGGAGTTCTCGCGCGTCCTCGGCGACCGATTGGGCTCCGCGGTCCCCGCGACGCTCCTCTTCGACCACCCGACGGTCCGCGACGCGTCCCGCGCCGTCGCGGGCGCCGCGGCGCCGGAAAACGAATGTTCACAAGCACCGGTCCGCCCGGTGTCTTCGCCGGCGTCGAGCCGGACCGAGGTCGCGCGCGCGCGCCACCGCTGCGAACGCGACCACGGCGAGCTCGCGGCGCGATGCCTCGCCGCGGCCGGGCGCGTGCCCTCGGCGCGCTGGGACGTCGCCGCCGGCGGCGACGCGGCGACCTACGGGTCCTTCGTCCGACTCCGCGCGGACGCGGGCGGCCTCGTCGGTCGCCTCGAGGCGGCGGCGATGAGCCCGGCGGCCGCGGTCGCGCTCGGTCGCGCGGTCGAGCTCCGGCCGGCGGCGCCCTCGGTCGCCGTGTTCCTCGGCGCCGGGGCGACGCTCGGAGCGACGACCGGCGGGGCGAACATGCCTCTCTCCGTCTTCTCCGGCACGTCGGCGGCGCTCTCCGTGGCCTCGGGCCGCGTGTCCCACGCGCTCGGCCTCGTCGGCCCCGCGGTGTCGCTCGACACGGCCTGCTCGTCGTCGCTCGTCGCGGTGCACCTCGCGGCGGGGTGCCTGCGGCGGCGGGAGGCCGCGTCGGCCCTGGCCATGGGCGTCAGCGTCCTCGACGAGGCGGTGACGCTCGCCTTCTCCGCCGCGGGGATGCTGTCGCCGCGCGGGCGGTGCCACGCGTTCGACGGCCGCGCCGACGGCTACTGCCGCGGCGAGGGCTGCGGCGCGTTCGTGCTCGCGTTGGACGTTTCGGAGGTGACGCTCGGCGCGTCGGCGGTGCAGCAGGACGGCGCCAGCGCGAGCCTCACGGCGCCGAACGGGACGTCGCAGCGGCGGCTGCTGCTCGCGGTGGCCGGTCATGGAAAGACGCTCGAGGCCCACGGGACGGGGACGGCGCTCGGCGATCCGATCGAGGTCGGCGCCGCCGCGGCGGCCCTGGACGCGCCGGCCTGCGCGTCGATCAAGGGCAACGTGGGCCACCTCGAGGCGTCGGCGGCCGCGTCGGCGCTCGCGGCGCTCCTCGCGGTGCCGCTGCGACTGTCCCGCGCCGTCGGGAACGCCCCGCTCCGGCGCTTGAACGCGCACCTCGAGGCGACGATCGCGTCCCGAGCGCTGCACCTCGCCGTCGGGCTCGCGCCGCGCGCGGCCGAAGCCGGCCGCGCGAGCTCGTTCGGCTTCAGCGGCACCATCGCGCACGCCCGGCTGGTCGCGCCGCGGCCGGAGCGGCGCACGGCGACGGAATCCGCCTTTCGCGGCGCGCGCGCGGTCGTCGCCGCCGCGAGCGCGCCCGCGGGGCGCCTCGGCTCGCGCCGAGGGCTTCCGACCGCGGCGGTCGCGCACCACGTCGTCGGCGGGTTCGTGCTCCGCCCCGGCGTCGAATATGTGGAGCTCGCCCTCGCGGAAGCGACGACGCTCCGGGACGTGGCCGTCCTCCGCGCGAGCGACGGGCTTCTCCGCTGCACGTTCGACGGCGCGGGACGCTTCGCCGTCGCGGCGGCCGGCGCCCCGTGCGCGACGGGACGGCTCGGACCGGCGCTCGCGCCGCCCGTCCGCCCATCGAAGCTTCGAGCGTGGCGCCGCGCCGCGCCTCCGCCACGTCGGGCGATCGTCGCGAGCACTCGCGAGCGTCGAGCGATCGAGCCGGCCGGCCCCCGTCGAACGTTCCGCGCACCGCGGCAGGCGCCGCGGCGAAAGAAGGGTATCGTGCCGCGGCGCGCGACGGCCGGGCATGCGCTCATCGCCATGGCCGCGCTCTCGGAGGTGGACCGGCGCCGGCGCGACGTCGGACCGGCGACCGGTTCCCCGCCGGCCCTGCGCCGCCCCCGTCGCGCGCGATCGCCGACGACGCGCCGCGCGTCTCGGGCGACGCGCCCGGCGAAGCCCGTCGGAGACGCGGCGCTCGCCCTGCGTCGAGCGCTCGGGACCGCGGCGGCCGCCGACGCGCCGCTCGTGGCCCAGGGCGTCGACTCCGTCGCGGCCGTGGAGGTCGCGCGCCTCCTCGGCGCGTCGCTCGGCACGTGCCTGCCGTCGACGCTCCTCTTCGACCACCCGACGGTCTCCGCGGTGGAATCGGCGATCGCGCGTCCGGCCGTCCCGTCCGACGCGCGCGAGCCCGCGTCGCGCGGCCCTCGCGCCCGGCCGAGCACATCCGCGCCGCGCCTCTCGCTCGTCGGGCGCGCCAGCGTGTGCCCGGGGATTGCCTGCGGGGACAAGCTGCGTGAGCTGCTCCTGCGGTCTCGGTCGGCCGCGACCTCGGCGCCCGTCGCGCGCGTCGGCCGCGGCGAATCCTACGGCGCGTTCCTCGGCGCGGCGCTCGCGCTGGATGCGTCGGCCTTCGGCATCCCGGCTCTCGAGGCCCGCGGGCTGGCGCCGCAGATGGGACTCGCCCTCGAAGTCGCGAACGCTCTGTCGAAGGACGCTCGCGCCGCGGCTAATGTCGCCGTGTTCCTCGGCGCCGGGGCGACGCTCGGAGCGACGACCGGCGGGGCGAACATGCCTCTCTCCGTCTTCTCCGGCACGTCGGCGGCGCTCTCCGTGGCCTCGGGCCGCGTGTCCTACGCGCTCGGCCTCGTCGGCCCCGCGGTGTCGCTCGACACGGCCTGCTCGTCGTCGCTCGTCGCGGTGCACCTCGCGGCGGGGTGCCTGCGGCGGCGGGAGGCGGCGTCGGCCCTGGCCATGGGCGTCAGCGTCCTCGACGAGGCGGTGACGCTCGCCTTCTCCGCCGCGGGGATGCTGTCGCCGCGCGGGCGGTGCCACGCGTTCGACGGCCGCGCCGACGGCTACTGCCGCGGCGAGGGCTGCGGCGCGTTCGTGCTCGCGTTGGACGTTTCGGAGGTGACGCTCGGCGCCTCGGCGGTGCAGCAGGACGGCGCCAGCGCGAGCCTCACGGCGCCGAACGGGACGTCGCAGCGGCGGCTGCTGCTCGCGGTGGCCGGTCATGGAAAGGCGCTCGAGGCCCACGGGACGGGGACGGCGCTCGGCGATCCGATCGAGGTCGGCGCCGCCGCGGCGGCCCTGGACGCGCCGGCCTGCGCGTCGATCAAGGGCAACGTGGGCCACCTCGAGGCGTCGGCGGCCGCGTCGGCGCTCGCCGCGCTTCTCGGCGTCGTCTTCGAGCGAGGAGTCCTGTGCGCCAACGCTCATCTACGGTCCATCAACGCGCATCTGGTCAACCTTCTGGGGTCGGTTTTTATCCCAGCTGCGTCTTGCGCGTGCTTTCGAGAAGAGCGAGCGTCGGGGGCACTGAGCTCCTTCGGATTTAGCGGCACGATCGCCCACGCCCGCTTTCGTTCCTCGGCGCAGTATCGGGAGCGCTTTCATTCACCCGCGTCGCTGTATCGCAATAAAGTGGCGACGGTGTCGTGCCGCTTGGGCGCGCGAATCCCGCGCCGCGCCGCGCCCGATCCGTCAACGCGCGCGGCTCTAGTCGCAGAGATCTTCGCTGCATCCCCGACCGCAACGCTACCTCCACGCTCTCGATCTCAGTGCATCTTGCGCACCGAGAAGGCTTTGGTGCCTTCAGCCTTCTCCTCGGCTACGTTCGACGATCGTCTCGCTTGGCCGGGCCCGTTTCTCGAGACGTTGTGCTCTCTCCTCGCCGGGGTATATGACTACAAAAAAGTATTCAAAGGCACCTTCGCAAGTGATGGAAACGATTGGCCGCTCGACTCGTCCCGTTCGCGGAGCGGCGTTCGGGTTTTGCGCGAAGGCGTCGGAATAAATGGTATCGCGGAGAAGAAATCGACGCCGATGCCCTCACGGAGAAGCTGCGGCTTGGCCGCTTGCTGCATCCTGTCCTCGCTCTGCCGCGGCGCGCTCGAGATTATCAGCCTCTGGGGGTTCGCGCGCCTCGGTCCAGCCGATTGCTCCGTATGGAGCTCCGATGCCGCATTTGATCACTTCCAGACGTAAAGAGCGGCTCCTCTAGTCGATGGCATTCAGCAAACGCCCGCGCATGGTACGATCGCATCGTGCGCGGCGGCCCTGCTGGGGACGGTCGTCCCTCCGAACGCGCCTCTCATGTCGGCCGGCATGGACTCGCTGACCGTCACTGCCTTCACGAACGCGATCGCGGCCCAGCTGAGCATCGAGGCGCCCGCGACTCTCGTGTTCGACCATCCGACCCTGGACGCCATCGCGGCCCACTTGGAGGTCGCGGCGCCTCGAACGCAACGGCCGGCGACGGCCGTTGTCGAGCGAAAGTCTACCTCCGGGCCGAAGCCGTCGATCCTGCGCGGGCGAGTGCGACTGACGGGCACTGCGGGAACGCTGACGCGACTACGAGGGCTCATCTGCAGCTCGACGGTGGCTCCGTCGAGCATCCCCGCCGCGCGGTGGGAAGACGAAGCCGACTCGACGCCGCCGTCCGCCAGCTACGGGTCGTTCGTCGGGCAGGAGTGCTTCGACGCGGCCGCATTCGGTGTTGGGCTGCCCGAGGGCCGCGTGCTACAGCTACAGCAGGTGCTCCTGCTCAACGTCGGCCTGGCCACCGTGTTTGCGGAGCGCGGACTCGCGAGGACGGACGTCAGCGTGTTTGTGGGCGTCGAGCCGAGCGACGCGGAGACCGCGACGCTCAGCGTGTTCTCGGCGACGGGTTCCGCGGTGTCGGTCGTCTCGGGTCGGGTGTCGTACGTCCTCGGCTTGGTCGGCCCGAGCATCTCGGTGGACACCGCGTGTTCTTCGGCCCTCGTCGCGGCTCATCAAGCAGCAGCAGCGTTGGATCGTGCGGAGTGCAGCAAAGCTATCACCGCAGCGACCAAGGCTCTCGGCCAACGCTCGAATCGAGCGACGGCTGTCGGTGGAATGACTTCGGCGCGAGGTCGCTGTCACTCTTTCGACGACCGCGCGGACGGATACTGCCGCGGCGAAGGATGCGTGGCTCTGCTCTTGAGCAGTGCGTCGACGGCGAGCAGGCCGCGGCTCCTCGCTACCGCAGTACAGCACGACGGCCCGAGCGCAAGCTTAACGGCTCCGAATGGCCAGTCGCAGGCTCGCCTCCTGAGGACCGTAGAAGGCGCGAAGCGCGAGGACGCTGGAGTCTCACGGCACGGGCACGGCTCTCGGCGATCCAGTAGAGATTGGCGCTGCTCTCGTCGTGCTTGATGCCGGCATTCTGTGCTCGTCCGTCAAGGCCAGCATGGGACATCTCGAGGCCTGCGCCGCGGCCGCCGGATTGGCGTCCGTGCTTTCGATCGGAGCGTCGCTCGTCGCCGCCAATGTCCAGCTTCTTCGCCTGAACGCGCACCTCCGGGCTCTTGGACTCGATGATCGACTTGTTCTGCCGGCGGGAATTGTGTCGTGCGATTCATTCGATCACCGGCTCAGCTCGTTTGGTTTCAGCGGCACCATCGCGCACGGGGTTCTCGCGTCGCCGCGAGCCGCCGCGAGCAGCGTCTTTGCCGAGGAGTTCGCGTCGATCTCTCGATCAGAGACGCTACGCGCGGCGACAATGAGCACACCCCTGCGTCTACAGCTCGAGCCTTCAGCAACGAAAGTGGCAGAGCTCGCGCCGGCTGTACGCGTGATGACCTCGTCGCACGTCATCGGTGACAAGGCACTCTTTCCGGGAGTCGGCTTTGTCGAGATGGCCCTCGCCAACGCGCAGACGCGCTCGGCGTCTTTGGCGAGCATCGCGTTCACGCGTCCGTTTGTTCTGGGATCGTCGCGAGGTACGATGCGCTACGCGCGCACGAGCCGCGGGGAGTACACGATTTCCAGTGAGACGCACGTCCATGCGATGGGAACTGAAGCTGAGCTCCCCATCAAGTCCCTGTCGAGCCCGCGGAGTCTTGGAAAGAGCCCGACGGTGGTTCGGCTCGTCGCGGCAGCCTTGGTCGCCGTGTCCGACCATCGAATCCACGCGCCTGCTTCCACTTGCGCACCCAAACACGAGACGTCGCGGTGCTTGACCGCCCGAAGCACGTCGACGTCGGGGCGGCACTTGTGTCTCGCGTCTCGCGTCGGAAGACGCTCCGAGAATCTCAAGCCAGCGCCTCAATGCGTCAAGCTACGGTGGCTCCTGCTGGCGAAGCTGACCCAGCACGATCTCACTCGTGTTCTGGCGCGCGTGCGCGTTGAGCTTCCTTCGATACCTACGACACTCACGCTCTCGTTCCGAGGACGAGCGTCGACCGAGACAAAGGCGATTCGATCTCGGCAAACGAGGATGGCTCGAGGCCGAGTATCGGAGACCGAGACGATCCAGACGGCCGTACTGGAGCTCCTGGCCACGGAGGTCACAAAAGAAGCGCCGCTCATGGCCGGCAGCCTGGACTCGTTGGGAGCGACGGAGCTGGTGCGGGTCGTGCGCACTCGGTGCAGCGTCGAGCTCTCGCCGACGACGCTCTTCGACCACCCGACGGTCGAGAGTCTCGCGAAGCACGTCGCCTCGCTGCTCGCAGTGGACGCCACCGACGATGACCAACAGCCCGAGAAGGACGTCGCGACGGAGACAGACTCGGAGCTGGTGCTCGAGATCACCTCGACGGCTGCGCTCCTGCCCGTGCGCGATCGGAGCTGCGCCGCGGGCGACCTGTGGGGCCTTTCGCAGGATGGATGCGTGACGTGCGGATCTGTGCCGCTCGCGAGATGGGACGCGGATCGAGTCGAGACGAGGCGATTCAGCTCCGACGTGGTCGCGCGCGCTGGCTACGGGTCGTTCCTATCGGCCGAGCTCTCCTGGTTCGATGGCGCCTTCTTCCGGATGAAGCCGGCCGAGGCGGTTCCGCTCGAGCCGCAACAGCGAATGCTGCTCGAGGTCGGCTACGAGGCCGTTCATCGCGGAGGAAGCCGCCGGGCTTCGCTCGGTGAATCGAACGTCGGCAGCTTCACGGGCATGATGAACATGGACGCCGCGTCCCAGCTCCCAGCTGAGCCGGGTCCATACGACCTGACGGGCGTGGGATATTCCGCGGCCGGAGCTCGGCTGTCGTACGCGTTTGCGATGCGAGGGCCGTGCGTTGTCGTGGACACCGCATGCTCTTCGAGCCTGATCGCCGTCCACCTGGCCCGGCGTAGCTTGCAGCATGGCGAGTGCTCGGGCGCGGTGGTCGCCGGGCCGAACGCCATCCTCGCGCCTGCCGCGCACGTGGGTCCCGCGCTGGCGGGCATGACCTCCGCGCGAGGCCGATGCCACACGATGGACTCGCGCGCCGATGGCTACGCTCGCGGCGAGGGCTGCGGCGCGATCAGTATGAAACCAGGCGGTCGCGACTCGACGATTCGATTCCGCGGGTCCTCGGCTCGGCACAACGGTCGAAGCGCGAGCTTCACGGCCCTGAATGGAGCTTCACAGCAGCTCCTGCTCCGACGCGCCTCGAGCGATGCCTCGTGCAAAGCAGAGAGTACCGGCGTCGTCGAGGCGCACGGGACGGGCACCGCTCTCGGCGATCCGATCGAGATGAGCGCGATAGCGGCGGTCGCGTCGAGCAAGAAGTCCGCTCTTTCTGTTGTCGCTGTGAAAGCGAACGTGGGCCACATGGAATCGACGGCGGGCGTCGCCGGGGTCCTCCGAATCGTCGAGCTCATCACTCGAACGGCGTGGGTCGCAAACGCGCAGCTGCGCAGGCTCAACGGCCAAGTCGGCTCGGTCCGCAGGAAAGACGTCGTGTTCGTGGGCACCGACGCGGCGGGTACAGTGGGCGTGGAGCGTCTGGGGGGCGTGAGCTCCTTCGGCTGGAGCGGCATCATCGCGCACGGAGTTTGTTTCTCGTCGCTCGAGTGAATTGTGGCGATGAACTTACATACGAGCCTTTTTTGACGTCAATTTGACTTGGGTAAGAAGCTCACGCGTGGACCAACGAGACTTGGCAAGAAGACTATCTGCGAACGAGACTCCACTTTCTTGACGCTGGCCTAGAGCAAGTCGGAAAGTATGCTTCCGCCTTTCGAGCGGCGCTCATTCGGCGCGCCGGTCGAGGGGCGCGTCGTCGTCGGCGACCTCGATGTCGCGTCTCTGCTCTTCGACCGCTCCGGTGCCTTGCTGGGCCGTCTGCGAATGTCGCTTCCGCTCGAGACCGCCTTCACCGTTGCCCTGCGCACAACGGCGGCCCTCGAGACGGGCGTCCTGGACAGAAGCGCAGCCGACGTCCTGGCGATCGACGCGATCGAGTCGCGCCCCGCGAATGCGGTCTGGATCGACGTTTGACGGGTCCAGGACTCGTCGCACTTCCATGTTACCAACGTGACGCTACTCGATGCCCAAGGCGCCGTCGCGCTCCGCGCACTCGGCGTACACGCGCGACGCGCCGGCGCCTCGTCGCTCCCGCCGGTCGCCCGAGACGCCCGGAGACGGCGCCGCGCGGACGAGGCGGGCATCGTCGCCCTGGACTACCACGCACCGAGTCTCTGCGTCCGTGCGACGGACGTGGAGCGCTTCCACGGCAGCCCCGGGCGCTACACTGTGGGCCGAGGCCAGGAGCTCGTCACTTTCGCGAGCGACGACGAGGACGCGGTTTCGATGGCGCTGTCGGCGCTTTGTCGGCTGCTCGCTCGAAGCGAGCTTGCTTTCGAGGACGTCGGCCGACTCGAGTGTGGTACGGAGAGCAGCGTCGACCGTGGTAAGTCCACAAAGTCCTTCCTCATGTCTTTGTTCGAGGCGACCGGCGACCTCGACGTCCAGGGCGCGGACACCGTGAACGCCTGTTACGGCGGTACGAACGCGCTCTTGAGCACCAGGAACTGGATTCACGGCCCGGGATGGACTGGGAGGTACGGCGCCGTCGTCTGCTCTGACCCGGCCGTGCACCCGGACCCGGCTCAATTGGCCGGCGTCGGCGCGTCGGCGGTGTCCTTGCTCGCGGGACCGCGCGCTTCTCTGGCCATGGAGACGCGGTGCACGACCTTCGTCAAGCATGCCTGGGACTTTTACCGGCCCGTCGGATGGTCGTCCAACGACGCCCTCGTAGACGTCGCCGTGGCTACCACCTAGTATGAAGAGGCCATGCTCTGGTGCCAGGGCCGCTTCGATCGTCGCGACCTTCTCCTCGTCTACGATCGCGTCGCCTACCACTGCAACGCTCCGTACCACGCCAAGCGGAACTTCCGAGTCATGTGCGAGGCCATGCACGCCCTGTCGAAAGGCGATCACGAGCGGCTCTACGACAGGCACGTCCTGCTCGGCACGGCGATCAGCGCTCAGAACGCGACGACGTACACGTGCCCTCTGTACGCGTGTCTTCTTTCGCTCGTTATCTGAGGAACTGACGGACGCGTCTTGTGCTTTTCCTACGGCTCGGGCTGCGCCGCGAGCATGTTCGCCTTTGAGTCCGACGGCCTCCCCGTCCATCCTTTGGACGCGCTCGAACGTCTGGCGCGTCGAAAGCCGAAGACGATTCCCGACGCGCTGGCTCTGATTACCGCTTTTGAAAGCACACATGGTCGCTTCGGCTTCGAGCCATCGTGGTCCTCGGATCGTCAGGATGGCGCGTTTTACCTCTGCGGAGTGACCGCGGTCGGCGTGCGGGAATACGCGCGGCACGAGTCTCGAGGCGCTTCGCTTCGCGTGCGCCGGGACGACGCCGCCACACGCATCGAGATGGTGCGGCCGCTACTTGATGAGAGTTTCTTGGCCGATTTCATGCGCGCGCTGGACGCGAACCGCCTTCACATATTTGTGCCTTGCGAGTCGTCGGACGCGGAGCCGGAATCGTCGCTCGAGCTCGATCTCATCCGGAAGGTGCTCGTCAATGATGTTCGGATCGCGACGATCTGCGCCGGCGCTACGCTGGGCAGAGCCATGCTGTTTCTGGCGCTTTCGGACGTTGTTATTGGGACGGCGGAGTCGCGATTCGGGTTTCCCGGGGCTGTTCCCGGAGCCGCGTCCGCCGCGCTCGGTCGGCGCGTTTCCTCGCAGCTCGTGAGGCGCTGGGTGCTGATGCGTGAGATCTTCGACGCCCGCACGGCCATGCTGAGCTCGCTCATTGACGGCATCGCTATGCAAAGGAGCGACGCCGAGCTCGAGCTGAGCTTACAGCTGGGACGCTCGAGTCCCCGAACAGAACTCTCGCCAGCGAGCCCTCCTCGCGCTCGCGACGAGCCGACTGCCTCGTGGGCGCGCGCTGGAGTCCTTCAGCTCGCATTATGGCCGCTTCCATAGACGCTCGTGGCGCGAAGCGACCTGCACGTGGCCATCGTTTACAATTTTTCCCCTTCGCCGCGTCTAGACGTGCTACGCAACCTGGACGCTCCTCTCCTCGAGGTCTCGTCCCGCGCGGTCACGAAGCTCGCCGACTGGACCGCGTGCGTCCTCGGCGCCGAGGCTTTCGGTCTCGCGGCGTCGACGCACGATACGGCGGCGACGGCGCAGCAGCACACGCTCACGCTGGCCTTCACCATCGCGTCGGCTCCGCAGACCGGGACGCGGAACACGACGCGGCTGCTTCGGTTGGACTCGACCCCCGCAAAGGAATGCCTTCGCCGGCCCATGTTGATCGATCAATCGAGCATCATGTTCGAAAACATGCTGAATGTAGCAGCCCAACCCTGAAATATGACGATCACAACGCCCGAGCCTGGCGTCGTCAGCTTCCGCTGCGACGGTCTTTCCGAAACGGAGCTCCGCGGCGCTATCGCTCAAATGCGACCGACGTCCTGCGTCCACGTATTCTGCGTCGGGCCGCACGGCGTCGACCGGCAGTGCATCTAGCAGCTGTGACAGGTCGCTTCGCGCTGCGAGCGACCCACGTTTGCGATAGTCTCGGGATGCCAGCCCCGCGAATTGCTGTCCGCGGTCGACGTCGTGCTCGCCCACAGTCACCAAGCGACCCAGGACGCGATCATATCTCTTGTTGCTCGTCTCGGTGATCTGGACGATGTGAGCGCTTACCTGCGGGCTACGACGCCGGAGGAAGCATTCCTGAGAGCGGCGACGCGGACCGTCCGTCGCGCGGCGCCCGCGGGTCGGAGGCGAGTGCGCCTGGACTTTGCAGATAAAGGCCTGATCCGCACGGAACTCAACGATCCCACGACGTTCAATGCGCAGACGCCACCTTTTATGGAGAGCTTGCTGTCCTGCGCGCAAGAGCTACGTCGGCTCTGCGCGTTCGCTGACTCGCCGGCTCACGTTCTCGAGGGTGTCGGCGCCCACTTCTGCACCGGAGGGCGACACGACGAGCATCGGCGAACACAATCATTCTCCGCGGCGCTGGCGGACCTGAGCGCGCAGAGCTCCATCACCGCGGAGATTCGAGCGTCGCTCTTCGCGACCTCGGCCGCCGTCCACGGGAAACTGATCGGAGGCGGCGTCGCCCTCGCTCTGGCCGCGGACTGGCGCGTGTGCCCCGAAGCGACGACGTTCACCTTCGGGAATCTCCCGCGGGGCGTCAATCCGATCTTGATGTTCAGCCGGGCGCTGCCGCTGATGGTCGGACGGAGCCCGGCGTTCCAGATCTACGTCGAAGACGCCGAGCTCTCGAGCTGGGAGCTCCGTTCGCTCGGACTCGTGAACGAGGTCGTCGCAGACACCGAGGAGGCGAGGCGATGTGCAAAACACGTCGCCGTGGACCGTCCCCTCGCACGAAGCAGCTCCGCGCGGATCTGTTCGACCGACGCAGCCCACGCCGCGCGAGAGGTGATCTACTTCGCCGAGTCCTCCGCGGCTCGTCCTCGACACGTCGAGACGCATCATGTGACACGTGCACGAGAACCTCCAAGACCCCGCGTGCAGCTGGCGATGCCAGCCGGCCTCGAAGACGCCGCCGTGATCGCGCGGGTCTTCGAAGTCCTGGGGACCCTCGCCTCTCGCGATGCTCCACTCATGGCCGCTGGCGTCGACTCCTTGGGCGCCACCGAGCTCCAGAAGGCGCTGAGCGCGGACCTGAGTGTCGAATTGCCGGCGACGCTTCTGTTCGATCACCCGTCGGTGTCCGCGATAGTCGAGTTCGTGGCCAGCGCCAGCGAAACAGTCGAGGCGGCGATGAGCCTCGCCCGTGTACAAGCGCCGACGGAAACTTTGAGCGCTCTGGGAGTGTCGAAGATGACGATGAAAATTTCCGGGGACGTCGCGGCGGCGCCTCGACTTCGCGAGCTCGCTTCGGGAGCGAGCACGACGCCCTCGAGCGTACCCGCGACGCGGTGGCACGTCGTCGAGCCTACATCAGCGACGTATGGATCGCTCATCGTCGACGGGCTGCGGGTCGACAGTCGGAGCTTCGGCATCCAACCGTTTGCGGCCGAGCAGCTCGATCCATAGTTCCTCGTGTTGTTGGAGGCCGCCGCTACGTCGTTGCACGAGCGTGCGTCCGCCGACGTCGGAGTCTACGTTGCGCTGCTTGGACAGCCCGTCGAACGAGCGGCGGCAAGCGAGCTCGATCCCAAGGGAGCGCAGCAGATATCGGGCGCGTCGGGGCAATTGTCCTTTTCGCTCGGCCTCACGGGTCCTTGCGTGACACTGGACACAGCCTGTTCGTCCTGGCTCGTCGCAGCGCACCTGGCCCGTGCCGCTGTGTTCCGAAGCGAGTGCTCTCTGGCGACGGCCGCCGGCGCCGGCATCCTCGGAGCCGCGTGCAGTCGCTCGTTTTCCCTCCAGGGCATGCTCTCGGAACGCGGTCGTTGCCACACCTACGACAGCCGGGCGGATGGATACTGCCGAGGTGAGGGGTGCGTTGTGGTCGTACTATGATCGACTGGCGAGGCTCGAATCGTCGGGCTGGCGGTGCAAAGCGACGGACCGAGCGCGAGCCTCGCGGCTCCGAACGGGTCCGCGCAACGCCGACTCCTCGCGGGCGTGCGCTCTGATTCCTATTCATGCGCAGCAGCTCTCGAAGCACACGGAACGGGAACCGCTCTCGGAGATCCGATCGAGGTCGGCGCCGCGGCGCTCGCGCTGGAAGACGAGGTCGCGTCCGCGTCGCTCAAGGCCAACGTCGGCCATCTCGAAGCGGTCGCGGGTGGAGCTGGAACGGTGTCGCTGCTACTGATTCCATTGTTGGCGGCCCGGGTCTCGCCGAATGCGCAGCTACGGCGGCTCAATCCGCATCTCGACTCTCTCATCAGGGAGGGTGGTTTCCGGATGCCCGTAAAGGACGCGCTCCTTCGAGCCACTCACGACACCGACGGTCGAGTGAGCTCTTTCGGCGCTACTGGGACCATCGCGCACGGGTTATTTGTGGCACGACGGCAATCGTGGAGCTTGGCTCCTCGAAGACAGCCTGCGTCGATGTTTCGTCATGAAAGTGGTGCTCCGTCGAAGGCTGTTGCCTCTTGGATCGCAATTCCCTGTGAAGAGATTATCAACGAGACGCTCGCTTCTTCGATTCGCGAGCAGAGGCAATCGCTTGGCCCATTCTCAATTCTCGCGATCTTGGTTCGAGCGTGCCGCGGCGACGTGTGCAGACCGCTCTCCGCCGTGGACCGCAGACTCGTGGAGATTCAACAGCGTCTCGTGATGCTCGACGTTGCGCTCCTGCATCCTCTGCGGCGCATCCCATCAGCGCGCGCCCTAACAACGCGACGCGAGAGGACGGCGCCTCGCGTCTTGTTCCTCCACGGCATGGACACCTACGGCGAGTTCCAAGCTCGGCTCCTGGACTGCCAGGGGTGGTCGAAGGCCGCCGAGTGGGTCACGACGAGCGCTCCGCACCGAGGCGCTGACTTCTCCGGAGGAGCCGGCGGCGTCTCGCTGCGAGCTCGATTCGGATACGAGCCGGGACGGTCGCGGTCCTGGCGGCTCATCTCCGAGTACTCGGTGACGAGCAAGAGCCAGGCGGAGATGTTCGCCCGGATCCGCCGCGCGACGGACGCGAGCGCCGACGAGTACGGGCTGCTGGGCGACTGGGCCGCGTCAGTCGACCTCGTCGTTCGCGCCGCGACCGAGCAAGCTCCCCTGGACGGCATCGCCGGCATCAGCGAGGGCGGTACGGTGGGCGCGATCCTCTTCTCGCAGCATCTCCGCGGCGAGGTCTACCTCGGCAGCGGCTACCGGGGACGGCTGGTCTTGACGTTCTGCGCGCTGACGTCGCCCGCGCATTCTCGCATGTACGCGGACCCGATGCCGTGCCTCGCGAGCCTCCATCTGACGGGAGACACGGACACCGCGGACGTATGGCACATGGGTGGACAGACGGCGGCGCTGTTTGGCCCGTGGTCGGGCTTGGGCCACTTTCGCGGCGGGCACAAGCTCCCGAGGCTGAGCGACGCGTTGAGTCGCACCGTGGACGAGCTGCGCGAGCAGAGCTTCGGGCTGAGCGTTCTTCGACGATGGGATCGCTCCGTGCCGTCTCGTTCGAGCGGCGGAACGAGCATCCCGACACGCCGGGCTCGACCGTTGGTCGAGGCCGCGGCGCCTGTCCGCGTCTCGATTCGGGCGACGGCGACGACGTTGCGTGCTCATTGGCGAGGCAAGGGCGTGCTTCATGTGGAGGTCTCAGCACAGCTTGATGCCTTGGATGTTGTCCAGAAGCACGCTACGTGTCACGCAGTCGTCTTGGCAAGCAGTTTGCGTGTCGCCGAGAATCCGGGCGCGATACGAGAATTCTCCGAGCCAGTCGTGTCCGTGCTAGCCGGGCGTGCGGCTTCCGTGGGCGTCGCACGAGCGGCCGACTGGCTGGTCGCGACGCGGGCTCACATTGGTCGTTGGTCGCTCGCGGAACGCGGCCCGAGCTCCGTCGGCTTCGACTCGGCAGACGCGGCTCGGCTGCTTGGCGAGTGCACGACGATGCTGGCCTCCGTCGGCGTCATCGGCGCTCGCAACACGCTCGTGTCGATGCGCGCTAAATGTCAGGAGAGCTTTCATCCGAACGACGTGGTCGCGCGACTAAAAGAGACGGTGACCGTTTGCGCGATGCGCGGCGCTCGCTTCTGCGCGAGCGGCGTCGTCTTCGGGCGCAGCAGTGCCGTTCTGCTGACAGCACGTGCGGGTCCCGCTCTCACCTGGCGTCGCGGCGGCATCGTCTGCGTCGAAAGCTCGCGACCGCTCGTCCAGGGCCGCGCGACGTGGTCTCGCGCCGTCGCCGTCGTCGTCGAGCTCGGCGCGCGCGGAGCGATGCCGACGCGGCCGGTCGTGCTTCCGCTCCTCACGATCCTCGTCGGGCGAGCCCACGACGTCGGCCTCTTCGACGCCGTCGCGGCCTCGCCGGCGCTCGCCGCGCGGCTCGCGGGCGCGGCCGCCCGGAGCTCCGCCGCTCGGAGCCCCGCCGCGTCGTCGTCGCGGACGCGGCGGGCCGCGGCCCTCGCGGAGACGCGGCCGTCGCCCGTGGCGCTGCCCGCCGTCGTCGCGACGTCCGCCGCCGTGCACGTCGCCGCGCGGACGCTCCGCGGCGCGGTCGCCGCGCTCGCGGCCGTCGGCGGCGGCGGGCCCGTCGTGCTCGCGGCGTCGTCGCCGCGGCCGGAGCGCCCGAGCGCGCGCCCCGCGGCGCCGCGGCGGGACCGCGTCGTCGTCGCCGCCTTCGCCGGCGGCGACGCGGCCGTCGCCGCGCTCGCGGACGTCGCCGTCGCGACGGTCGGGTCGCGGTTCCTCGCCTCCGACGGCCGCGACCGCGCGCGCCGGGGCGCGAAGCGGGGCCGCGTGCTCCGCGCCGGCGGCGCCGTCGACGCCGTCGAGTGTGGCTTCGACGCGCTCTGCCGGCCCGGGGCGCTCGCGGCCGCGGCCGCGCGGCTCGCCGTCGGAGCGACGCCCGCGGCGCTCGCCGCCGCGGCCGCGCGGCCGCCGACGCCGATGGCGTCGTCCGCGGCGTCGACGCTCCTCCGCGGCCTCGCCGCGGCGGGCGCGAGCCTCGTGGGCGTCGCCTGGCGCGGCCGCGGCGCGACGGTCACGCTCCGCGACGCCGCGACGCTGAACGCGCTCACCTGTGCCGAATTCCACTGGTTTGGGTGGTCCTGACCAAACTTGAGAATTCTCTAACTCGGTCAAATCGAAGTCGATTCGGCTGATTTTTGGACGAATCGATTGCTCTCGTCGAGTTCTCGAAGCACAGCCAAAAAGGTTGCGTCGAAACTGTCGCATACGCGCACATTGAAGTCGGGTTGAAGATTTGAAATCGGCACAGGCGCTCACGCCGCGGCTGCTCCGGGACCTCGCCGCCGCGCTCGCGGCCGTCCGCGCGGCCGCGGCCGCCGTCGTCGTCGCGGGCGCGGGCCCCCACTTCTGCACGGGCGGCCGCTACGGCGCCGGAGAGGCGCGGCTCCGGCCGGTAGTGCGAGCGCGGCTCGTCGCGGCGACGGGTTCGGTCGTCGCGGGGCTCCGCGGCTTCCCGGCGCCGTCCGCGGCGGCCTTCGCGGGCGCGACGGTCGGCGGGGGCGTCGTCCTCGGCCTCGCCGCGGACCTGCGATGGTGCACGCGCGGCGCGACGTTCCGGCTGGGCCTCGCGCCCCTGGGGGCGAGCCCCGTGGCCTCGGCGACGGATCTCCTGCCGGCGACGCTCGGGTACCCGCTCGCGGCCGAGGCCTACCTCCGCGACAAAACCTTCGACGCGGCCGCCGCCGTCGCCGCGGGCCTGGCGCACGTCGTCGGCGACGTCGCCGTCGCCGCCGGGTTCGCGAGCGCGTCGCCCGCGGACCGGCGCCGGCTGCTCCGGGAGGCGTTCCTCAGCGTCGAGGCGTCCGCGCGGGACCGCGGCCCGTCGGCGCCGGCGCGCCGCAGGGCACGGCCGCCTCTGCGCGCCGCGCGTCCCGCCGCGACGACGGCGTCGACGGACCGCGGAGCCGCGGCGGAAGTCGTCGGGGCGCTCGTCGCCGCCGCGCTCGGCACGACCGTCGACGGCCGCGCGCCGCTCCTCGACGCGGGCCTCGACTCCCTCGCGTCGGCCGAGCTCGTGCAGCGACTGAACGCGGCGCTGGACCTGCAGCTGCCGGCGACGACGCTCTTCGACCATCCCTCGCTCGCCGCGCTCGTCGGCCGCGCCGCGGCCGCCGCCGCTCCGGCGGTCGCCGCGCCGCCGGACGACGGCGGCGCGCCGCCGTCGCGGCGCTGCGACCTCGTCGCGCGGCCCGTCGTCGTCGCCTTCGGGGACGCCGTCGCGCGCCTCTTCTCGCCGTCGGCCTTCGCGGCCTCCGGCGACGACCTCCGGAACGGCGCGCGGGGCGCCTCCAAAGCCCGGGGCGCGGCGGCGGAGTGGGCCGCGCCGCGGACGCTCGTCGTCTTCGCCCACGGCGCGCGCCTCGCGTGCCTCCGGCCCCTGCTCGTCCACGTCGTCCGCCGGCCCGAGCGCGGCGGGGAAGCCGCGTGGGCGGACGCGCACGGGCCCCTCGTCGAGGCGAACCAGGTCGTCCTGCGCTACGAGGCGGACCGCAAGTACGGCTTCCATACCTGGGCCGACGTCGTCGAGGCCGCGCGGCGGCCGCCGGACGGCGCGCCGCTCCCGTTCGAGGCTTTCGCGCCGCGCGGCCGCGGCGTCGCGTGGCGCCTCGGCTACGCGGTACGGAAACGCGACGAGGCCTGGTCCCTCATCTACGACAGCGCCTCCGAGGCCGGCGTCCTCGAGCTGCGCAAGGGCGACCGGCGCCTGCCCGCGCTCGTGACGTTTCACGGCGGCCTGGGCACGCCCGCGGGGGCCCTGCTGCCGTCGTACCTCCGCGCCGAGGTCACGGTCGTGGCCCTGCAGGCCCCGGAGCTCCGGGACCCGACGGTCCCGAGCCCCGGGTCCGCGGCGGGCCGCGCGCGGGCCTACTGCGCCGCCGCCGCCGACCACCTCGGGCCCGGGAGCCGCGGCGTGACGCTCCTGGGCCACTCGCACGGCGCCTACGTCGCGTTCCTCGCGGCGCCGGCGCTCGAGGCCGTCCACTTCTTCTGCCTCGGGCTCCACATGGTCGACCCGGAGGCCCTGTCGCCCCAGACCCACGGCTGGACGCCGCTCCAGCGGCGGGGGCAGGTCTACGACATGCTCTTCGAACACGTGGCGCCGTCGGACTACCTCGCCGCGGTGTCGCGCGGCGACCTGGCGACGGAGGCCGCGCTCGAGGCCGAGGTCCGCGCGGCCTTCCCGGACCGGTGCGACGAGTACGCGCGCCTCGCGTCCTTCGCGGAGCTGTCGCGCGCGGAGACGGCGGCGTTCCACGAGCGTCCGCCGCCCGCGGCCTTCGCGGGGCCGGCCGTCGTCTTCGTCGCGGACCGGGGGCCCGACTTCTTCGCCTTCCTCCACTACCCGAGCTTCGCCCACGAAGACGGCGTCTACGGCTGGTCCCGGCTCCTCCGCCAGATCCGCGGGCCCGTCCGCCTCGCGTGCGGCCACCTCGACCCGCTCCTCCGCGAGGCCACGCTCCGGACCATCGCCGAGTCCCTCACGGGGCCCGGCGCCGAGCAGTAAGGTGGCAGGTTCCGGGTAGCTTTAATTCTAGCGGCCGCCGGACGGGGACCAGAAGGAGAGAATGGTGCAAATGACGTCCTCTGGGAGGGGCGGCTTCTTCAGGACCTTGATCTTCTTGTCGAGGAGCTCCCAGCAGTTCGGGACGTCGCGGCGGAACGGCGCGAGCCGCTCCTGCTCCGCGAGAAGCTCCTCGAGGTGATGAGCGTGCATCTGGTTGTCGCCGACGCAGCGGGCGATCACGCCGAGACACGCGCGGCGGTGGCGCGCGACGTGGGCTTCCCAGCCACCGGCGTCGCGGATCGCGATCAGGTACTCGTTGAGAGCCAGGATTTCGGGAGTGTCCGTGGAAAAATTGACGTTGGGCGCTCGGACCTGTATTACTGAACCAGCTCGGAGCAGCGTCAGGACAGTCTGGCGGTGGCCGTTTGAGAGAGCTTGGAATAATGGGATGGTGCCCCTATCGTTCGCCGGATTAATGTTCGCACCGCGCTTGATGAGAAGCTGCACGATTTGACAGTTTCCTTGGATACTGGCAGAATGTAAAGCGCTCAGTCCGCGATAGCCTCGGAGATTCGGATCCGCTCCGAATTCTAGAAGCATCTGGCAAAGCCCTAATCGTTCCTGTCTCGCGGCATAAGACAGAATAGGAAAGCGCTGGCGCCCATGGGCACTTCCATCAGTTGACTTTGTCCCAACTAAAACCATCCCGTTCGGATCGGCGCCGTTCGCGAGAGCGGAACGCAACGCGGCCGGATCGTCCTTATTGATCGCAGTGATCATTGCTTTGATCAGCGGTGGGTTAGTCGATACAGGCGGGTTCATCGGAGCCCGAACCGCTTGGCCGCGCGCGTCGCCGCGGCGTGGCGCTCGATGTCGTGGCGGGCGACGCCCTTGCCTTCTGCGACGATTTCTGCGGCGGCGGCGGGCCTGTGCGACTTCAAGCACCGTCGAGGTCGCGGGCCGTGCCCACGACGTCGGCGACAGGGGCGGCTTGCGCGTCTCCGGCGAGTGCGTTTGGCCGCCGCCGGTTTCAAGATGCGCGCCAAGCGAGACGGCCTAGACGCCTGAACCCAAAAGTGCCTACAGGCAGGTACATATAGAACGGTACTATACATAGAACGGTACCCTGGGGATTAAGAGTGCCCGGCGATGCTCCGATAGTCCCAGAACCTGCTGATTTTGCGCACACGCCGAGGCCGAGACAGGATGCGGCCCCCGACAAAAGAACCGCGCAGTTTGGCGCCGAGCGTGTCGAGTACCAGAGCCTCTCCTAGAGGCTCTCAATATCCTAACTAGGATAGGTAGCGGGAGGCCCTAGAGCCACTGGGTGGCACTGATGCTCGACGCGATCGGTGCCGTTGGACGTGCTTCTTTTGGCGGGGGGCGCACCTTGCCCCCGCCTCGGCGTGTGCACAAAATCAGCAGGTTTTGGGGCCATCGGATCATCGCCGGGCGCTACATCCTCGAAAGTACCGTTCTATATATCCTACGTAGGACTATCAGGAGTCCCGCAGGGCTCGGATCTCGACGCCATCATGTCCGTTGGACGCGCTTTTTTCAGGAAAGACGCATCTCTGACTCGTCCCGGGGTATGCAAAAGGGCACGGCCGCTAGATGGGTGCGTCGCGGCCGTTAAAAAATACCCCCGGATGGTACCGTTCTATATGTACCTGCCTGTAGCGGCGGTCAGGAGGTGCCAGAGGTCGTTCGGTAGAAAAGCTCTGTTGGGAGCCCGAGCGCGCTGGGCGCTTTGACAACCCGCCGAAAAGCCCCAGCGAACCGCCGTTAGGACCGCTTCCGCTTCGCGCACGAGACCGCGAGCGCGACGGGTCCCAAGAACGCCGCGGCGGCCGCCGCGAGCCCGAGCGCGACGGTGCGGGCGAACTCGGCGACGGTGAAGGCGCCGCCGTTGAGGTGCATGGCCCACAGGCCCGCCTGCATCTGGAGCGTGTTCGCGCGCGTGAGCGGCGTCGACGACGCGGGCTGCGAGATCGCCGCGTCCTGGAAGCACGCGATGGTCCAGTACGCGCTCCCGTCCGTGCCGTCGTCCGTGAGCAGGATCCAGTGGAGGTGGCCCGGGAGGTAGGCCGGAATAAAGTCGACGTGGGGCCCCGGCGGCGCGACCTGCCGCCGGTTGAAGCCGACGACCGTGAACTGGTCGCCCCTCCGCAACCGCCAGTCGTCGCAGAAGACCGCGGGCCGCCGGTCGTAGTCGTAGCCGCCGACGCGCTCGTGCGCCGTCCGCGAGCGGCAGACGAGCCGCGCGCCGCTCGCGGCCGCGGCGTCGACGACGCGCGCCTTCACGCGGTCGTTCGTCTCGAAGCGCGTCTCGGCCGCGCGGACGACGTCGAACGCGCGGCCTTTGGGCCGGAGGTCCTCGAGGCCGACGTCTTGAGGCGTGCCCAGGTACAAAAAGGACTCGTCGAAGACCGTGTTGTGCGCGTGCATCTTCGCGCGGAGGAGCGTCCCGGACGCCGGGAGCCTCGCCGTGTACCAGAGGAACGAGTCCTCGCCCGTCGGCGCGAGGAACGTGTTGACCATCGTCGACTGGTCGTTCCAGTTGAAGCGGCCCGGCGACGCGACGTAGACCACGGACGCCGCCCGCGTCGCGGCGGCGGCCGCGGCGCCCTCGGGCGCCCAGCGCGCGGCGACCTCGTAGTACCACTCGAGCGCGCCGCTCCCCGGCGCGCGGACGTCGTTGAGCTCGCCGTTGATCGCCAGGGGCACGTCGACGCGCCGCGCGTAGCCGTCGAGGGGCGCCTCGAGGAGGCAGTCCGGCCCGCCGGCGTCGGCGGCGCACTCGTAGTCGCCGTGCTGCTCGAAGACGACGACGTAGGGGAACGTGCACTCGCGCGGGTCCAGGGCGCACCGCGCGAGGTTCATGCGGTAGAACGACTTGTGGCCGGGGGTCACGTGGACGTGGTGGATGTGGATGGGCGGGAAGCCCAGCGGCGCGCCGGTGACGCCGTCGACGGCGCCGGAGAACGTCTCCAAAATTCGCGCGGCGCCGTGCGCTTCGACGACGTCGCCGAAGCCGAAGACGTCGCCCCAGGAGAACTGCCACCAGTCGTAGCCGCCGAAGGACCGCAGCGGCCCGACGCGCGTCGCGGCCCAGATCGTCCCGTCTGGCTCGATCGTTTCGCACGTCGCGGCCGTCAGCTCGGCGCCGCGGCGCTTTGGCAGGTTCGCGTGGCGCCCGAACCAGGACGCGTGCGCGCCGCTGTCGACGAGGTGCTCGCCTTCGTAGGACGACCACGCCTCGATGGACGCGTAGTGCACGAGGTGCGGCTCCTCGAGGGCCTCGGCGAGGGGCGCCTCCCGCCAGTCGCAGCCCTGCGTCACGGCGGCGATGCCGCCCGGCGACGCGCGCACGCGGAGCCGCGGCGCGCCGTCGTTGGACGTGAAGGCATCCGCGAAGGCGGCGCTGGCAGCCGCGAGAACCCGCATCTCGGATCAACCCGATCAATGGCGCGTACCTTTGCCCTGGATTGCAGGAAAACTTATTAGAGCTGCAGTGCACTTGCAGCGCACTCGCCCAAATTGAACCATGCTTCCATTGGCCACCATCGAAGCATGTGCTGCCCATGATGTGGGGCAGCTTCTGGTTCCTAGCGGCGGCGGCCTTGCCGTCGGCCCTGGCGCAGTGCGCCATCGTCGAATTCACCGAGCGCGTCATCACCGACTCAATGCTCTACACTCGCTCCGTGTTCGCCGTCGACGTCGACGGCGACGGCGACGTGGACGTCCTGTCGGCGCCCGGACCTGTCGCCCCGGGTGACGACACGGTCGTGTGGTTCGAGAACGACGACTCCCAGTCCTTCACCGAGCGCCCCATCACGAACTCGGCCGACTACACCTACTCCGTCTTCGCCATCGACGTCGACGGCGACGGGCACGTCGACGCGCTCTCGGCGTCCTACGACGACAACACGGTCGCGTGGTACGAGAACGACGGCTCCCAGTCCTTCACGCGGCGCATCTTGACCGACTCGGCGGACTACGCCTCCTCCGTCTTCGCGATCGACCTCGACGGCGACGGCGACATCGACGCGCTCTCGGCGTCCTACGGCGACGACACGGCGTGGTACGAGAACGACGGGTCCGAGTCCTTCACGATGCACATCAGCACAGACTCGGCGAATGGCGTCTACTCCGTCTTCACGATCGACGTGGACGGCGACGGCGACGTCGACGTCCTCTCGGCGTCCAACCTCGAAGACACGGTCGCGTGGTACGAGAACGACGGGTCCCAGGGCTTCACGCAGCGCATCATCACAACGCTCGCCGACTACGCCCTCTCCGTCTTCGCGATCGACGTCGACGGCGACGGCGACGTCGACGCGCTCTCCGCGTCCTGCGACGACGACACGGTCGCGTGGTACGACAACGACGGCTCTCAGTCCTTCTCCGAACGCATCATCACGACGCTCGCGGACGGCGGCCGCTCCGTCTTCGCGATCGACGTCGACGGCGACGGCGACGTCGACGCGCTGTCGGCGTCCCACGACGACGACACGGTCGCGTGGTACGACAACGACGGCTCTCAGTCCTTCTCCGAACGCATCATCACGACGCTCGCGGACGGCGCCTCCGCCGTCTTCGCGATCGACGTCGACGGCGACGGCGACGTCGACCTGCTCTCGGCGTCCACGTACGACGGCGTGCTGGCGTGGTACGAGAACGACTGCGTGGCGTGGTACGACCACGCGCCCACGTCTCTCCCGACCCCCCGGCCGACAGCGTCTCTCCCGACCCCCCGGCCGACAGCGTCCTGCGCGAGCGTCGCGTTTTCCGAGCGCGTCCTCTCGACGCTGGCGGACGGAGCCTACTCCGTCTTCGCGATCGACGTCGACGGCGACGGCGACGTCGACGTCCTGTCGGCGTCCCAAAATGACAACACGGTCGCCTGGTACGAGAACGACGGCTCCCAGTCGTTCGTGGAGCGCGTCATCACCGACTCGGCGGTCGTAGTCCGCTCCGTCTACGCGATCGACGTCGACGGCGACGGCGACGTCGACGCGCTGTCCGCGTCCGTTTTTGAAAGCACCGTCGCCTGGTACGAGAACGACGGGTCCCAGTCCTTCACCGAGCACGTCATCACGACGCTGGCGCAGTCAGCCCACTCCGTCCATGCCACCGACGTGGACGGCGACGGCGACGTCGACGCTCTCGCGGCGTCGTACGGCGACGACGCCGTCGCGTGGTACGAGAACGACGGCTCCGAGTCCTTCGCGGAGCACATCATCACGACGCTCAGGGACGCCGCCTTCTCTGTCTACGCGATCGACCTGGACGGCGACGGCGACGCGGACGTCCTCTCGGCGTCCTTCGGCGACGACACGGTCGCGTGGTACGAGAACGACGGATCGCAGTCCTTCACCGAACGCCTCATCACAGAGGGGGCGGCGGAGGCCTGCTCCGTCTACGCGATCGACGTCGACGGCGACGGCGACATCGACGCGCTCTCGGCGTCCATCCTCGACGACACGATCGCCTGGTACGAGAACGACGGCGGCGGAGCGTTCGTGCAAATCTACGGCCACTGCGACGACGTCGTGTCCTTCGAGCGCATCTGCCCCTCGAGCGACGCGACCTGCGGCGGCTGGACCGATTTCATCGTCGGCCAGGGCGGCGCGGGCGACAGCTTGGTCGCGTGTCAGGCGCGGTGCGTAGAGACGGGCTGCGACGGTATCTACTTCGACGACGAGCACGGGTGCGGCAACTACGACGTGTGCGTCGACTCGGCCAACCAAGACAACGTGGGCACGACGTTCTACGTCCGCTGGCACGCTCTGCGCCTGGAACGGCGTCTACGCCGTCGCGGCGGCCGCGTCGACGGCCGCGCTCGTCGCGCTCGCGGGCTCGCGCGGCGACGCGCTCCGCGCCGTCGGCCGCGCGATGCTCGTCTACCTCGCCGCGGCCCACGGGCTCCAGGGGCTCGGCTACGTCGCCATCGGGCGGAGATTCCTCGCGCGGCTCGAGGTGAGCGCCAAGGGCAGCGAGCGGGTCCGCGCGCTGCGGGACCGCGTCCGCGCGCAGCTCGTCGTCACGGGCGCGGGGTCCCTCGCGAACGCGGCGCTGCTCCTCGCCGTCGTCGCCGAGGCGGCGCCGACGCCGCGGCGCGCCTTCCTCTGCGTCGCGCTCGGCCAGCGGGCCGTCGAGCTCGCGCTCGCGGCGACGGCCGCGTTCCTGGCTGTGTGGAAATCAACCACTGGTTTGGGGGGTCCCCACCAAACTTCAGAACTCTCTATCTCGGTCAAATCGAAGTCGATTCCGCTGATTTTTGGACGAATCGATTGCTTTCGTCGAGTTCTCGAAGCACGGCAGAAAGCCTCGCGTCGAAACCGTCGAATACGCGCACATTGAAGTCGGGTTGAAGATTTGATTTCCACACAGGTTCCTGGGCCTGAAGGTCGAGTCGGACGTCGCGCACGCGGTCTACGTGGCCGCGGGGAACGTGAGCGCGGCCGTGCGGCGGCGCATGTCGTCCGCGGCGCCGGCGCTGCGGCGCCTCTCCGTCGCCATCGGCGCCCGGCGGCCGTCCAAGCCGCCGCCGCCCTCGGTCGTCGAGTTCAACGCCATCTTCGGGCGGAGCGCCTCGTCGACGCGCGACTTCGACCACGCGTCGCCCATCTCGCCCGCGACGAGGGACTGCGGCGCGCCCGCGACGTGGGACTCGCCCCTCCCGGACGGCTGGGAGGCCGTCTACGACCCGGACTCGAAGTGCTACTACTACCGGAACGGGACCGCGTCCCAGTGGGAGCGGCCGAGCCCCGCGCGCCGCGCGTCGACGAACGACGCCGCGCCGCCCGCGCCCGGGGAGGCCGAGAAGCCGCGAAGCCGCACGTGCGTGTGAGTCTCTCTTTAACGTTCGCCGACACACTGTTTGATTGACAAACTCAAACAAGGGTCAAACAAGAGTGTTGACAACTTCAATCGACAGTTCGCGATCGGCGGCGGTTTGAAGGCGGAGGGCAGCCATGGCGGCCGTCGCGATGCGCACGCGGTCGCGGCAACCGCAACCGGCGAAGGCGGTCGTCGTCGATCCGGTCCTGGAGCTTCGCAAGGCGCAGGAGCGCCGCGCGCTCGAGAAGCGGCGACAGCGCGCGGAGGTCGAGCGGCGCATCTACCGCGTCTGCGTCGCCCCGCGGGCGGCCGCGGCGGCCGAGGCCGACGAGGGGTGCAGCGACGACGGCGACGCCTACAGCGTCCACGCGGCGGAGGCCGACGCGCTGTCGTGCCTGCTGCCGTCGCCGCAGCGGCCGCGCGTCAAGGGCGCGCGTTTGGTCGTCTTCGACCGGCCCGACGTCAAGTGGTTACGGCGCTGCTTCGCGTGGCTGTCGCCCATCCGCCTCGCGCTCTGCCGCGCCGTGTCGCGCGACTGGGACGAGTGCTGCAGTAGCGACGACTTCTGGCGGGGCTTCTGCGAGCTCCACTTCCCGCCGGGGACGGCCGCGCTCCGCGAGGAGCTCTACGACTCCGACCACGTCGACACCGAGGGCCTCGACGCGTCCTACATGATGCTCTACCGCCTGCGGTCGAAGCTGCTGCCCCTGACCGTGCCGTCGCCGCCGCCCGTCGAGCGCCACAATTTCGCCATTTGGAATCGCCCGTCGGCGCGGCGGACGACGCTCGCGGGCTACCGGGCGCTCGTCGAGCTCGAGGTGCTGCGCGCCGCGCCGGCGCCGTCGACGGTCGTCGTCGCGGGCGCCTTCCCCCTGGAGGTGCGGCCCTTCCGGCCCGTGGGGCCCTTCCGCCGGGAAAACGTCGCGGCGAAGCGCGAGACGGCGTCGAGCGACCGGAGGCCCGCGCGGCTCGTCGTCGACCTCGAGGGCGTCGACATCCCCGCGATCTCCCAGGCGGACTTCGACGAGATCCGCCTGTCCGTGACGCTCCTCCGCGACCACGCGAACGCGCGCGACGGCATCGTCTCGAGCCACACCGCGCTGGCCGTCTTCCGCGACGCGGCCATGTGCTCTTTTGATGTTTGCGACCACGCGCCGAGGTTCGTGAGCGACGTGCGCGGTGAGTCGACGCTCGCGCTCCTCGGCGCGCGCCACGTCGCCGAATTCGACTGCTGCACGTGGTCGTCCTACGACGATCCCGCGGTCCAACGGCGCCACCACGGGCGGGACGGCGCCGGCATCTCGGGCCCGCGCTCCGACGACGCGGCCATCGTCAACCTCGGCGAGCTCTCCTACACGTTCTTCCCGTCCGCGGCCCACGCCGACTCCGTGGACGTGGACGCTGTCTGGCACGAGACGCTCCCCAACCTCGCCCAGCTTCTCTCCAAGCTCGACTGGCACCACACCGCCCAGTCCAGCGCGCCACTGCAGTGGGACAATTTTAACTGAAGTACTTCTCGGGCTTTTTCTGCGGCGCCGCGGGCGGCGCGGAGCCGTGCTCCTTCTCGTACGCCGCCGCCTGCGCGACCCGGTGGCGGTAGATGTGCTGCGCGCCGTCGACGCAGGTGAAGATGCCGTAGAACCTGGCGTGGTTTCTGGCGTTGGGAGCGGCGGCGTCACAGAATCGCCGCGGCGGCGGAGCGCGCGCGCGTCTCTCGGAGGAGCGCGCGTCGAATTTCTCGGAGAGGCAGCGCACACGGTCGCTCGCGAAGCGCGCGCGCTGCGTCGCGGGACGCGGGATGGCGCACGTCAACGAGAGGAGCGACGCCACGCCTGCGGACGAGGCAAAGTCAATCAGGCCATGTTTTTTGGGGTGCGCGACCACGCACCAACTTTGTGGACGAGATCCAGGGCCTTCGTCATCGTAGAGTCGCTGGAGGGACCGCGAACGGTTGCGGGCGAGGCTGGAGGGCGCCGCGAACAGGCGACAAAAGCTGCGGTGGCAGGCCTCGATCTGCAGAGGCACCGTCGGCTCGCCTGCACTTTGCCTCTCCCACCTTCGCTGTCTCGGCAGCGACGGGCATGGCTGGAGTGGCCGCTTAGGGCGTCGGTTTTACCGTCGTCTTGGGAAATTCCTCGCACAACTACCCCGCGAGGGGCTCCCAGCAATGGGTGACTCGGTGGTGCTGCCGCGCACTACGGCGAAGAAGGCCGGTTTACCGGTCCGAGCCGCGTGAGCAGGACGTCGAGTATGTGATAGCAAAGTTATGCGGCTCTTAATACAGAACGAGGATTACTCCGGCCATTCCCATGGTCACCCTCACAAAGAAGAACACTCCGCGGTTTTTACCGCTTGGGGGCCCGCCGCGGCGCGGGCGCTCGAGACGCGCGCGCACGGGCTCGGAGCGCGCGCGCGCCGGGGGCGGGGGCCCGGCGGCCGGGGCTGGGGCGTCGTCGGTTGTCGGTCGTCGGTCGCGCGCGCGGCGCGCGCGCAGGTGCGCGCGCAGGCGCCGCCCGAGGTCGACGCGCGACGCGCCGCGCGCCTCTTTTTAAAAAGCGGTTCCGCTGGAAGTAAAGATCACCACCCCTCGGGCTGGTCGTCCTCGAGGTCGTCGGTGGCGTCGAAGGCGACGACGAGGTCGCAGGCGCGGTTCGGCGCGAAGACGACGGGCTCGTCGCCGCGGCGGCTCGTCGCGTGGACGACGGCCTCGAGGACCTCCTCCGCGGCGACGACGGCGACGTCCGTCTCGGGCCTCGCGCGCACGAAGCAGAGGAGCGCGTAGGCGTGGCGGCCGCGCGCGCGCGCGTCGAGCGCGCGGTCGTCGCCCGGCCCGCCGCCCTCGTCGTCGCAGGGCGAGAAGTCGACGGCGTCGCCGTACTCGAGGCGCAGCTCCCGCGTCGCGTGGGTCGCCGCGCGCCGCGCGGCGTCGTGGGCGACGAAGTGGGGCCCGTCGGCGCCGCCCCGGAACGCGAGGAGCGCCGCCTGCACCGCCGCGCGCTCGGGCGCGACGACGACGAGCTCCGGGCCGCCCGCGGCCGCGCGCACCTCGAGCGCGAGGCGCCGCCCCCGCGGGCTCAGGCCGTCCAGCGCCGGCGCCGAATTCGACGCCTCGGGCCCGCCGTCGCGCGCGGCCCGGAGGTCCGCGGCGCCGCGCCGCGACCGCGCCGCGAGCAGGATCGACCGGCACACGAGGCGGCTCACGCGGCCGTCGAGCGCCTCGAAGAGCTCCTCGGCCGTGCCGATGGCCAGCGCCGTGCCGTCGACGCCCGCCGCCTGGGCCTGCGCGGCCGCGAAGGCCTGGCCCCGGGACCGGAGCCACGCGGCGACCGCCGCCACGGACGCCGCGCCGAGGTCCCGGTCCGCGCGGTCGCCGTCGCGGTCGTCGTCGTCGGCCTCGCTCGCCTCGTCGTCGCTCCTCGCGACGAGCCCGCGGCCGGCGATCGTGGGGCCGTAGCAGAGGAGCCGCGCGCGCTTCCGGGGCCCGTCGCCGCGCGGCGCGTCGCGCTCCGAGAACGCCGCGCGGATCTCCGAAACGCCCAGCGGCGGCAGCGGCGGCGGCGCCTCGTAGGAGTACTCCTCGGGGAGGAAGGTGCGCGGCGAGCCCACGGCGACGGCCTCGGCGACGACCGGCGGCGGCGACCCCTTCGGCGGCGCGCGCTTCCGCCGGCGCAAGCCGTCCCGCCCGAGCTTCTCGCGCTCCGGCGACGGCGGCGCCGACACCTCCACCACCTCGTCCTCCTCGTCGTCGCCCGGCTCGTCGTCGCACTCGACGGCGATGACCAGCGCGTTCGCGACGGACGTCGCCGCGGAGACGAAGAGCGGCAGCGACACGGAGAGCGACGTCACGTAGGCGCCGAGCCAGGACCCGAAGACCTGCGTCGCCCCCTTGAGGGACTGCTGGAGCCCGACGAGCGACCCCGTCTTGTGGCCGTCGGCCTCGAGGTCCCGCGCGCGCTGGAAGATGAGCGACCGCGACGCCGGGTCGTAGACCGCCGCGCACGCGGCCCGCGCGAAGACCGTGCAGTAGAGCACGGCCATGGACGGCGCCGCGGCGATGGCCAGCCACCCGAAGGCGATGGCCACGGACGTGACGACCGCCGTGCCGACCTCGCCGAAGCGGTCGAAGAGCATGCGCGGGAACGGCGTCAACGAGACGACGCCGACGGCGACGGCCTCGAGCGCCTTGAGCACGCCCACGGCCTCGGGCCCCTCGCCGAAGCGCGTCCAGACGAAGGACGCGGCGTCGACGCGCGGCGTGACCATGGACGTGAGGAACAACGAGTAGGCCAGGCGCTCGCTGAGCACGGACTTGGCGAGCGATCGGAACGACACGCGCGTGCCGCCGGGCGTCGTCGGCAGCGCGGCGGGCTTCCGGCCCGCGCGCTTCTTCCTGCGGACCCTGGACGGCGTCGTCGCCCCGTCCGCGGTCCGGTCGTAGAAGGCCAGCGCCGCGATGGCCGCGGCGACCAATTCGCACAAGCACGCCAAGCAGCACGCGGTCCGCATGCCCAGGTGCGCGAGCCGCACCATGGCCGCGGCGACGACGCGCGCGACGGCCCAGGACGTCGTGAAGAGGGCGAAGAGGCGCGTGCGCTGCGCGTGCGTCGTCGCGACGTCCGTCGCGCGCGCGGTCAGCAGGCCGCCGTTCGCGACGCACCCGGTGAGCAGCCGGACGACGAGCACCGTCGCGAAGCGCTCCGCGCGGCCGCAGAGGAGCAGGGCCAGGCCCGTGCAGACCAGCGTCGCCACGAGGACCCGCCGCCGCCCGAAGCGGTCGCTGAGGTCGCCGACGTACGGCGACGACACGGCCTTGGCGAACGCGTACGCGGACACGAGGATCGCGTACGCGTACGCGGACACGTAGGCGTCGTCGCCCGGCCCCAGCAGGCTCGTCAGGGCGCTCCCGCTCCACCAATCTAACAACCCCGTCGTCGACGCCTTGGCCTGCTGGCTCTGGAAGATGTCGTAGAGCGACTGGCCGAGCGCGTAGCAGAAGCTCACCGCCGCGTACGCGACGACCTCCCACTCCACGTCGTCCCAGTAGCCCGCGGCCGGCTTGCCGCCCTCGCTCGACACGTCGCTGTCGCAGCGCGTCAGGTCCTGCCGGCTCACGGCCGTGGGCACGCGCGCCGCGAGCATCGTTCAGGGGTCGAGGAGGTTCTCAAGTTTCGGTGCGCGCGCCCCGGCGCGTGAGCGTGCGAGCGTTGATGTGGTGCGTATGGCGGCGCGCTGCGCGCCCCGCGGCGCGGAGCGGCCGGCCGGCGGCGAGGCGACGGGCAGGCCGCGGCTCTTGAGCTTGATGCTCGACAGCGGCCCCAAGCTCTGCGCGTCATCTCCGGCTCTGCGCGTCATCATTGGCTTCAGCGTATCCACCCTACAACGACTTTGTGCGGGCTGCTCCCGTCTGAACGCGTTGGTGACACCGGGCGCCGTCGTCGGAGCCAGCGGTCGCCAGCATGGTGCTCTCCCAGGACGAGATCGACGGCGGGGCCCGGCGTCTTTGCCTGAATCGCGCCGCCCCCAGCCCCCCGAAACCGCCGCGCCCCACGAGTTGCCACCCGTAGGCTGCCGCGACGCGTTCCTGGCCTTCGACAAGGACCGGTCCGGGACCATCGATGTCTGGGAGCTGCGCCAGGTCCTCGAGGCCATGGGCCAGAAGCCCACGGAGGAGGAGCTCTTCCAGATGATCAGCGAAGTCGACGAGAACATGTCCGGGTCCATCGACTTCGCCGAGTTCCTCAAGGTCATCGAGAACCAGAAGGACCGCGCGGAGAACTTCGACGACGAGAACGACATGATCGACGCCTTCGTCGCCTGCGGCGGCCGGCCGGACAAGCACGGCCACGTGCGACGCGAGACGCTCGTGAAGATCATCAAGCACGACTTCGGCCTCACCATCGACATCGAGGAGCTCATCAACAAGATCGACACGGACCTGTCCGGCGAGATCGAGTTCGAGGAGTTCAAGGCCCTCCTCTCCTAGGCGAGGCGACGCCGCGCCGTAAAGACGACCCTTCTGGAGCTGCCATCCGGCCGCGGACGGCGCCGCGCGTCCGCGGGTCGCGTTCGAGGCGCTCAAGGCCCCCGCACGAGCGTCCACAAGGCCCCCGCACGAGCGTCCGCAGGTCGCGTTCGAAGACCGGGCGTCGCCGCGCGTGAGCAGCGAGGTCGCGTCCGCAGGTCGCGTTCGAGGCGAGACCCCCCACGAAACGACGCCCAACGACACCGAGCACAACAGCTCAGCTCTTATTGGCCTCGTCGCTCTCCCCCGCGGGCCGCTCGAAGTAGAACGTCTGCCGCCTCGACGAGAACCAGCTGCCGCGCGTCCGCGCCTCGCCGTTGGCGAGCCAGACGGGCAGCTTCCAGTCCCAGGCGACCGCGGCGACGCGGAGCACGAGCGCGACGGCGAACGCGACGTACGACCCCACGGGCACGGCCGACGCCGGCGCGACGCCGTCCCAGACCGCGTAGATCGTCGACGCGAGGAGCGCCGGCGCCGCGTAGAGGCTCTCGCCGGCCCGGAGCAGGCGGACGGTCCGGCCGCAGAGCGGGTCCGCGATCAGGCTCGCGAACGTCGACGTGCACAGGCCCATGAGCACGGCCACGAGCACGCCGCTCCGCTCCGGGCAGCAGTGGAGCGCGATCCAGGCGCCGTAGACGGAGTAGAAGGCCATGCCCGTCGCGTCCGGCAGCTCCAACAGCAGCTGCACCGCCGTCCGCTTCGTCCCGCCGAAGCCCGCCTTGTGCGCGATCCAGGGGTAGAGCGCGAAGGTCAGCAGGCTCGTCACCCCCAGCGTCGCCAGGTAGCTCGGGTCCGCGACCCAGAAGACGCGGCGCGACAGCATGAGGTCGCGCATCGTCGAGCCGCCGAGCGTACCCAAGAACGCGATCACGAGGCAGCCGACGCAGTCCATCTGCGCGCGGCCCGCGGCGATGGTCGACCCGAAGGACCAGAATCCGACGGCGACGTGGCCGGCGAGCTCGATGGGCTCGAGGGCGCCGCCGCGCGGGACCGCGATGGGCGAGACGTGGGCCTTGCGGCGCGGCGAGGGCTGGCGCAGCGCGCGCGACCGCAGCGGTCGCAGCGCGCCGGTTGCGACGCCGGCGAGCACGACGACGGCTTGCAAGCAGCGCATGGCTGCGTGGTTGTCGTCAGTGGATGTGCAACCGCGCTGACGCCGCAGATCGCCGCGGCCTCGGTCTGGGCGCTCTGGCTCGTGAGCTCAATCTTCAAAGCTGACAAAGGCGTCTTCAAGGTTGCTTCAACATGCAGCTCGGACGACTTTTTGGACCGACGCGCGGGCCCCACGCCCCGACTGCACGCCTCTTGGCCTTGGAGAGTGGGGGCTTTAGCAGTGTGTGCAAAAGTGACGCGCGTGCGGACGCGTGGCGCGGCGCGCGAGCCGCGTTTCGCGCTCCGAGTCTTGCAGATCTGGACACCTCAAGTGGATTCGTACTCGTGGCTCGACGTGTACCAAGCGTTAAATGGCTAATGCCCCGATAGTGGCGTCGATCGGAGAAGTAGACGAGGACACGAGGACGCGTCAGTGAAGTGATCAAAACTCATGTTCTATTGGCCTGGATTTAAAAGTCAACATTTTTGTTGAACTTCAGCATGTTTGTTGAAGTTAAATCTTGCGATTTCCGGACCCGAACCCACAACCGCGCGTGGAAAGTCACTGCAAACGTGCAATTGACGCGTGCGCTCACTTTGATACGACCATAGACGAATTTTGGCCGCGATTTCACCGCGCGATCGACGCGCGCACGGTCGACGCGCGCGCGGTCGATGCACAGCCTCTATGGACGACTAATGAATCTCGCTGCGCCGGGCCGAAATGTATTATTAATTAATTATTAATTATTCCTACGGGCCGGCCTAGATGTACGTTGATCACCACACTGGGACGCGTACGAGGCGACGCTTCGGACAGAAGAGCGATCGTTTTGAAAAGTTGGAGAGATTGGGCGCCTTCCGGAGCCTTGACGTCATAAGCTCGGGGATCGTCCATTCCCACGCGCCGGCACTGTCCGCCGGCATCCCACACCCCTACAACCCCTACGACCTCCCCCCCCCTGACAAGACCATCATGCTCGTCGAGACGACCCCCACGCCGACTCTGCGCTCCATCGACGCTCCTCCGCCCCCCCTAGCTCTCGACGCCTCCGACGGCCAAGTCACGCCGGCGGCCTCGGACATGCGTCGCGACGAGATGCGCGCGACGCTCGAGTCCTCGCCGGCCCTCGGGAACCTGCTCGAGTCCTGCAACCTCGAGGTCGACGACCTGCTCTGGCGCGCGAAGCCAACGAACGGCAAGAAGCCTCCGGCGCCGCCGCTCCGGCGGCCGCGGCGCGCCTCCCACGACGACGACTCGTCGGACGACGAGATCTTCGTCAAGCCCGCGGCGAAGAAGTCCTGCAAGATCGAGGCCGTGACGGCCTTCCCGTCGCCGCAGGAGGCGCGGATCAGCAACCGCGTCTCCGACAACGGGTCGCCGCTCCCGCCGTTCCCGTCCTTCGACTCGCAGTGAGCGGAGGAAGTGCGCGTCCCCCCCTCGCCGTAGCGGAGGAGGAGCGACGCCATCGACGGACGATCAGCAATCGCGTCCCGTACCGGGAGCCCGGACGCGACGCGCCCGCCCTTTCGCGGGCCGGAGCGCGTCCACCTGTGCCACCCCTGTCGGAGACACAACATTTCTTCTAATTAACATGTAAACATAACCGTTTAAAAGTTACCCGAACCCGCGGACCGTCTCCTCGAGCCGCGCCTCGGCCGCGCGGAGCGAGATCTCGAGCTTCTGCTCCATCTCGAGCGTCGAGGGCAGGTAGCGCGTCGTCGCCTGGCGGTTCGGCTTGAGGCCGTTGGCCTTCCACTTGGGCGCGTGGACGGGGAAGATGGTCGGGTCCGCGGCGGGCGCGACGGCGAAGGACGGCGGCCGCGGCGGCTTCGGCGCGGCGCGGACGCCGAGGTCGAGCGGCGGAGCGACGTCCGCGGCGACGGAGTGGCCCGACGCGTTGTAGAGCTCGTTGCGCGGCGGCGGCGACCGGGGCATGGGCGGCAACACGCCGTTGTTGACGTTGCCGACCGTGAGCTGCGCCGTGCCCGATAAAACCGTCGCGACGTCCGCGCGTCTGTCGTCGTGGCGCGCCGCGTACCACCGCTTCTTCACCACTTGCCGCCGCGGCCGGAGGCCGTTGGTCGACGTGGACTGGTAGGACGAGTTGTCGTGGCTCAGGCCCGACACGTTGGAGGCGTAGGACGCGTCGTCGTCGAAGGAGCCGCGGCGCTCGGAGCCGCGCTCCGTGCTCCACGAGTACGCGCCACTCGGCGGCGGCGCCTGCTGCAGGTTCGTCACGGAGAAGGCGAAGGCCGGGCCGTTCGTGCCCCGCGCGACGCCGCGCCGCGCGACGTCGCGGTGCGGCCGGTACTCGTCGGCCGTCTCCGGGTGGGGCCCGTAGACGTCGTGGGGCCTGGGCAGCAAAAGGGTGATTCAACGTCGCTTCAACGTGAGTGTTCCGCGCGCGCGCGTTCCGGGAAAAGCATCCACGCTTCGAGACCGTTCCGAGAGATGATCGCTCGTCCAAAAATCAGCCGAAACGAGTGGAAAACTGCCGAGATATGAGCCTTTGAAGTTGGGAATTTCGCTCTCTTTTGCTGCCCTGCGTGGGGCTTCTTCTCGCGCGCGTCCGCGTGGCAGTAGGCCAGGAGCGGGTCGCCGGCGTCGCCGAGGAGGTCCACGGTCATCTCGAGCGTGTTGCGCCGCAATTTCTGCTCCGCGGGCTCCATCGTGCCCCGGCGCTTGCGGCCGCCGACGGACGCGACCTCGACGGCCTCCGCGGAGACCGCGCCGACGGCGCCCGGCGGCGGCGCGTCCGCGGGCGAGAGGTCCGGCGTCGCGACCTTGGGCTGGTTCGAGATGGGCGGCAACAGGTCGAGGATGGGCCCCCGCAGGCTCAGCGGCACGATGGCCATGCCGCGGCTCGGCCCCCGGAGCGACTCGCGCTGTTTTTCGGTGGCGACCTGGCGCTGCCGCTCCTTGGCCCAGGAGAGGATGGACCCGTAGGGCCGCCCGTTGAAGACGACCTGGGGCACGTGGTGGCCCCAGGACTGGGCCTGCATGATCTTGACGGCGATGACCTCCTTCTGGCCGTCGATCTCGCCGATGCGCTTGAGGATGCGCCGCAGCCGCTTGCTCAGCGTGCGCTGCTGCATCTGGAGGGCCTTGCGCATCTGGAGCTCCCCCGCGCGGCCCGCGGCCTCCTTCTTCTTCTTCCTCTTGGGGTTGAAGGCCGCGGCCATCTTGCCCATCGCGCGGATCTTGTTCTTCTGCTCGCGGAAGGACTTGGCGCGGTCGTGGTGCGCGCGCTCGCCGGACGTCATGGCGTCGACGCGCCGGTTCGCCGCGGCGCCGGACGCGGCCATGATCGCCGCCTGCTGCTCGCTCTGGCCGCGCTGCGACGCGGACATGGCGAGGAAGGAGCCGCGCCGCTCCGAGCCGCCGGCCATCGTCACGCGGCCGCGCGCGGCGGCCCGCGTCGCGTCGGCGTGGGCCTCGGCGGCGGCGGACGCGTCCTGGGGCGCGACGGCGAAGCGCCGGTGGCGCCGCTCCTCCGAGGACGCGCCCGGCGTCACCGCGGCCTCGTAGCCCGCGACGATGTCCGCGCCCGAGTTGACCTGGGCAGCAAAAGAAAGATTCAACGTCGCTTCAACGTGAGTGTTCCGTGCGCGCGCGTTCCGGGAAAAGCATCCACGCTTCGAGACCGTTCCGAGAGATGATCGCTCGTCCAAAAATCAGCCGAAACGAGTGGAAAACGGCCGAGATAGGAGCCTTTGAAGTTGGGAATTTCGCTCTCTTTTGCTGCCCTGGAGTTGACGGACGCGTCGTCGTCCCGCGGGGACGGGAAGGCGCCCTCGTCGTCGAAGACGGGGCTCCGGCCCCGGGTCGACCCGCCGGACTCCAGGCTCCGGCCCATGGGGCTCGTCGTGCCGCTGCCCGCGGGCGGCGTGGGCACGGACACGGACACGGCGTTCGGCGACGCGCCCCTATGGTTCCGCTCCGTCGCCGTCGCCGCGCGCTCCTCGGCCGCGGCGCGCCGCTCGGCGACGAAGCCGTCGTCGTCGTCGTCGCTGCCGGAGTCGCTGTCGGAGGAGCTCGCGGAGCTCGCGGACGGCGGCTCGTCGTCGTCGGTCTCGTCGGCCTTCGTGTCGAGCTTCGTGTTCACGTTCTTGAGGGCCGCGACCTCGCGGAACTTGTCGAACATGAGGCCCGCGCGCTCCTCGTTGAGCTCGCGCGCCTGGGACAGCAGGGCCTGCATGCGCCGCTGGAGCCGCACGGCCGCCTCGTCCTTCTCCTGGATCATGATCTTCGCCTTCTTCAGCTCCGCCTGGTAGGCGGCGTTCTGGCTCGAGACCTTTTGCACCGAGGCTTCGAGCGTGCCGATCTTGGCCTCGTGGTGCTTGATCGTGCCCTCGTGGTGCGCGATGGCCTCCTCGGCGTCGCTGATGAGCGCCTTGTGGCGGTCGCGCTCGCCCTCGAGCTCCTCGATGATGCCCTGGTTGAGCAGGATCACCTCGCGCTGCTCCTCGAGCATGGCCGCCTTCGACGCCCGGTCGTCGTCGTCGTCGTCGCTGTCCGTGGCGACGCCGCCGTCGGGCGACGCCGCGCGCGCCTCGGGCGACCCCGGCGCGGCCGCGCCGCCGTCGCCGAGGGACCGCGACGCCCCCGCCGGCGACGCGGACGCCGAGCCCGGGGCGCCCGCGGGCGCGCCCGTCGCGGCGTCCGTGCCGTCGGCGTTGTGCTTCTCGCCGTCGAAGCTGATCGTCTCGAGCTGGAGCACGTGGATCTCGACGCACCGCGCCGCGGCCGCGGCGAAGTCCAAGAGGCGGTCCAGCGCCGGGGGCGCGTCCGCCGCGTCCTCGACGACGACGGCCTCGGCGACGGACGCGTGGCGGAAGGCCGTGGCCAGCGCCATGGCGCTGTCCTGGCCGTGGCGCGCCTGCGAGAAGTCGCGGCCGGACTGGGCCTGCTTCTGTAGTAAACCCTGGGCGACGTGGGCCTCGTTGACCTTGTGCACGACGGCGCTGTGGAGGCTCTTGAGGGCGTCCGTGATGCCCTCGACGGCGCCCGCGGTGGCGCGCGAGAGCGACGCGGAGAGGACGGCCGCGTCCGCGTCGCGGCGGTCCTCGACGCGCGCGACCTCGACTTCAAGATTCGCCACCTCGGCGGACATGTCGACGGCGAAGCCCTTGGGCGTCGACGGCTTGCCGTCGAGGTCGGGCACGACGACCTGCTGCACGACGACCTGCGGCGGTGGCCTCTCGAGCGCGGAGAGCGCCTCCTGGGCGAGCGCGGCGACGACGGCGGCCTCGACGGCGTCGCGCATGTCGGCCTTGACCCGGCGGATCTGCTTCTTCGCGTCCTTGGCGCCCGCGTTCGCCTCGTCGACGAGGACGTGGAGGTGCTCGATGACCATGCCCTGCATGCGGCTCCGGTCCTCGACGGGCCACAGGTCGAGATCCACGTCCAAATCCGGCACGCCCCGCTCGTCGACGATGGCCGCCGCCCAGCCGCCGCCGCCGTCGAGCGCGCCGCGGAGCGCGTGGTACTCGCGCACGAGGCACCGGTGCCTTTCCGCGAGGTCGACCTTGGACAGCCGCGTCGTGTCGAGGCGGCCGCCCAGAGCCACGAGCTCGCCGTGGACCGTCGCCGCCGCCGCGGCGAGCTCGCCCAGGGGCGCGGCGCCGACGGCGTCGTAGAGGAAGAGCTCGCGCGTGCCGTCGGGCCGCGCCGGCGGCGCGCGCGGCTGCCAGACCATGCGCTCGTCGCCGCGGCTCAGGCGCGCGTCGTCGAGGGAGCTCTGTAATTCCGCCTCCCATTCGGCCAACGTCGCCTTGGCCGCCCAGCGCGCGTCGCGCAGCAGCGCGAGTGCCAAAGACAGCTCGCGGACGCCGTTCTGCTCGAGCGCGTCCCGCAAACTCAGGCACCGGTCGTCGTCCTGGGCCTTGGTGGCCTCGACGAAGGCGTCGAGGATCGCGGCGACCTGGGGCGCGTCGTCCTCGACCTTCTCCAGGGCCTGGGGCCAGGCGTCCTTGGCCTTGGCGTGCGCCTGGCGCACCTCGGGCGCGGGGCCCTGTCGCGTGCGCCGCGCGAGCTTCGCGGCGCCCTTGGCCGCGAACAGGGTGCCGTCGGCGCTCGACGACTTGGGCCGCGTCGCGCCCTCGACGGGCATGGCCGGCGCGGCGGCGGGCGGCTCCGGCGGCGCGGGCTCCGGCGGCGCGGCCTCGGCCGCGGCGGCCGCGGGCGCCGCGGCCGCGGCGTCCGTCGCCGCGCGGGTTTCCTGCGTGGCCTGCGCCACCGCCGCCTCCAGGACGCCCATTTCCAAGTCCACCTTGGCCCGGGCGGCGTCGGCCCTCGCCTTGTGCTTCGCGTTGTTCGTGGCCAGAGCGTCCTTGACGGCCGCGTTCACGGCCTGGAGCTTCTCCTTCTCAAAGACCTCCCGCGCCTCCTCGAGGGCCGCGGACACGGCCTGGGCTTTCTCCGCCTCCGCGGCCTCGACGGCGACCGAGGGCTCCGCGGGCAAAGATCGCTCCGGCGGCTCGGGCGACGCGAGCTTTGCGAGCGCGTCGGCGCCCGCGTCCGCGCGGTTCCGCGCGTCCTCCTCGCGCTCCTCGGCGGTCTTCTCCGGCTCGACGACCTTCTTCCGGTCGTCGTCGCTGTCGTCGGGGTCGTCGTTGGCGCCGACCGTGCCGATCTGGCCCGCCATCTTCTGGAGCATCTCCGCGGCTTCCAGGCCCTTCGACGCCATCTCGCGCGCGCGCTCCTCCTCCGTCTTCGGCCGGCTCGCGGGCTGGGATGGTTCCGTGCTCCCCGGCCGCGTCGGCGCCGCGGGCGACGCCGGCTCCGCCTTCTGGAGCTCCGCCGCGGCGGCCGCCGCGGCGCCGCGCGGGCTGCCCTCGACGGGCGTGCCGGGCTCCTCGGGCGTCCAGTTGATCGACGACGCGCGCGAGCTGTGGAGGCCGTCGGCGCCGAGCACGCCGCCGGCGTTGGGCGTCTCGTGGACGGCCATGCGGAGCCACTTGGGCTCCGGGCCCGCGACGGTCTGGCCCTTGCGGTACGTCGACACGCGCTTGCCGTCCTCGTCGACCGCCGCCTCCTCCTCCTCGTCGTCGCCGTCCTCGTCGGCCTCGGCCGGCGGCGCGGGCCGCGGCGCGTTCGCCGGCGGCGTCTTCGCGGCCAACGCCGCGGCGACGTCCGCCGGCGGCGACACGGCGCGCGACGCGACGGGCGTCGGGTAGCCGCCCTCGTCCTCGAGCTCGCGCTCGCGCGTCAGCCGCTTCGCGTAGGCGAGGATGGCCTTGCGGATGCGCCGGCCCTTGGCCCTGTCCTCCGCCTCGAAGTCGCCGCCCTCGTCCTCCTCGTTGAGCGATTTCCTGCCGAACATGCCCCCGAGGCGGCTCATCAGACGCTCGCTCTGCGTCTGCTTCCGGTGGAAGGCCGACTGCATCAAATTCGCCTTGCGCTTCGCCGCGCGCAGCAAGTTGCGCTCCGCGCGCTCCGCGCGCTTGTCGCCCTCGACGCCGGAGTCGCGGTCCATGTCTTCGAGGAATTTCGCGACGGCCTTGTGGTCGACGTTGTCCTCCGCGACGTCCTCGAGGAGCTTCACGGCGCGCTTCTGATTCTTCTTGATGCGCGCGACCTCCTTCTTGAAGCTCTCCGAGGCCTCGGCCGCCGCCGTCGTCTCCCGGAGCGCGGCGCGGTTCGCGAATTCCAGCTCCTCGAGCTGCGCCGCGTGCTCCTTGAGGATCGCCTCCTCGCGCAGGCCGTTGCGCTTCAATTCCTTTTCGAACTGGAGCCGCGCGTCCTCGAGCTCCCGCTTGTGGAGCTCCTTGAGCTCCTCGATCTTGCTGTGGAGCCGGAAGTTCTCCTCGGACATGTGGTCGAACTTCTCCTGCATCGCCCGGCTCTTCTCCTTCATCATCTTCGACCCCCGCGTGCGCCGGTCGTAGGACCCGAAGCTCAGCGCCACGTCCGGCTCCGCCTCGCCGCCGTCGCCGTCGTCGTCGTCGTCGTCGTAGAACTCCACGGGGTCCGTCATGCAGCCCGCGTCCTCGTACTCCGTGTCCGCGCGCTCGGTCTCCCTGGCCGTCTGCGCGCGGAGCTTCTCCTCGGCGCTGACGGCGCGGTGCTGCTCGTGGCCCGCCTTGTCCGTCATCTCGACGAGGCTCTGCTCGTCCCGCTCCTCCTCGACCTGGTAGAACGCCGCGAGCGCCGCGGACTCGGCCGCGGACCGCTCGAAGCGCGCCGCGGCCGCGAGCGCGGCGTCGTACTCGTCCCGCTCCTTGGCGTTGCGCGCGGCGACGAGCTTGTGCTCCGCGAGGCGGTCCTCGACGGCGGCGTGCGCGCGCTTCGCGAGCTTGGCGAGCTCGCGCGCGCGGCGGACGCCGTCGCGCGCGGCGCCGTAGGCCGCGGCCGCGGACACGAACGCGCGGTCGCCCGCGCGGCGCCGCTTCTCCGCCTCCTGGTCCGCGGCCCGGCGCTCGCTCCGCCGCGCCTTCTCGTCCTTGAGGACGCGCGCCTCCTCGGCGTGCTTGAGCTCGCTCTCGGACGTCTTCGACTCCAGCGTCTTCAGCTGCGCGGCCATCTTGCCGCGGTTCCGCTCGAGGTCCTTGATCTTCGACTGGAGCTCCGAGTTCTCGTTGCGCTCGCTCCGGAGCGCGACCTGCATCATCTCGTCCGCGCGCGCCTGCTGCTCCCGGAGGCCCTTCTGGAGCGCCTCGTCGGCGTCCTTCTTCGCGTCCGCGGCCGTCGCCTCCGCCTCCTTGAGCTGCTTCGCGAGGCCGTCGGCGCGGCGCCGCTCGCGCTCCTGCGCGCGCGCGAGGCCCGCGGCGGCGCCCGAGCCCTTGCCGTCCGTGAGGACGTTGTTGAGCTCGTTCCGCAGCTTCGAGATCGTGATGTCGCGGCCGGAGATCTCCTCCTTGAGGTTCGCGATCTTCTCCTGGAGCTTGTCGAAGTTGTTGCCGCCCTTGTCGTCGTCGTCCTGCGTCAGCGCCGAGAGGTGCACGTCGAGGTCGCGCTCGCGCAGCGACTGCTCCTGCATGCGGAGCTTGCACCCCAGGTCGACGATCTCCGTCTCCAGGCGCGTGATCGTGTCCTCGTACTCGTCGACGACGGCGATCCACTCCTCGCGCTTGTGCGCCTCGCGCAGCTCCAGCGCCTTCTTCTCGCCCGTCGACTCCGTCGCGAGCGCCGCGGACGCGTCGGCCTGCGCGCGGAGCCGCTCGCCCGCGTGCTTCGCGTTCTTCAGCGCGCGCTCCTGCTTGAAGCACTTCTCCGTGGCGTCCAGCAGGCGCCGCTTGAGGTCCTTCGTGTAGGTCTGGGCCGCGAGCTCCTCCTTGGCTTTCCCGGCGCTCGCGAGGAGCCGCTCCCGGGCGACGGTGATCGCGCGCTTCGACTGGACGTAGACCTCGCGCGCGTTCGGCGGCGGCGGCTCGACGGGCCGCGCCTCCCAGAGCTCCTCCTCCGCCGACTTCTTCGCCGACGACCGCAGGGAGCTCCCGCGGCGCGTCGACGCCGCCGTCTTGCGTTTGGTTTTGCGCCGCTCGCGGTCGTCCGCGGCGACGGCGCCGAACCGAGCGTCCGCCTCGTCCTCCTCGACCTCCTCCGCGGGCTCCTCCTCGTCGGGCCGCGGCGACTCGTAGTTGGCGAACCACTCGGACGTCTCGGAGGCCTGGGCCGTCGCGACGTTGACGTAGTGCTCCGTCGCCGTGACTCTGTCGTTGTCGACGGCCTCCGACGCGATGGTCAGCAGCCGGTTGAACTCGCCCTGGGCCCGCTCCGTCTGCCGCAAACACGTCTCCGTCTCCATGGCCTGCTCGAAGATGGCCGCGTGCGACATGTCGACGACGCCGCTGTCCTTGTCCTGCTCCCGGTCGATGGCCGCGACGGTGGACGCGATGCGCGCCATGATGACCTTCTGCTCCTGCTGGATCTCGAGCTTCTGCTCGGCCTCCGTCTTGTCGCCGCCGAGCGCCGCGTGCGACCGCGCGGGCTTCTTGGGGCCCTTGCGGCTCCGGCCGCGCGGCGCGTCGTCGCCGTCGCCGCCGCGCGCGCCCGCGCGGCTCGCGGTTTTGCGCGGCCGGAGCGCGCGGCCGCCGGCCTTCTTCTTCGGCTGCAGGGCCTGCGTCACCACCGTGTCGGCCTCGCCCTTGGGCGCGCGCGGCCGGCCCTTGCTCTGGGGCCGCCGGCGCTGCCTCGGCTCGGGCTCGAGGCTCGGGTCGCCCTCCATGAAGCGCTTCGCCACGGGCACCTTCGGCTGCGCCTTGTCCTTCTTCTCCACAGCCGACAGCTGCCGCGCGCTGCGCGACGTGATCATGGCTGCGCAATGCGGCGCGACGCCGCGGCCAGACCGCCGCCGCGGTCGGCAGGGCTGCGCTGCGGTTTGGGAATGATCGTTGACTTCAACATGCTCCAGCAAAGACTCGTCTCTCTCAGCCGATGTGCATCTGAACGCTCTGCGAGCTGTGCACCTGAACGCTCTGCGAGCTGTGATGCGCGCCGTCGCGCTCGTCCTCGTTGCCAGCGTCGCCTCTGGCCTGCGCGCCGCGCCGCGCATCGCCGCGCGTGCGCGCGTCACCATGGGCGGCGCCGGCGACGTGAAGCGCTGGTTCGTCGACGCGGGCCTCGGCGAGGCGAAGCCGTCCGGCGGGTCCCTGGGCGGCTCGGGCTGGTCGCAGACGGGCAAGTGGGTCACGGACGACGCGTCCTACTTCGTCAAGCAGTCGAGCCGGTCGTGCGCGTCCATGTTCGCCGGCGAGGCCGCGGGCCTCACGGCGATGCGCGACGCCGCCGGCGACGCGGGCGGCCTGCGCATCCCGGAGGTCTTCGTCGCGAAGGACTACGAGGACGGCAAGGGCTCCTTCATCGTCATGGAGTTCCTGAACATGGGCAGCCGGGGCGACATGCACGCCTTCGGCCGCGCGATGGCGCAGATGCACCTGTCGTCGCCCGCGGTCCCCGAGGCCGCGGCGGGCCAGTTCGGCTTCCCCGTGGACAACACGATCGGCGCGACGCCGCAGCCCAACGGCTGGACCGACGACTGGGTGGCGTTCTACCGCGACAAGCGCCTCGCGCACCAGGTGAACCTGGCGGGCGACGCGTCCATCGACAATTTGTGGCGGAAGCTGAAACCGCGGCTCGGCGAGTTCTTCGACGCCGACGAGGCCATCGAACCCGTCATCCTCCACGGCGACCTGTGGAGCGGCAACATCGGCACGGCCGAGGGCGCGCCGTCGATCTTCGACCCGGCGTGCTACTTCGGCCACCACGAGGCGGAGTGGGGCATGAGCTGGTGCGCGTCCCTCGGGCCCCAGTTCTGGCAGGGCTACCGCGAGCTCATCCCCGAGGCGCCGAAATTCGCCCAGCGGCGGCCGCTCTACGAGGCCTACCACCAGCTCAACCACTACAACCTGTTCGGCGGCGGCTACCGCGGCGCGGCCTGCCAGTGCCTCGAGCAGTGCCTCAGGTCCCTCGACTAAGCATCATACGCCACGAGGAGCTCCTCGCCGGGTTCGACGTCCCGCAGGAGCACCCACGCGAGCGCGGGCCGGCCGAGCGCGACGACGCGCCACTCGACGTTCGGCGTTTCTTCGCCGCGCGCCTCGTTGAGGTAGAACGTCGGCGCCGCGCGGTCGTCGTCGCGGACGCGGAAGTAGCAGTCGTCGGCCTCCGTCTCCGCGACGACGACGCGGCCGCGCCGAGCGTCGGCGGCCGCGGGCGCGCCGCCGCGCGCGACCGCGCAGGGGTCCACGAAGCACTCGCCGCGCGCGACGCGGCGCCGGGCGATCGTGCCGTACCCGTGCGCGACGCCGGCGCGCGTCACCTCCACGGCCTCCGCGAGGCGCCGCATCTTGCGGCCGTGGACGCGCGCGAAGCCGGAGTCGCCGGCGACGATGTCGCCGGCGGCGTAGAACGGGAGCCGCGGCGCCGGCGCGGGCGGCGATTCCTCCTGGGCAGCGCTCGGCGCGGCGGTCGATGTGCCGCCGCGCGTCATCCGCTAGCCGCGAAGGAGGTACCAGGCCGCGCCGACGAGCAGCGGCGCGCCGCAGAAAATTGCAGAGATGATCGGCAGCGCGAAGGTCTCCTCGCTCGTCGCGTATCAGCGAATCTCGCGCCAGACGACGGCGCTCACGGACTCGTCGACGAGGAGCGGCGCCCGCACCGGCTGCTTGACGTCGAGCACCGGCTGCTCGACGTCGAGGGAGAGGGCGATTGTGCGCAAAGTGTTCAAAGCAGCAAGTTGAAGGGCACAGATTACAGTTGCACTTCGCGAGGGAGACGACGCGGACGGGGGGAGGGCGGGCGCGGGGCAAAATCGGTGCGGCGCGCATACAAAGCCCCACTCTTTTCAGGCGCAGAGGACGAAGTTGGGCGCCTCGCCGCGGCGCTCGAGCGTCTTGACGAAGTTTCCGGCGCCGTCGAGGTGGAGCACCGCGCGGTGGTTCGGGTCCGTGGCGACGTAGAGGGCGTCGCCGCCGGCGGCGAAGGTGAGGGACCAGGGGTTGACGAGGTCCGCGGGCAGGCCGCACCGCTCGGGCTCCGACAGGAGCGCGCCGAGGTCGACGTACGTCGACGGCGAGAACGCGCCGGCCGGGCCGTCGCGGGAGAAGCGGACGACGCGGCCCGCGCCGCCGACGCCGTACTCCGTGACGAAGAGGTCGCCGGCGTGGGCGTGGGCGCGCGGCGCGAAGGCCATGCCCCCGGGCCGCGTGAGCGCCGTCGCGACGACGCGGACGCCGTGGGAGACCTTGCGCCGGCCGTCGGCCCCGCGCTTGTCGAGGAGCGTCTCGTCGACCTCGAGGATCTCGCCGTGGCGGGCGACGTGGGCGGCGTCGCCGGGCAGGTCCGCCTGGAAGTCGTAGGGCGGCGACGCGGACACGAGGAGCCGGTCGGTCTCCGGGTCCACCGCCAAACCCCAGCACCACTCGGTCGTCCGCAGGTGCACCGTGCGCGCCGCGTCGACCCGGCCGGACCGCGTCACGGCGACGACGGCGCTGTGGTAGGACGCGCAGACGCGGAGCCGGCCCTTCCAGAACGCGACGCCCTCGGGGTGGCGGAGCCGCGCGTCGGCGCAGAGGACTTTCACGAAGCGGAGGTCGTTGTCGAGGCCCAGGGCGTACTCGAGGATGGCGTCGCCCTCCCAGTTGGCGACGTAGACGGCGCGCGAAGTGTGGCCCGCGTCCCAGGGCCCAAGGCAGAGCGAGCTGCACCAGTGCCGCGGCTTCCGCCGCGCGCGGAACGCGGCCCGGCCCAGCGGCGCGACGCTCCGGTGGCTCGCGAGCTCCTCGGCGGCCGACGCGGCCCAGGTCTGGAGCAGGCTCACGCGGCTCGGCGTCGCGACGAGCAGCCGGCTCGCGCACCGGCTCCGCGACGCCGCCCACGCGGTCCACTCGCGCGACGCCGCGCCCGCGACCTCGACCTCGTCGTGGCGCAGCCAACCTGCGCGCGGCGGGTATGTGTGCGCGCGCGTCGCGTGCGCGCGGGGTGGACGCACCGAGCACGTGCGCCACGAGCTCGGGGCAGCGCACGACGGCCGCCGTCGCGAAACCGAACGCGACGGACGCGTTCGGCTTCGCGCCGCGCCGCGGCGGCTTCTCGACGAGGCCGCCGAGCTTGGAATAGGTCAGCAGCGCCCGCGGCGGCACGCGCCGCCGCCGCGGCGGCGCGACGGTCTGCACCATCGCTGTCGATGTTCGGACCAGGGTCATTGCGGTTCGCGTCGACGGCTTCCAGATTTCGGCAGCAGCGTGGGCTGCTCCACCGACTTCAGCACCCGTGTCGGCTTGACGTTCTCGACGAGATGCTCGCCATGCTCAAGCTCTTAGGCCTTCTCGCGCTCTCGGCGCAGGCGCTCTCGCCGCGGTGCGTGTCCACCGTCGCGCGGCTCCGCGGCGGCGGCGACGACGACTCGCTCTTCGGCGGCGACGACGCCGCGCCCGCGGGCGCGTCGACGTCCATGGCGGACATGATGAACAGCATGGGCGGCATGCCGCCGGGCTTCAACGGCGCGTGCCTCCCGCGTCTTTCCCACCGCGCGCGCCGCCCTCGACCGCCGCGACCGTCCGCAGGCGACCCGGCGGAGTACGAGGCGGCCATGGAGCAGTTCCTCGACTCGCCGATGATGCAGGAGTTCCTCAACGACCCCGAGAAGATGGAGCAGTCGCGGCAGGCGCTGCTCAACAACCCCATGGCCATGCAGATGATGCAGCAGATGCCCGGCTTCGAGGAGATCATCAACGACAAGGACAAGTTCCAGGAGCGCATGCTCGCGTCGAAGGCGCAGTTCGACGCCATGCGCAAGGAGGCGGGCAAGAGCAGCGCCGCCGAGCAGGCCGCGGCCTCCGAGTTCGACGACTAGCGCCGCGCCGCCCCCGGTATAAAAGCGCGTCGCCCCGCCCCCTTAGCCCACGCCGCCCGCCGCGAGGCACGCGAACGTCGCGCAGTAGCCAAAGTAGGCGAAGTCGTCGGCGTAGGTCGCCGCGACGACGGCCGCCGTCTCCGCCGTGTAGAACTCGAGGAGCCGCCCCGTCGCGTTCGTCGGGTGGACGTTGTCCGTCACGACGGGCGCGGGGAGATAGAATCCCGACTGCCCCGCGAAGCCGCGCCACGCGTCGCCGAAGAGGCCGGCTCGGTCGACGCCGGCGTCGTCGACGAAGCCGTCGAACCACGTCGCCATGGTCTCGAGCTTGAGCACGCGCGGCGGCGCCTCGAGGCACCGCGGGCCGCAGATGCTCGTCTGGGGGCAGAGGTGGTGGTTCGAGAGGCACGCGCGCGCGGCGCCCGCCGCCAGCGTCGACTGCATGTACCTAGAGGAGGGGGGGGGGCGCTCGCGGCCGCCCGGCGCGCGGCGGGCCTCGCCTGCGGAAGCGCCCGGGCGTCGGCTCCTCCTTCCGGCCGCCGACGCGGCAGTTCTTGTGCTCGCCGCCGACGCAGCCGTTCGACTGGTGGTACCTGCGTTTTTTTTCGGAGCGTCGCGCGCGGCGGCACGCGACCGACGGCGCCGGCGGCCGCGCAGGTAGAAGGAGAGCGCGCGCGCGAACGGGTTCCGAGCGACGATGAAGACCTCGCCGCCGTCCGCGTAGTTTTCGCGCGACCGCTCGCCGAGGTGGCCCCGCGCCTCCTTCTCCGAGGCCGGCGGTCGGCCCTTGGACGCGTAGAACGTGAAGGCGGCCCAGTTGCGGTTGCCGTTCTTCTGGGGCACGCAGAGCGTACCGTTGGCGGGGAGCGCGTAGAGGTGCGGCTCGACGCCGGGCAGGCTGCAGTTGCTGAACGGCCGGTCGTGGTGCCGCAGGCGGCGCGCGTCGCGAAGCGGCGCGCCGCGGCCGGCGACGAGCAGCGACCACACGAGCGGTCCGACATATTTTTTTTTGACCATCGATGGCTGCCCTTGACGCGGGGCCAAGTTGATGCTCAACCCAATCTGTTACATGAATGATAACGCCGAAGCTTATGGGGCGGCTTTCGGAGGGTGCGCGGGGGTGGTTTCGCGCAGCGGCCGGTGGTGGGGCTCGCCGCGTCGGCTCCGGGGGGCGCTCGGGGAGGAGCACCCCGCTGCGCGCGTCGATTGGGCGGCGGGGCGCCGAGCGCGAGAGCTTGCAGTGCTTGGCCGTCGGCGCGACGTCGCCCACGGGCCCGGGGGGCTGCCGCGCGCGCTCGCTTCGTTCGGATGCCTTCGGCGTGAGTCTTGGGGGGAGCTGGTGGGGTCGGCGCCCTCGATGGCTTCGGTGTGCGGGCTTCGATGTGCCCGTGTCCATTCGTTTCTCTGCATTCTGCAGCGTCTCTTCGTAGCGTGGCGCTGTGTGCGGCTCCGTCGACGTCGGCGTCTTCGCTCTCTTCGTCGGCGTCTTTGCTCTCTTCGGTCCCGCTGACCACGGGTGTCCTCTTCGGCGGTGCCCTCGGCTAGCCACTTGTGGTCCTGAGGTTGAATCGGCCTAGTCGAGCCGGACGTCCTGCCCGTCGGGTGCGGGTGCCTTCGTTCTCAACCTCCCCCGGTCCACGGAGAGTCCGTTGAGTGTCGTCTGAATGAGGCGACTCAGGATGCTACTGCCTTGCGCCAGTCCCGGCGTGCTCTCGGCGTGGCGGTGGTACCAGGCGTGGCGCGAGTGTACCGCCGCCTCCGTCCCGAGTGCGCGCACGATCTTCAGGGTGGAGGAGGGGGCCGGTGTGGTTCGCCAGATCCCCGGCTAGGCCTCCGCCCGCGCCTTCCCCGGCGGGATCTTCGGGTGTGCTCCCCCTTCAATAACTTGGTCAACGTTGGCGGCACTACTAAGCTGATGGGCTGCTTCGGATCCCCCTCACATGTGACAGCCTTCCTCGGCTGATGGGCGCGGCCTGCTTCGCCTGCTCCTACATGGCGCACGGCACCGACGTGACGCGCCTGCGCCGCAAGCTCTGGAGCAGCGCCCCCGTGGCCTGCGAGCTCTGGGACAAGCCCGCGGTGGCGTCCTGGATGGACGGCTGGCACGGCTGGGGCGCCGGCAGCTACGGGGCGCTGCTAAACGTGCCCGCCGTGCGGGACTTGCTCGAGAAGAAACGACCGGTCGTCTGCGACTTTGGCTGCGGGCCGGGGCTCCTCGTCGAGCGGCTCCAGCCCCGCTGCGGCCGCGTCGTCGGCTTGGACGTCGCGAAGAGCATGGTCGACGTCGTCGAGGGCAAGCGCCGCGCGCGGGGCTGGTCCAACGTCGAGGCCCGCTGCGTCGACGTCGCGCGCTGCGACGTCGAGGAGCTCCGGGCGCTCGGGCCCTTCGACCTCGTCGTCTCCGTGACGGTCCTGTCCTTCGTCGCGAGGAGGGGTGGCGCAGCCGCCGCGGCCGTCGACGCGCTGCGCCGGTGCATGGCGCCGGGCGGGCTCTTCGTCCACTTCGACTGGCCCGACGGGGACTGCGGGAGCCGGGCCGGCGCGAACAGACTCTACGCGGCCGCGGGGCTCGAGCCCGTCCACGCGGGCCACGCGACCATCGACGGCGGCGGCGTCTTCGTCGGCGTCGCCCGGAATAGCGGCGCGGGCTGAGCCTCCTCGGGGAGCGTGTTTTTTTTTTTTTTTTTGGGGGGTCGGTAGAGCTTCGGTAGAGGTTAATTCGAGGGCAACGACAGGGGCAACGAAACCTGCATCACCAAGTTGCAGTGCGCAAAACGAAAAAATTATGATGGAGCCCATATAAATTATAAGCGATGCGCAGGGCCGCCCGGTGCTGCCTGGCATGGGCCGCGATCGCCGCCGGCGGCTCCCTGCGCGGCGCGACGCGCCGCCGCCTCGGGAGCCGGCGCGAGTCCTACGCCGTGCTGCTCTACGGCCACCACGGCCACACGGCCGGCGCCATGGTCCTGGGCGCGGTCCTGCGGCGCGCGGACCCGGGCCGGGCGCGGACGGCGCTCGTGGCGAACATCAGCGACGCCGCGCGGGCGTCGCTCGGCGGCGGCGGCCTCTGGGACCTCGTCGAGAGCGACAGCTTCCGCCGCTACGGAGTCGACACGGAGGCGACGGACTACGCGTCGGTCTGGCCCGGGCGCAAGCTCGACCTCTGGGCGCTGCCCTACGACACGGTCGTCTACATGGACCTGGACATCATGCTCCTCGAGTCGGCGACCCTGAGGGCGCACCTCGACGGCCTCTTCCGGTCGCCGCTCGCCGCGCCCGGCGGCGGCGGCCCGGGGAGCGTCGTCGCGCTCAAGTCGCGCGGCGACTGCCTGAACAGCGGCACCATGGTGCTGCGGCCCCACGCCGCCACCTTCGAGGCCCTCGAGGCGACGCTCAACGACGCGGGCCGGTGGAAGGCGTCCTGCCCGGGCCACGACCAGAAGGTGCTCAACGCGGTCTTCGACGGCCGCTGGGCGCCGCTGGAGCGCTGGAACTACGTCAAGGTCACGGAGCACAGCTGCGGCCGCATCCCCGAGACCCCCGACGCGCTCCACTTCTTCGCGGACTCCGCGCCCTGGACCTCGGAGTGCCAAGCTGCGTGCGAATCACATCTTCAACCCGACTTCAATGTGCGCCTATTCGACGGTTGCGACACGAGCACTTCAACTGCGCTTCGAGAACTGGACGAGAGCAATCGATTTGTCCAAAAAACAAGCCGAATCGATTTGACCGAGCTCGAGATTTCTGACCCCGACGTCCCAGCTCACTCGTCGATTTCCACACAGGTGCCGCGCGTGCGCCGCCGCGGGCAAGCTCTGCAGCCGCCGCCGCCACGTCGACGCGAGCCACGAGGGCATCAGCGACTGCATGCTGCCGCGCATGCGAAACGCGCAGCGGGCCTGGTGGGCCGAGTGCGCCGCGCTCGACGGGTGCGGCGCGGGCGTCGTCCGCGCGCCCGGCGCGGTCTGCTAGGTCTTTGCGGTCTGCGTTACGGAAGAGAGGGGGAGAAGGGGGGGGCGCCTACTCGGCGGACCCGGGCTCGTCCTCGGGGACGGGGTCGCCCATGTCGACGTAGTCCGCGTCGAAGTGGTGGAGGCGGATGTAGCCGTCCTCCGCGCCGGAGCAGAAGCTCTTGCCGTCGGGCGCGATGGCGAGGGCGTTGATGGGGCCGAAGTGGCCCTTGACGCGGCCGAACTCCTCCTCGTAGGCGAGGTGGAAGAACTGGGTCTCGAACTTGCCCTGGCGCCCGGACGTCGTCGTCACGGACATGGCGTCCTGCCCGCCGCCGACGAGCACGTGCTCCTTCGTCGGGCTGAAGACGCAGGCGTTGAGGGGCCGGTCGCTGCGGAACATCTTGAGCTCCGTCCAGTCGTGGAGGTCCCACATCTTGCACGTCTGGTCCGCGGACGCCGTCAGGAGCATCGTCTGCGTGAGGTTGAACGACACGCACTGGATCTTCGAGTCGTGCGCGGGCACGCACTTGATCTCCTCGAAGCTCAGGGAATCGTGGATTTTGATCTGGCCGTCCTCGAAGGCGCAGAGGATGGCCTTGCCCAGCGGCATCCACCGGACGATCTGGCACTTGACCTCGCCGGCTTCCGGGTGCGGCAGCCGGAACTGCGCGGCCCGCCGCCAGGAGCTCGGGTCGCCGAACATGGGGCTGTTCTCGTAGATGTTCACGAGGGGCGGCCGGTTCACGTCGAGGCCGCCGAAGGCGTCGCACATCGTCAGCGCGCGGCGGCCGCTCTCGTCGAAAGAACACGACCGCACGGGGCCGCTGTGCTCGAAGGACGCGAGCTCGGCGCCCGTCTCGACGTCCCAGACCTTGGCGTGCATGTCCGCCGACCCGGACACGAGCAGCTTCGAGTCCCAGGACACGTCCAGGTGCCAGACGGCGCCGTTGTGCAGCTCGTAGGTCCCCACGCGCTCGCCGCTCTCGCTGAGCCAGAGCGTCGGCCGCCCGTCCTTCGCCGACGTGAAGATGAGGTCGCCGTCGCGGTTGTAGATCACGCACGTGATCGAGCGCTCGTGGCCCTTGAGCAGGATGGGGCGCATGATGGGCGAGCTTTTGGGCGCCCAGATGCTGGTCGCCTCGCCGACAGCTCGAATCGGCCGGGGGTCGAGGCCTGGGTCGACCTCGCGACACTGAGTAGGCCTCTGATTCCGCGGACGCGTCACTTGACATCTCTTGACGCGTCGCGAGGCCTGTCGCGGCTCGCGACCCAGCGACGGCGGCCCGGACGAGACCTCGGACGCGTGCCACGGTGCGTTACGAGTGGCGCCGCCGCGATGCCGTTACCCCGCCCACCGCTCAGGGGGTCGGCGGCGGCAGTGCCACAGTGCGTTACGAGTGGCGCCGATGCGATGCGGGACCCCGCCCGCCGCTCAGGCCGCGCGGCTCGCGACCCAGGCCTCGAACTTGGCGCAGGCGGCCTCGAAGGAGCCGAGGGCCTCGGAGTCGGCGACGAGCTCGTCGCCGTCGACGACGAGGATCTTCATGTCGAGGTCCACGGGGCCGTTCGCCTTGGCCCCGCCGACGAAGGCGTCGTAGTCCGCCCGCTCCGCCGCGACGTGGTCCTCGAGGGGCACGGCGAGGGCCGCGAGCCAGGGGTCGCCGCTGAGGGGCTTTCCCGTGAGCTTCTCGACGAGGTCCAGGAACGGCACGGAGTTGCCCGGGCGCCAGTAGACGTCCGCGAGGGCCGTGCCCACAGCCGGGTTGTCGACGATCTTCGCCGCGCCCCCGAAGTGGTCGCGCGTCTGGTGCACGGACATCTCCGCGAGCACGTAGCCGTGGTAGTAGCAGCTCGCCTCGTCGGAGAGGATGTGCGGCACCGAGAGGAGCGGCCGGCTCGCGAGGCCGCCCTGGAGCTCGCGCTCGACGTCGTCCGCGAGCGCGGCGACGTTGGCCGGCGTCACGTCGGCGTCGGCGAGCTCGTAGAGCGCCTTCTCGAAGTAGGGCACCGCGAGCATGCCCCGGAGCCCGAAGACGGCGTAGTCGTGCGTCGCGCGGAGCTCGGCCTCGTGGAGCGAAAAGGGCAGCGGCTTCCCCGCGCGGTCGCGGCAGTAGGCCGCGCGCCAGGCCGCGTCGCCGCAGAGGCTGTCCAGGAACATGGACTGGTTCTCCGCGTAGGCGACGGACGTCGGCGCGCGCTCCTGCGAGAAGAGCGGGCTCGGCTGGTCGATGTTCGAGAAGTGCGCCGCGTGGCCCGCCTCGTGCATTAAAGTGGTCAGCGCGGTCTTGCCGCTGCCGACGGCCTTGGGGTCCGCCAGGGACGTGAAGTTCGTCACGGACGGCTGCCAGGACCCGTCGGGCTTGCGCCACGCGGGCTGCGGCCAGTGGCAGAAGCCGTTGCTGTACTTGTGCTTCCGGTCCAGGAGGTCGAGGGACATGGTCGCGCCCTTGTAGGAGATGCCCAAAGCGCCGAAGCATCTGCCCCAGACCTCGACGGACTTCTCGAAGGGGAAGTAGGGGTCGAGCGCCTTCTCCGTCTCGCCGGCGAGCGCGTAGGACGTGTTCCACGGCTCCGCGGCGCCCTCGCCCTTGGCGGCGCACAGCTTGTCGCGCGCGGCGGCGAGCAAACCGTCGGAGCCCGCGCGCAGCTTGTCCAGCTTCTCAAAGAGCGCGGCCTTGCCGAAGCCCTCGGCGTTCGTGACCTTGTAGTCGTAGAAGTCCTCGAAGCCGAGCGCCTTCGCCAACGCGTTGCGCTGCTTGACTAGATCGCAGAAGCCGCCCTCGAGGACGAAGGGCCCGATGGACCGCAGGCCCTCCCAGGCGGCCCGGCGCGTCGCCTCGTCGTCGGCCGTGCGCATCGTCGTCCGCAGGCCGACGGAGCTCTTCTCGACGAACGCGCCCGTTTCGGGGTCCGCGAAGCCGAGGCCCAGCTTGTTGCGCTTGTCGCTGAGGGCGTCCTCGGCCGCCGTCGCCGCGGACCGGAGCTTCCGCGCGGCGTCGGAGGACATCTGGTAGCACGCGAACGTGCGAGCGAAGCAGTCGAGCACCGTCCGCTGCTCCGCCGTCGCCGCGGCCGCGTACCGCGTCGCCTTGGCCAGGTTCTCCTCGTCGCCCAGGAAGGACTCCATGGCCTCCTTCGTCGCACTCAGGAGCGCCGTGCTGTAGGTGCCCGCCTGGAGCGCCATCTTCGTGCCCCAGAACTGCTCCTCGAAGAGGACGTGGACGCGCTCGTACTCGGCGTTCGTCTCGTCGATGAACTTTTGGATCTCCTGGGTCGTCGCATCGAGCTTCTGCTTCTTGGTCGTCGTGCCATCTTTGTTTGTCATAGCCGCCATGCTGCGATTTTCAGACACTCAACCCCAGACTGTGCCTCGGCGAGCGGCAAGTTGCGTTCAACGTGCACCCGAGGGGGCCGATTATCTTAGAGGCGGCGTGTCGCGTCGTCTCGCTTGTCGAGACGACGGCGGCCCGCACTTGGTCGCGAGCCGCGGCGCGGCGCGCTTTACGCGAGCGCGGCGAGGCCGGCGGCGAGGCCGGCGGCGATCGCGAGAAGCCCCCGCAAATCCGACGCGAACCTTACTCAAACAGCCCCCTAGTCCGAGTCCTTGCCGACGAGGGAGATGGCCTTGTCGAGCAGGTCCTGGTGCTCGAAGGTCGCGCCGGCCTTGGGCGAGACCATGACGCAGGACGTCGGCCGCTTCGTGAGCGCCGCGAAGCCGAGGTCCTGCTTCGAGGGCACGTAGATGTAGGGCACGGACTTCTCCTCGCAGAAGATGGGCAGGTGGCAGATGACGTCGATGGGGCTGATGTCGCCGGCGATGATGCACAAGCCCGTCGCGCCCTTGCGGATCGCCTTGACGACCTCCTTGACGCCGCGGCGGAGCGCCTTGGCGCTCGAGGCCTTCTTGACGAGCTTGTGGAGCTTCTTCGTGAGCTTCTCGTCGGCGAGGGGCGTCGAGATGGGGCTCAACGCCGCGAGGCGCTCCTCGTAGGTCTTCACGCCCGGCGGCGCGGCCTCGTCGTCGTCGTCGCCGCCCTTCTTCTCCTTCTTCGAGCTCTTCGGCGCGTCGCCCTCGGCCTCGCTCTTGCGCTTGCCCATGGGACTCGGCGCGGCGCGGGAGGCGCGGCGGCGGCGGCGCGGCGGTTCTGGTCCGCTGTCGCTGGCGGCCGCGGCGCAGGCGACGACGTTGAAGCCGTGCTGAAGCTCTCCGGAGCGCGACGCTCTCCCAGCACACTGCTGCACCACGCAGGAGTCGCAGCACCAAGGCCCATGCCGGACCCGCCCCTGCCGCCGTCTCCCGGCGAGCCCTCGAGCTTGACGGAGCTCAAGCACCTGTCGTCGACGCTCCAGGCCACGGCGGAGGCCCTCTGCCGGTCGTCGCGCGCCAGCGAGGCGACCGCCGCCCACGGCGCCGCGTCGGCCAAGGTCCGCGCGGCCCTCGCCGAGGCGGAGGTGGCCCTGCGGCTCCTCGCCGCGGACGCGGCCGTCGCGCCCGTCGTGCCGCGCGCGGAGGTCCGCGTGTGGATGGACGGCGCCTTCGACATGATGCACTTTGGCCACGCGAACGCGTTCCGCCAGGGCAAGGCGTTGGGCACGCACCTCATCGTCGGCGTCAACAGCGACGCGTCGATCACGGAGGCCAAGGGCGCGCCCATCATGAACGACGCGGAGCGCACGCGCATGGTCCGGAGCTGCAAGTTCGTCAACGAGGTCGTCGAGAACGTGCCCTACGTCATGGACGCGGACTACGTGCGCCACGTCCTGCAGAAGCACCGCGTGGACCTCATCGTCCACGGCGACGACCCCTGCATCGTCGACGGCCGGGACGTCTACGAGGCGGCCAAGGCCGCGGGCCGCTACCGGACGATCCCGCGGACGGAAGGCGTGTCGACGACGGACCTCGTCGGGCGCATGCTCCTGCTGGCGCGGAAACCGTCCTTGGAAGAGCCGGCGACGCCGACGCGCTGCTCGGAGCTCGGCGAGTCCGAGCACCGCGGCAAGCTGCTGCGCCGGAGCCGCGCGTTCCTTTCGACGAGTCGCATGAACTCGTGCTTCGCGCGAGGCACGCGCGCGCCCGCGCCCGGCGCGGCCGTCGTCTACGTGGCCGGCGCCTTCGACCTCTTCCACGCGGGCCACGTCGCCTTCCTCGAGGCGGCGCGGGGCCTGGGGGACTACCTGGTGGTCGGCGTGCACGGCGACGCGGTCGTGGCCAAGAAACGCGGCGACGCGTTCCCGGTCATGAACATGCAGGAGCGCGCGCTCTCCGTGCTGGGCTGCCGCTTCGTGGACGACTGCCTCTTCGACGCGCCCCTGCACGTGTCGGAGACCATGGTCCAGTCCTTCAAGATCACCGTGGTCGCCGTCGCGGCGCGCGGGCCCGACGCGGCCCGCCCCGACGGGGACCGCGACGACCCCTTCGCCGTGCCCAAAAAGCTCGGCCTCTTCACGACCGTCGACTCGGGCAGCGACCTGTCCTCGACGAAGATCGCCGACCGCATCCGCGACCGCCACGAGGCCCTCCTCGCGCGCTACCACAAGAAGGCCGCGAAGGAGGAGGCGTACTACGACCAGCGCCACGCCGCCTAACGTCGCTTCCTATTCAGCCGCGACGCCGCCTTCCGGTTCGTCAGGTCGTCGAGGACCCAGTCGGGCGCGGGGATGCCGAAGAGGAGGTAGTCGTTGACGTAGTGGTCCACGAGCACGCGCGTCGCGCGGCCCGTGGCGTCCGCGGCGAACCACTCGCGCGTCGACGACGCGGCGTTCGTGTTGTGCTTGAAGGCCGCCGCGACGGCGGGGAAGAGGTCGTCGAAGAGGGGCACGTCGGCGTGGGACACGTTGACCTTGGCGAGGAGCGCGATGACCTTGTCGCGCGACGTCGCGCGGTCGAGCTGCTCGACGGTGTCGTAGTAGCGCAGCGAGTGGCCCAGCCCGCCGCAGAACTGGGACTGGCGCCGGAAGTGGACGTCCTCGTTGACGCGCTGCAGCGCCGCGTCCGTCGCGTTGTCCTCGCGCGCGATGTGGTCGACGGCCTGCGCGAACCTGGCGGAAAAGCGCGCGACGTGCCCAACTTTGGAGGCGCCTCTCTCGGTCTTCGTTTCGGCTCATGTTTGGACGGGCGATGATCTCTCGGAGCGCCCTCGACGCGTGGATCCGTTCTCCGGAACGATCGACGTTGAAGCGACCTCGAATCACCCGTGTCCCGCCCCGCGCGCGAACGTCGCGGTCTCCGTCCCGAACTCGCCCCGGCAGTGGTCCTTGCCGTCGCCGTCGACCTTGGCGCCGCCGAGCTCGCACTTGGACTGGAGGGCGGAGACGAAGCGCTCCAGGGGATCGCGGTAGAAGACGGCCTTGTGCCACGCGGGGTCCTTCAACATCGCCATGATCTGCGCCGCGGAGCCCATCTTCAGGGCCTTGGGGCTGTTGAGGCCCCAGGGCACCCAGGACTCGGCCTTGCCCACGAGGCTCTGGGACGGCACGGCCCTGGAGCGCACGGACGCGAAGAGGCGGTTGAAGGCGCTGCAGGAGTTCTTCTCGATGTAGCAGAAGAGCAGCTTGTGCTCGGGCACGACGATGAAGCGGTTCGTCAGGCCCGAGAGCTCGTTGTAGCGGAAGGGCCACGTCGGGTTCGTCGACGCCGGGCCGGCGCCGGGAATGACGAGGTCGAGCGTCGCCGCCGGCGGCGGCGGCGGGCCCGCGCGCGCCTTCGGCGGCGGCCTCGGGGGCGCGGGCGCGGGCGCGGGCGGGTTCGCGGGCGCGGGCGGCGGCGGGTTCGCGGGCGCCGGCGGCGGCGGGTTCGCGGGCGCCGGCGGCGCCTCCACCGGCGCCGCCTCCGCCGGCGGCGCCTCCGCGGGCGCGCCCGGGATGCCCCGGGACCATTTCGCCGCGAACTCGGCGATGGCCTTGGGCGTCTTGAGGTCGAAGGACACGGGCCGCTCAGGCGGCCGCGCGAGGTCCAGGGGCGCCGCGTCCCGGAGCCGCCCGACGGCGGCGCCCCGCGGCGGCGGCGGCGCGGGCGCGGGGCTCGTCCCCGCCGCGCCCGCGGCGACCCTCGATTCGACGTCCGTGTGGAGCGTCTTCTTGTCCGCGACGCGGCCCGGGTAGCGCGCGCCGCAGGCGCTGTCCTCGCCCGGCGCGCCCGCGAGGCGCGCCTGCACGGCCTCGTGGTGGAAGGCGGCCTCGAAGCGCGCCGTCGCCGACGCGTCCGCGTTCAGGTTCGAGACCCGCGCGGTCTCGTGGTTCTCGACCAGGCCGTCGAAGGGCGGGCCGTCGTAGACGAGGCGGCAGCCGTGGCCGTGGACCTTGTTGACCGTGTAGTGGTCGATGGGCAGCACGAGCTCCTTCTCCGCGCAGACGAGGCCGAACATGCGCGCCGCGGCCTCGCGCGGGTAGACCTGCGCGGGACAAGCGCGCGAGGGTGTCGCCGTCTCCCTCGGCCGCGTGCCGCTCGTTTCGGCTCATGTGTGGACGGGCGATCGTCTCTCGGAGCGCTCTCGACGCGTGGACGCTTTGTCCGGAACGATCGCGCGCGGACCACTCACGTTGAAGCGACCTCGAATCGCTGCCCCGGGGGAGACCATGCCCGTGGTGTACGCGCCGAGGCGGTACGCGCTGTAGCGGTTCCGCGGCGGCATGGCCGCGAGCGCCGCCTCGAGCTTGGCCTCGAAGCCGTCCACGGGCGCGGCGTCGTCCTCGAGGAGGACGCCGTAGGGCTTGCCGCTCAGCAAGAGGCAGAAGAGGAAGCGGAGCTCCGTCAACCACAAACCCGCCTGGCCCGGGTTCATCTTGAAGGCGAGGCGCAGGCCCAGCGCCTCGTAGTGGGCCAGCGCGGCGTCCGGGTCGTGCTTGTCCGTCGCGTTGAGGATCGCGAAATTCGGGTGCCGCGCGACGAGCTCGCCGACCCACGCGGCGCGCGGCGCCGACGTCCGCAGGAGGCCCACGGCGTAGAAGACGTCGCCGTCGGCCCTGCGCAGGTCGACGTCGTCGATGGCGAGCGCGCCGCCGAGCTTCGAACGCAGCGCGTCGGCGTCGCCGCTCCAGTCCGGCCGCATGGACGCCTCGAGCGCCGCGCCGCAGCGCTCGACGCGCGAGCGCGTGAACACGTTCTCCGCCTTGCTCACGCCGGCGCCGCGCGCGATCGCGACGACGGCCAGCAGCCGCAGCGGGAGGTCGCTGCCGCGTCGCCGGTTGCTCGTCATCGGCGCGGCGGCCGGCGACCGGACGCAGCCCATGCTGCCAGTTTGCAGACCTCCAAAAGGGAAGCGGTGCGTTGCCTTATTCAACGCCTCCGACTTGCACTCCAATGAAAGCCTGCGGTTTCTAGCGCGGGGCCGACGCCGCGCGCGCGGCGGTCGGGGCTGCACTGCACACTGTTGTCGGCTACCGGATCAGCCTCGTCTTCGGTGTTGCGCCCATGGGCCCCTGCAACAGCAAGAGCGCCGCCGACGGCGGCGGCGAGACGCGCGTCGCACCCGGCGACGCCGCCCCGGCGGACCACAAGGTCGAGATCAAGAAGCGCTACACGCGCATGTCGCAGATCGCCAAGCCCAAGAAGGACACGGGCCCGGAGACGCACATGAGCAAGGCCGAGGTGCGGGCCCTCTGGCCCGACGCCGACGAGCAGATCTTCAACAGCGCCTACAAGATCTTCGACTGGACCGCGCACTCCGAGGACGAGAAGGCCGACAACGTCAAGATGTTCACGATCTTGATGGTGTCGCTGCTCGCGCCCGACGAGGCGCAGCGGTCGCCGACGCATCTGTACGAGGTGGCCTTCCTCATCTTCGACGTCGACGAGAGCGGCGCTTTGGACAAGGAGGAGTTCGCGAAGATGATTTCTGTGATCTACAAGTCGAAGGCGAACGCGCTGCGCCTCGTCTTCGACACCAAGGCGGGCCACGACATGCTCGAGTCCTTCGCCTCCAAGGAGCACTGCGCCGAGAACATCGCCTTCCTCGACGCGGTCACGGCCTGGGCGGCCAGGGCCGCGGCCGGCGACGCGTCGGCGGCCGAGGCCGCGCACGTCCACGACACGTACTGCACGGAGATCGCGCCCTACCCCGTCAACCTGTCCGCGCGGACGAAGAAGCTCCTCGACGAGGGGCTCGCCAAGGACCCGCTGCCGCCGGACCTCTTCGACAAAGCGAGGAAGGACATCCTCAAGCTCATCGAGCAGGACACGTTCGCGCGGTTCAACAAGGACAAGGACCGCCTCGACGAGCTCGTCAAAAAGCTGTTCGTCGAGGTCGACAAGTCCCACACGGGCAAGATCGAGCGCGACGAGTACGTCGAGTGGGCCAAGAACAACCCGGAGGTCACCCAGTTCTACCAGCCGCTCACGAAGCTCACGGAGGACGTCAAAAAACGACGAGCCGCCGCCGACGCCAAGCCCGCGGACCCGGCGTAACACACAGACAGGGGAAGACCCGGCGCGGATTGCGACGGCTCGACCAGTGCAAGATGCAGTTCAACATTGTCTCAGCTCGTCTGACACAGACCGATGGCCGTCGCACGCGGCCTCATGCGCGCCCTGCGCGTCGCCGTCTGCGCGCTGTTGCTGCGCGCCGCGGCACTGAGCCGGCCGAGCGTGCGCGACGCCATGCCCAAGCTCGCGGCGGGCGACGGCTGCGGTCCGAACAGAATATATGAGTGGAAGGGCCTGAACACGCGCTACTACGCGCTCAACGAGGACGGCGACGGCCCGTCGGTGATCCTCGTCCACGGCCTCTTCGTCAACGCGGACCACTGGCGCCGCAACGCGCCGGCCCTCGCGGCGGCGGGCTGCCGCGTCTTCGCCGTCGACCTGCTGGGCAACGGCTACAGCGACAAGCCGTACCCCGAGGACCCCGCGGCCGTCGCCGTCTCCGGCGAGAACTCCCGCTTCCCCGACGGCGCGTCGTCGACGGTGGTTGCCAATTTGGGCACGGCGGGCGGCGGCGCGCGACCGGGCATCGACGTCGAGCAGCGGCACCCGCGCGCCGGGTCTCCCTACAACTTCTTCACGTGGGCCGACCAGCTCACGGACTTCGCCGAGGCCGTCGTGAAACCGCAATCGGGCTCCTGCGCCCTCGTCTGCAACTCCATCGGCTGCATCTCCGGCCTCGTCGCCGCGCGCGACCGGCCGGACCTCTTCGGCTCGTGTTTATTGGTCGCGCCGAACTTCCGCGAGCTCCACGTCGCCGAGTCGCCGGCCTTCCTCCAGCCCGCCGTGTCCTGGGTCCAGGCCCAGCTCCGCGCCAAGGGCCAGGGCCTCTTCGACGCGCTCGCCAAACCGGACACGGTCAAGAGCATCCTCAAGGAGCCCTACGCGGACGAAAAGGCCGTCACGGACGACCTCGTCGACTGCCTCCTGACGCCGCTGCTCACGGAGGGCTCGGCGGACGTCGTCTTCGACACGCTCTCCTCGGCGTCCATGCACAGGAGTGTTTTTTCGCGTGAATTTCGCCTGAAGATGTGCAGAAATCCGACCCCGTCGCACTTGGTAGGCTCTCCTACAGCGCCGGCCCGCTGCCGGAGCAGCTCCTCCAGGACGACGCGCTCGCGGCCGCGAAGATCTGGGCCTGCGTCGGCGACCGCGACCCCTGGACGCCCATCAAGCGCGTGGCCGCGCTGGAGAAGTACGCGCCCGTGAAGCGCGTCGACGTCCTCCGGGGCGCGGGCCACTGCCCCCACGACGAGAACCCGGCCCTCGTCAACCCCCTCATCCTCGAGTTCCTCGGGCTGGAAACGCCGGAGGCTGAGCCCGCGGCGGCGGCCTCAGACGGGAAGAAGACGGGCGTGGGCACGCCCCTCTTCGACAAGAAGGTCCGGGCGTAACTTGGCCTTAGGCGAGGAACTCGGCGAAGGAGTAGCCGCCGGCGCTCGAGAGCATGGCCGCGGCGGGCGCCGCGGCGACGAAGTCGTCGACGTACTGCTTGACGCGCGGCGGCGCCTCGAAGCCCGTCTTCTCGGCGACCTTGGGCAACGTCGCCGGGAACAGGAACGGCGCGACCTTGTAGTCCGCGATGGAGAGCGCGTCGCCGGTGACGAACTTGCCCGCGAGGTGGACGGCCGCGAACTTCTCGAGCGCGTCCTTGTACGCCGCGGACGCCGCCGCCTGGTCCGCGGGCGCGGGCACGAAGCCCAGGACCACGTAGACGACGCCGACGTGCTTCGGGTAGACCTCGCCCACGAAGTTGTCCATGGCCATGTCGATCTTCGCGCAGGCCGCGGGGTCCGCGACGGGGTACATCGCCGGCGCGTACTGCAGCGCGAGGTAGCGCAGGATCGCCGTGCTCTCGCCCATGTTCACGCCCGTGGCGGCGTCGGACATGCCTACCAATCGAAACCTCGTGTTCTCTCGAACGTCGTCGCGACCGCGGGACGCCGCGCGATGCCGGGAATCTTCTGGTACGGGTTGATCTTCGCGTAGTCCGCCGTCTTCTGCATCTGGGGCTCGGTGATGTCGCACATCTCCAATCCTCCGACCTTGGCGTCCATGGCCAGGAGCGCCGGGCCCATGCTGTTGGACGAGAGCGTCATCCCGTGGACTTTGACGGATTTGTTCTCCGCGAGGTAGGCGTCGACGTCGGCCTGCGCCTTGCCGTCGGCGAGCGCCGCGCCGACGGTCTTGTACGACGCTGCGGCGCCCATCTTACTATCGTCTGACTGGCCCTGACGAAATCCAATGCGGCTTAGATGCAGCTCACAGCCAAAACGCGCTGGTGGGAAATCCGCACCAGAATGCGGGGTAAATTTTGACCTTTGGCTCCGAGCCACCAAACTTTTAGAAACTTGAAAACCTCATCATTGCTACGCCGTGCGCCACAGCCTGATTGCGCTCCGTCAGGGATTACAGCAAGCGGCGCGTTGAGAGCTCCTTTATTGCCGTAAACATCGGCGCGGGAGCAGCAGCTATAGAGCTCTAGAGCTCTCTCAGCTCGCCCGAGCGCACTGCCGAACCATGGCCGGGCGCGGCGCGACGACGGTGCCCTTCACGACGAAGCTCACGGACTTCGACGATGCGCTCATCAAGCGGGACATCTGCACGCGCGAGCAGTGCTTGTTGGCCAAGGGCATGGACGAGGAGCAGGTGCTGGACCTGCTCGTCCACGAGGACGTGACGCGCGAGATGGCGAAGCTCGACGAGGCGGCGCGCGAGGCCGAGGCCGAGGTCGCCCGCGACCCGCTGAGGCACGCGACGGCGCACGCGACGCGCGACGAGCTCGACGACCTCGACGAGGACGACGAGTTCCTCGACGACGCGTTCCTGGCCAAGTACCGCGAGGCGCGCATCGCGGAGCTCACGGAGGCGTCGAAGGCGGACCGCTTCGGGTCCGTCTTCGAGATCGAGAAGGCGGACTGGACGCGCGAGGTCAACGAGGTCTCGAACGCGTGCTGGGTCTTCGTCCACCTCTACCAGGACTACGTCGCCGACTCCGCGGCGCTCAACGTCTGCCTCGAGTCGCTGGCGAAGACCTACCCGCACGTCAAGTTCGTCAAGATCCGCGCGACGTCCGCCGTCGAGAAGTGGCCCGACTCGAACCTGCCCGCCGTCTACCTCTACCACGAAGGCGAGATGCAGCACCAGCTCATCGGCAGCCGCGCGATCTCCGAGGGCCCGCCGCCCTTCACGGCCAACTCCGTCGCGCGGAAGCTCGCGACCTTCAAAATAGTCGACGAGCACGCGCGGCTGCCCGACGCGCCGCCGCCGCCGCCACCCGCGTCCGACGGCGGCACGGCCGCGAAAGTCCGGCGGAGCGCCTACTCGCGCGAGGACGACGCGACCTGGGACGCGTAACGTGTACGACCGGGGCAGGTCGGGCCCGCGTGACGAAGCCGAACCCCGACCCGTCATTCCGCGCGGCGATTTGGCGGCCCGATACCGGTTACGTGCGCTCCCGGGGAGGCGACCGTCACGGCGTGACGCGACCTGGAGAAAACATCGTTACGCGACCTGGATCCCCGCCCTCCCGACGGCCGCCGCGCGGCGCCGGTCGTCGTCCTCGCGGCGCAGGATGCGCAGCGCGCGGAGCTGGAGAACCTCGTGGACGAGCGCAAAGGCGCAGAGGCCGTAGAAGAGCGGCGTCACGGCGCCGCTCACGCGGAAGACGCTCGCGTCGATAGAGACGCCGAGGCGGTGCGCCGTCTTCTCGAAGAGCCACGCGATCATCCGCTCGATCTCGAGCGCGACGAACAGGGAGCAGACGGCCAAGGGACCCGCGCCGCTCCAGGGCGCGAGGTAGCGGACCGCGCGGAGGGCCCGCGCGCGGACGCGGTCCGGGAGCGCGCCGAGCTCGGCGACGTCCGCGAGCAACAACGCGAGCGTCGCGAGGGGCGGCACGACGACGCAGCTCCAGACGAAGAGCACGACCATGAGATTCGTGATGTCGAGCTCGTCGTCGGGCATGGCCTTGTAGAAGTCGGAGATCACGTCGGGCACGAGGACGACGCCGTCCCAGAGCCCGCCGCCTTTCACGGGCGTCGTCATGAACATGGTCGACGCGCCTTGATACGTGAAGGTCACGAACGGGTGGCACAGGGACCGCACGTAGACGCAAAACACGACGAAGTGCGCCGCCGCCCGCGCTGCCGCCATCCTCGGGCGCCGCGGCGCCTTCGTCGCCGGCGGCGCGGCGGCGGCCGGGAGCGCCGCGTCCGAGAGCGCGCGGATACCGTTCACCGCGAAGCTGCCGACGATGATGGAGCAGATGAACGACTCCTGGCCCGCGCCGATGGCGAAGACGTCGCGGCCCGTGACCTTGAGCGCGTCGGACCGGACGCGCACGGCGACGACGATCATCATGAGCCCGCCGGTGAAGATCTGCGCGAGGCACCACTTGGCGACGCAGCCCTCGAGCAGCACCAAACACGCGTCGCGGATCTTCGCCCGCGGCAGCCAGAGCGCCGCGAGGCTCAGGAACGCGCGGAGCAGGGGCAGCGCGACGCCCGTGGCCTCGAAGAGCGCGAGCAGCAGCCCGGAGCTCGAGCCCCGGAAGATGTGCTCGAGGTCCCAGAAGTTCGGCTTGCGCAGCACCTGCGTGATGTCTACATGTTTGGCGAGGCCGCCGTGGCCCTTCGCGCGGACGAAGAACGTCGCGGTCGCGAGGTGCCAGCCGTTGATTTGCAGAGCGAGCGACGCGACGACGCAGCAGCTGAGGACGGCGGCGCTCAGGGGCGCGGCGCAGCCCAGCGTCTTCCTGCCGCCGTGTCTGAGAGGATTCCAGCGCGCGATCCACGGCCCGTCGTTCGAGCCCTCCCGCGGCGCCAGCGCCGTGTACGAGACGTCATCTGCGGCTGCCATCGGCCGGAATCAGGACCAATCTTCGGGTCTACGCTGCCAACATCGTTGAGAAAAAGGCTGCCCTCTGGAGTTCACTCACTTCAGGTTCAACAAAAAGTTCGAGCTGCCACTTCTGGCGACATGATGTCCACCTCAGTGCGCCTCTCATCGTGAGCGACCAAACCTCTCATCGTTGCTCGCGATCAAACGATGTGCAAGGCTGACGTCGCCAAGGCGGCGGACGTCGACGTCGAGTATGCTACGTGCGGCGGCGCCGTGGCGCCCAACGACGCCGCCGGCCTCTTGAGCACGCTTACCTACGACTATGTGCGGCCGCTGCTCCAACTCGGCCTGCAGCGCCCGCTCATGCTCGACGACCTGCCGCCGGTCGCGACGCGCGACGGCATCGCGCCGATCACGGCGCGCATCGCCGCGGCCTGGGATCGCGAGGCGGAGGGCCGCGGGTCGCTCATCGCCGCGCTCGTCGCGGCCTTCGCCCGCGAGCTGCGCGAGGCCTTTGGGTGCGCCACGCTCGACGTCGGCCTCCTCGTCGGCCAGGCGCTGATCCTGCGGCCGCTCATCGAGGCGCTCGCGGACGCGGCCCGGGTCGAGGCCGCGACGTGGGCCGCGATCTTCGTCGGCCTGAACGTCTTCCGCTGCGTCTTCATCCACCGCATGTTCTACGTCAACATGCGCACGGGCTGGAATTTAAAAATGGGCCTCACGTCGCTCATCCACGACGCGCTCCTCGAGACGCGCGCCGCGTCCATCGAGAGCCGCGGCCTCGTCTACGGCCTCGTGACGTCCGACGCGCTCCGCTTCGAGGCGATCATGCCCTGCTCCATGGTTCTCCCCGGCGTCTTTTCGTCCGTCGACCCTTCCATACGGCATCACACCATAGGCGCCCTGGATGGCGACCGTCGCCTTGGTTTTTTGCGCGGCGTCGCTGGCGCTGGAGCTCGGCTGGCGCGCGGCCGTCGTCGGCACGGGCGTCTGCGTGTCGTCGGCGGCGGCGCAGATGTTCCTCGGCAAGCGCTTCAAGCGGCTTCGCGCGCAGACGGCCACGGCGACGGACGCGCGGATCCGGCTCACGTCCGAGGCCGTCGGCGGGGCAAGAACGCTGAAAAGCTTCGCGTGGCAGCGGCCCTTCGTCGACGCCATCGGCGCGCTGCGGGCGGCCGAGACGGCCATCATCTTCAAGGCCCAGAGGCTCAAGGCCTTCGCCGCGGGCGTCTACTTCGCGACGACGCCCCTCGCGGCGTTCGCGGCGTTCGCCGTCTTCGTCTACGAGGAGTCCAACAAGGATGCGCCCCTGTCCGTGGGCAAGGTCTCGACGGTCATCGCCATCGTCACGATCCTGCGGACCTACTGCTTCATGCTCGGCCGCTTCGCCATGGCCTGGCCCGAGGTCGTCGTCGCCTGCCAACGCATGGGCGCGTTCCTGCGGCTGAGCCGCGGCGGCGGCGACGCCGCGCCGCCCGCGCCGCCGGGCGACGAGGTCTTCGCGCTCGAAGGCGCGGCGTTCCAGCGCCGCGGCGCCGCGGCGACGGCGCTCCGCGACGTTTCGGTGACGCTGCGCCGCGGCGAGGTGCTCATGGTCGTCGGCGCCGTCGGCAGCGGCAAGAGCACGTTCCTCGACGCGCTGCTCGGCGAGCTCGAGCTCGCGTCGGGCACGATGACCAGGGCCGCGGGCCGCGTCGCCTACGCGCCGCAGGCCGCCTGGAACGTCGCGGGGACGGTGCGGGAGAACGTCGTCCTCGGCGCGCCGCGCGGCGCGCCCTTCGACGAGGGAGCCTACAAGGCGGCCGTCGAGGCCGCCGCTTTGTCCGACGACGTCGCCGAGTGGCCCGAGGGCGCGGACACGGAGATCGGCGAGCGCGGCATCTCGCTCAGCGGCGGCCAGGCGGCGCGGCTCGCGCTCGCGCGCGTCTGCTACGCCTGCGCGCTCGCCGAGAGCTCGGACCCGCCGGCCGTCGCGCTCCTCGACGACCCGCTCTCGGCCGTGGACTCCGGCGTCGCGCGCCAGCTCGTGCGCCGCTGCGTCGGCGACCGGCTCAAGGGCTGCGCCGTCGTGCTCTGCACGCACCAGCTCCAGTTCCTCGCCGCCGCGACCAAGGTCCTGGTCCTCGACGACGACGGCACGGCGCTCGCCTGCGCGCCCCTCGCGGAGATCGTCGCGCGAGGCGGCCGCGCGGCGGCGCTCGTCGCCGTCGACGGCGCCGAGGACGTCGACGCGGCCGGCGCGACGCGCGCGCGCGCCGCGTCCGTGTCCGCCGACGCCGCCGGCGGCGACGACGGCAGGCGCGCGCTCGTGGCGAAGGAGGACCGGCGGACGGGCGCGGTGCAGGCGCGGACCTGGCGCCGCTTCCTGCTCGGCGGCGGCGCGGCGCTCTTCGCCGTCGTCGTCGCCCTCTTCCTCGCGGCCCAGGTGCTCATGTTCTGGGCGGATCTCTACGTGCTCCGGTGGTCGCGGCGCGAGGACGGCCAGAAGCGCCGGCGCCACCTCGTCTGGTACGGCGCGCTCTCGGGATCGACGGTCGTCCTCGGCGTGGCTCGCGCCGTCCTTTTCTTCGCGCTGACGCTGCGGTCGTCGACGCGGCTCCACGCGGACGCGCTGACGAAGGTGCTCGACATGAAGCTCGCCTGGTTCGACATGAACCCGCTGGGGCGCGTGCTCAACCGGTTCTCGAGCGACCTGGCGCAGGTCGACGAGCTGCTGTCGACGGGGCTGTTGGACTTTGGCATGCTCGTGCTGATCATGCTGTCCGTCGTCGTCGCGTGCCTGATCGCGCTGCCCTACCTGGCCCTGCTCCTCCCGGTGCTCGCCGTCGTCACGCGGCGCGCGTCACGCGAGTGCTCCGTGTCGATGAAGGAGCTCAAGCGCCTCGACGGGCAGTCGCGGAGCCCCGTGCTGTCGGCGTTCACGGCGTCGCTCGACGGCCTCGCGGCCGTGCGCGCCTTCGGCATCCAGCGGGCGCAGCAGGCGCGCCTCGTCGAGGCGCTCGAGCTCAACTCGCGGGCCTACTTTTGGTGGTTCGTCACGAATCGCCGCTTCGGCTTCGTGCTCGACGCGATCTGCACGGCGTTCCTCGCCGCCGTCGTCGCCCTGGCGGTGGCGCTCGCGGGCGCCGTGGCGCCCGAGCTCCCGGCGCTCGCGCTCGTCTACTCGCTGCAGCTCTGCGGCAACTTCCAGTACACGCTGCGCCTCTTCGCCATGGCGGAGAACTTCATGACGAGCGTCGAGCGGCTGCTGGCCTACGGCGGCCTCGAGACGGAGCGCGCGCTCGAGCCGGCGGCGCCCGCGGCGGTGCCGGACGACTGGCCCGCGCGGGGCGCCGTCGCCTTCGAGGACGTGTCCTACCGCTACCGCGCGGACCACCCGCGCGTCCTATCGGGCGTCACGCTCGCGGTGCCCGCGGGCGCGAAGCTCGGCGTCTGCGGGCGCACGGGCGCGGGCAAGAGCTCGCTCCTCTCGGCGCTGTCGCGGCTCCACGAGCTCGAGGGCGTCCTGTCCTTCGACGGCGTCGACACGGCGACGGTGCCGCTGCAGCGCCTCCGCCGCGCGCTCTCGTGCATCCCGCAGGCGCCGATCCTCTTCAGCGGGTCGCTGCGCTTCAACGTCGACCCCTTCGGCGAGCACGCCGACGACGACCTCCGAAACGTCGTCGCGCTCGCGAGCCTCGGCGACAAGGCCGCGAGCCTCGACGCCGCGGTCGCCGAGGGCGGCGAGAACTGGTCCGTCGGCGAGCGCCAGCTCCTCTGCCTCGCGCGCGCGGCGACGCTCCGGCGGAGCATCGTCGCCATCGACGAGGCCACGGCGAACATCGACCACGCGACGGACGCGCGGATCCAGTCCATGCTCCGGACCCACGGCGCCTTCCGCGACGCGACGATCCTGACCGTGGCGCACCGCATCCGCACGATCCGCGACAGCGACCTCGTCGTCGTCCTCGCCAAGGGCGCCGTCGCCGAGGTCGGCCCGCCCGAGGACCTCATCGCCGCCAGGGGCAAGTTCTACGACATGCTCCTGGCGAGCGCCGAGGCCTAAGTTGACCAAGTTATTGAAGGGGATGCGCGCTCGACTGAGCGCCCTTTGGCCGGGGGAGGGAGGTAAGTTGCACACTTGTTGACTCGAGCCGAGCGGCTGAGGCGCGCGCGAGGGCCGACGCGGAGCGACGGCGCGCGGCCGCGGCCGCGGCGCTGCGACCCTGAAACACAAAGCGCCGAGCCCCGTGATTGGCCGCGCAGCCACCCGCCGCACGATATGCCACGGCTACCCCGGAAAATTGCCGACGCCGCCAGGGAGGGAGACGTGCAGGAGCTTCGACGATGGCTTGAGGATGGAGGCGACCCCAACTCTACCTACATGAAAGCGACGCCGCTCGACCACCTCATGATCAGTAAGAGAGAGTCTCACCGAAACACACTGGCCGCGATGCGCGTGCTGCTTGAACACGGAGCGAACCCGAACCGGCGAAATAGAGTAATGGATTGCCCACCCATCTTTCTCGCGAAAAACACCGATGTGCTGGGCGTACTCCTCGACGCAGGAGCGAACATTGACGCAGGAGCGAACTTTGCGGGGAAAAAGAATGGAAGTAGCCTGCTCATGCGGTGCGTCGCCGGCCACCGACTTTCGACCGCGCGTTATCTCGTACGTCGAGGCGCCGACGTGAACTTCTTGGCCGCCCCAAGAGCCTGGAGCAATCGGCCCGGGCGCTGCGATGCCGAGGCGTTGTCTCGACGCATGTTTCCCAACAGTCACGAGATGCGCGCGTTCTCGAACTTGCTCGCTCGCGTCAAGGCGTCGGGCGGCTTCCAGCCCTACGTCAAGCACCCGCGCGTCGAGCTCGTTCGGCTTCGCTCGCTGTGCGCCCGCGGTCGCGCGGCGCCGCCCGCGCAGGACGTCGTTCTCCAGCACCTCTTCAGCGGGACGCGGAGCCCGCCGCTCCCGAACGGCGTCTTCTGGCTCGTCCTCTCGTACTGGAGCTCCAGCCGGGACGACAAAGCTCATTACAGGGACGGACGCTGCAGACATCAGCGTCTAGCGAGCCAGGTGCTGATGCGCGGCCACTCGCATCTACGATTTCGTTCTCTGTGGTCTTTTGAATTCCCCGGCCCGGGCCGGGCACTCAGGGCAGCAGTACCATCGGCCGAGGACCGACGCTCCTAGATCTAGCTGCTGGTAATACAGGGTGTTCCCTGGAGGGAGATAAAATACCAGATCGCGTAATGTTACGACCCCCCCTGGAACGCCTTGAAGAGGGCGCCGAGGCTCGACTGCGCGTCGTTCGCGGCGCGCGCGGCCTTGACCGCCTCCGCGAGCCGCTTCGGGACGACGTCGGCGCCCTCGACGGACGCGGACGCGACGGCGACGGCGTCGACGGCGCCGCCGCGGACCGTGTGCGTGACCCTGACGGCGACGTCGGGAGAGCTGCGGCGCCGGAGCGTCAGCGCGACGCCCACGGACCGGTCCCGCTCGAGGGTGACGGCGTCGACGGCGCAGGTCGCGGGGAAGGGGCCGACGAGGAGCAGCGCGCGCGCGGCCTTCAGCGCCGCGGACACGTCGCCGCGGCCCCGCGCGAGCGTCTCGCCCGCGAGCCCGGTCACGCGGACGTCGTCGGCGACGCCGGCGGCGTCGAGCCAGTCGTCGACGCCCGCGTCGCCGCAGAGGGCCTCGGCGAGCAGCGCGTGGTGCGCGTCCGCCGCGCGGAGGACCGCGGCCGCGTCCTCGGGTTTCGCGGGTTTCGCGGGCGCCGTGGGTGCCGCCGCCGCCGCGCGCGGCCGCCGGTCCGCGGCCGGCGACCCCAGGGCCGCGGCGGCCGTCGAGGCCCAGGTGTAGAGCGCCGGCGCCTGAAGTTTTTGGCCGTTGACGGCCACGGCCGCGACCTCGAGCGACGCCGCGAGGCCCGTGGACGCGTCGAAAGAGTACGTCACGTTCGCCTCCGCGTCCAACGCGCCGCCGCCGAGCCCCAGCGCCGACGCGAGGAAGGGCGACAGGGCCGCCGTCGGCTCGACGTGGAAGCCCAGGACGACGTCGAGCGCGCGGTCCCCGGGGCGGAACGTCGCCGCGACGAGGTCGACGTCGTCGGACGCGGCGACGCCGCCGGCGCCCGCGAGCGCGTCGCGGCTGCGCTTCGCCAGCGCGAGCGCGCGCAGCACCTCGTCCAGCGACCCGTCCAGACCGACGACGGCCTCGCCGGCGAGGCCGGACACGCGCAGGTCCGCCGCGTAGGCCCGGCGCGCTTCGACGGGCGAGAGCGCGAACGCGCCGCGCTCGAGCGTCGCTAACACGCGGCGCGCGCCGGCGTCGGCGACGACGTAGGCGTCGAAGCCCGGCGCGCCGACGGCCGCGGCGTCGGGCGCCGCGGCCGCGCCGTCGCGCGGTTTCTGTGGCTTCGTTTCCGAGTCGGGCCGCTCGAAGACCGGGCTCCGGAGCGTCGAGAGCACGGCGCGCTGGCCCCAGTCCGCGAGCGTGTTGTAGTTGTCCGCGTTCTCGCCGCCGAGGAGACCCACGAGGGCCGCGCGCGCCGCGGCGACCGCGCGGTCGTTGTCGCCCGAGAGCTCGACGCCGTTGAGCGTTTCTAAGACCAATTCGACCTCGGCGACGGCGCCGTCGGCGCCGACGGTGAGCCTGGACTCGCCCGCGAGGGACGCGACGCCCGCGGCGATGCGCCAGGGCTGCGAGAAGTTGCCGTAGTCGTCGGAGACCGACGGCGGGTCGAGCGACGCGCGGTCGACGACGCGCGCGAAGAACTCGCCGACGCGCGCGACGCCCTCGGGGCCCGTCGCGATGGGGTCGCCGTACTGCGAGCGGAGCACGCAGTCCGGGGCGAACAGTGAAGCGTCCTCGACGGCGCCGCGGGTCGTTAGAGAGGTCGCGACCTCGTGCACGCGCGTGAGTGTGGCCAGGTCGTCCTCGTCGAGCAGGCCCGCGACGTGGGCGCTGCGGTGCGTGCTGCCGCGCGGTCTCGCAGTCCGTTGTTGTGTGATCATGCGTCTCACGGTGCGCGGCGGTGCCAGCGCGACGGCGCAGACGATGAAGGCTGCGCGCATTGCGGCGTGATGCAGCCGCATCGTGTGTTGTGGCGGAGCTCCGGAAGCTCCCACGCCGGGGGTCCGGCGTGGGTCCGGCGCGCGCTCCGCGCGCGCGTTCCTCGGCGCGCGCGCCTACGCGCGCTGCCGATCCGTCTCGCAGCGCGTCGCTTCGCTGCGCTGGGCGCGGGCGGGGTGGCGTACAAGGCGAGTAGGCTGTATTTAGCAGCACCTGGAGATTGCCAAGGGCGCGCCCCCCCCGCCCGGCAGTGTCGTCGGCTCGACGAGCCGCTGGCGGTTGCAGCGCGCGCAGGACCAGCCCCGGGCCAGGGGGTAGGACTTGATGTGGTCGAGGCTGATCGGATTGAGGCGCGTGCCCTTGTCGCAGGTCCTCGCCGTAGCCTGAGTGGGGCGGCGCGCGCCCCGCGCGCCTACGAGTGGAAAGAAGCTGATAAAAAATTCGTCAGGACTCTGGTCGCAGCTTGAATTGTATGTACCCTTCGGCATCATCGAGAAAAAATTCAAAACGTACCTCGCACCGTATGATTGCTGTGTGCTTGCCCCCGATGATTTCAACAACGGGGGGAGGAAGATAGGACGGTGACCGCGGCCGAGAACGCCGCCCACGCGACCGGCGTACGACCTCGGCGCAGGCCGTCGGCGGCTCGCTCGGCTTCATCGAGTCCCGCTGGACCGCCGAACTCGAGGCGAGCGGCGTCTCGCTCCTGGGCGTCCTCGGCGCGGCCGGCGAGCGCGAACTTCGGCCGCCGCGAGTCGGCGTGGGCATGGAGCCGTCCGAAGACACCGACCACCTCAACGATACGGAAGATTTGAGTCGTTGAGACGCCGTGCCGGACCGGGTGCGCGGCCGCGACCACGACGAAGGCGTCGACCGAGACGGGCGAGCGCCGCGCGGGCCAGCGCCAATTCGAGAACTTCACCTTGAAGCGGTGCTCTCGAAGCTCCGCCCGGAGCCGGGCTCAAGCCATCGAGACTCTGAGAGGCTGGGATCGTCGCAGCGCACGCTCGACGCGTGACACCCCCGGAGCCTCCGGGAGCCCAGCGTTCCGCTCGTTCCGCCCTCCCCATGGTCGCCGCCGCGGTCGTCATGCCGCCCGCGCCGCCGAAGGGCGACCTGACGGAGGGGGCCAAGAAGGCCAAGCCCGCCGAGGAGCGCGTCGGCGGCCGCGGCGGCGCGGCGGGCGGCAGCACGGTGCGCGTGGGCCAGCGCACGAACTCGAAGAAGGCCCCGACGGGCAGCGGCGGCCACAAGTTCGAGTGGAAGGACAAGACGAACGACGGGACGACGTCCTACATCCCGTGCGCGCTCGACGACGGCGACCCCATGTACAACAGCGGGCCCGAGGAGGACGAGAACTACGTGCTCGTGAGCGAGGGCGACGGGACGACGGGCGCGCCGCGGGCGCCCCAGTACTGCCCCGAGCACGCGACGACCTTGATCGGGCCCAAGTACACGCTGGCCGAGTTCAAGCGCCGCGTCGTCGAGGCGCTCGACGAGCTCTTCGCGTCCGGCGACGTCGACGAGTGCGTGACGTCCCTCGTGGAGCTGAGCTGCCCCGAGTTCGGCTTCGAGGTCGTCAAGCGCGGCGTGTCCAAGGCCGTGGACCGGCGCGCGCGCGAGTGCGAGCTCGTGTCGCGGCTGCTGTCGGCCGCGTGCCCCGCGCTGCTCCAGCCGCGCGACGTCGCCAAGGGCTTCGAGCGCCTCTTCGAGGCCATGGACGATTTGGTGCTCGACGCGCCGCGGGCGCCGCTGGTCGTGGGCGACTTCCTCGTGCGGTGCGTCGTCGACGAGGCGCTGCCTCCCGCGTACCTCGGCGACCGCGTCTTCGTCGCGCTCGGCGGCGACATCGTCGCGCGCGCGCGGCGCCTCCTGAGCCGCGAGCACGCGCTCTCCAAGTTCGAGCGCATCTGGGGGCCGGGGGACGGCCGCGAGAGCTCCGAGCTCAAGAAGGTCGTCGACATGCTCCTCCACGAGTACCTCGCGACGAAGGAGCTCCCCGAGGCGAAGCGCTGCGTCCGCGAGCTCTCCGCGCCGCGCTTCGGCCACGAGGTCGTCAAGCGCGCCGTGACCCTGGCGCTGCCGCGGTCCGCCGACGACCGCACGGCCATCTCCGCGCTCCTCAAGGCCCTCGTCGTCGACCCGGACCAGATCCTCTCGACGACGCAGGCCAAGCTCGGCTTCGGCCGCCTCGCCGAGGCGCTCCCGGACCTCACCTGCGACGTGCCCAACGCCAAGGCCCTCCTCGACGAGTTCCTCGCCCAGGCCAAGGCCGACAAGGTCGTCGTCGACGACGACGGCAACTAGGCGAGGTCGTTAGGCCGAGCCCGCGGCGCCGCGCGCCGACCAAGTTTACCCCCGTCACGCCCCCACGACACTGTACAACGCACCCGTGTTTCTCTCGTTCTCTCCTTCTTTTCTTTCTTGGGGGGTTGGAAGTTGCGGGGTCGGAAGACCTTGTCGGGCGAACGCTCTGATTACGCTCTGTAAGTCGCCCTGCCAGCGTTGAAAGCCTGTGGCAAGCCGCTGTTGCCGAGTCCGCCGACCTCAACGCGTCAAGCTCAAACGACGGCCACCGCCGTTTGCGAGAGCGCATTCAAAGGCGCGCCGAACACACACACCCCCGAGCCAGCTAACAAACTCGGGACCGCGTAGCCGTCGCGCACGACAACCGCCACCCCAAAAAGCGCGAACTAACCGCCAAAAAACCGCGCGCGCCGCGTCGTCAACGGTATGCGCAACGCGAGCACCCCGCGGGGGTCCGCCAAGGCGTCGAAGAAGGCGCGGACGCCCTTCAGCGACCAGAAGAACATCAAGAGCGCGTCGCCGAAGCAGAAGGGCGCCCGCGCCGCGAAGAAGTCGGCGGCGCGCGCCGCGCGGCCGCCGTCGACGTCGCCGCGGCGGCCCGCGTCGCCGGACCGCGACTTCAGCAAGGCCGAGGCCCTGGCCGCGGCGGCGGCCCACGTCTGCAGCCTGCGGCACCAGAGCGACCACCCGCTGCTGAGCGGCGGCGGCGGGTCGAGCGGCCCCACGGGCGTCGACGGCCGCGGCGGCGCGTGGCACGAGGTGTCGTTCGCCGCGGGCCCGCTGGGCATCGAGTTCGAGCCCGAGGGCGTGGCGCGCGGCAGCGGCGTGGAGACGGGCTGCATGGTCGTGCGCGTCCACGAGCTCGCGAGCCACCCGGCGCAGATGGTCGCGCGGCGCGGCGTCTGCGCGGGCGACTGCGTCGAATCCGTCGACGGCGAGCCGCTCCGGGGCTCGCCCTTCGGCCGCATCGTCGACGTCCTGCGGTCGCGGTCCACGAAGGAGGCGCGGGTCGTGCGCTTCGCGCGGCCCCGGGGCGCCGCGGCGGCGACGCCCCTGTCGCCGGAGCGAGAACAAGACGGCGACGGCGCGAGCAGCAAGCTGCGGGGCGCGGTGCTCTTCGGGTCGGACCGGGGCGCGTCGGAGACGACGGGGTCGGCGCTCGACGGCATCACGGACGCCGACGTCTCCGACGCGGCCGCGACCGTCGACGCGCTCGACGCCGTCGCCGACGCGGCCGCGGCCGTCGACGCGCTCGACGCCGCCGCCGGCGCGACGGCCGACGCCGCGGCCCGCGAGGAGCAGGGCGCCGCGGACCTCGCGCTCTTCGCGACGTGCGCGAAGATCGAGGACCTGCAGGCGGCCATGCCCGACGGCCGCGGCACCTTCGCGACGCCCCTGCTCGCCGCGGAGCTCCGGGCGATGCACGACGAGATGGCCCTGGCCGCGCGCGACAACGCGGCGCTCGCGGACGACGTCGCCGCGCGGCGCGCGGCGGCCGCGCGCGCGTCGCGGACGCTCGCGGTCGCGGTGTCGCCCGCCAAGAGCCAGGCGAGCTCCGAGGGCGCCGCCGCCGTGGCGCTGCCGGGCCGCGCGCGCCGCGTCGTCGAGGCGCTCGCGCGGGCCACGGACGCCGCGGCGTCGACGCGGCGCGACCTCGCGGCCGCGGGCCGCGAGGACCTCGCCAAGGCCCGGGGCCTCGCCGCGGAGGCGAGCGCGGCGCTCAAGGCCTACAAGGCCTTCGCGACGGCGCGCATCGACGAGCTCGAGACCGCGAAGGGCGGCGAGGCCGCGGCGCTGCGGCGGGAGCTCGAGGACCTGAAGGCGCGGACCGAGTCCGGGCGCGTCGCCTTCGAGATGGACGCCGTGCGCAAGGCCCGCGAGGCGCTGGAGCGCGAGCGCGCGTGCCGCGCGGCGCGCGAGGCCGACGCCGCGGCGGCCGCGGCGGCGCGCGAGGCGTCGCTGCGGAGCCGCGTCGCCGCGACCGAGGCCGCGGGCTTCCAGGCGCTGGAGGCCGAGCGGTTGAGCCACGCGGCGGAGTTCGAGCGCTTCAAGCGGTCGGCCGACGCGCGGCTCCGCGCGTCCGCGCTGAAGCTCGGCGACGGCGACGAGCGCCGGCGCGGCGAGGTCGACGACGAGCGCGCGCGCGGCGCGAAGCGCTTGGCGGCGGCGGCCGCGGAGCACGAGGCGCGGCTCGAGACGGCGCTCGCCGCGCGCGACGCGGCCCACGCGCTCGCGCTCGACCGCGAGCGCCTCGCGCACGAGCGCAACGCCGAGGCCGAGCTCCGGGACCGCGACGCGGCCGTCGAGGCCGCCGAGGCGCGCGCGGCGGCCGCGGAGCGGAGCGCTCGGGAGGCCGAGGCCGCCCCGGCCGCCGACGCCGCGGCCGTCGAGGCCGCCGAGTTGCGCGCGGAGGCCGCGGAGCGGCGCCTCCGCGAGGCCGAGGCGCGCGCGGCCGACGCCGAGGCCCGCGCGCGGGAGGCGGACCACGCCGCGGCCGTCGTCGCCGAGGAGGCGCGCGACGCCTTCGACGACGGCGCGGCGGCCGCGGCGGCCGCGCGCGCGGACGCGGCCGACGCGCGCGCGGCGCGCGCGGAGGCGCGCGCCGCCGCGGCTTTGACGGAAGCGTCGGCCGTCGCCGCCGAGGCGCTCGACGCCGACGCGCGCGCGCGCGCGCTCGAGGCCGCGCTCGAGGCCGCGGCCGCGCGCGAGGCCGCGGCCGTCGAGGCGTCCGCGGCCGCGGCCGCGCGCCACGACGGCCTCGGCTGCGAGGTCGTCGCGCTCCAGGAGGAGCTGGGCCACGCGGGCGAGGCCATCGCCGCCCTCGAGGCCGAGGTGGACCGCCGGGGGCGCCTCGCGAGCGAGCTCGGCGACAAGGTCGTCGCGCTCCGCGCCGCCGCGCCCGAAAAGGACGCCGCGGCGCTCGAGGCCGCGCTCCGCGAGCGCGACGCCTGGATCGCGAAGCAGCACGACGTCATCGAGGCCATGGAGGCCGGCTCGCGCGACCGCCTCGCGGCCGCCGAGGCGGCCGTCGCCGCCGCGCGCGCCGAGGCCGGCGACGCGGCCGAGTCCGAGCGCGCCGCGATGGCGTCGGCCGCCGAGGCCGCGGAGCTTCAGCGGCTCCTGTCGGCGGCGCGCGCCGAGGCCGCGACCCTTTCTCGGGCCCTCGAGGCGCGCGACGCGGCGGCCGCGGACTTGGAAGCGCGCGCGGCCGCCGCGGACCGCGACGCGTTCGCGGCCATGGGCGCGGCGCGGAC